ACCACAACCACAACAACCACAACCACAACCACAACAACCACAACCACAACAACCACAACCACAACCACAACAACCACAACCACAACAACCACAACCACAACCACAACAACCACAACCACAACAACCACAACCACAACCACAACCACAACCACAACCACAACCACAACCACAACCACAACCACAGCCTGGCCTCGGTGCTAGCTTCGAGCTGGCTGAACCGCTCAGATGGCTGCAAGAGCCAGCAGAAAGCATTCGACACTTTGGCACTGGAGGACCAGAATCCCAAAGTTTCAAGCACACGGGTTTCTGTTCCCTCGCGATGGTGCGGTCTCCTGCACGGTCGAACTGTCGACCCATCGCCATAGACCCAAAACAATACATACACACGCACGACAAGCTGCTAAGCTGTTGAAAATGTGCCAGAGTCCTTCAGACGAAAATGCTTGAGTATGCATTCGGCCCACAACAGCGAGCATAAACCCTGCAAACACCCTTTTCGACGTCACTCCAGCGCCAGGATCCCCTTGGCCAGCAGCAGCCTGTGCAACGTTGGCTGTTTGCCACAGTCGTTCTCATCATTTCAATGCTCAAAACTACTAGGCGAACCCACACCAAATGCCCAACAGATCGGCCCCAGAGCCTCTTTGGAAGACCGTCAGCTTGCTAGAGCCAAGCCTAAAGTAAACCCTAAGCCGCACAAGTTGTTTCCGCTCCCGGCCTGTGGCCCAGGGACTTCACATCCAAGGCCTCCCACAGCGATGCATCGATGCCTCAAGGAGCCAACTCCTAAAATGTTTAGGAGGTAAGTGAATTTCGTGTTTCAAGGCTTCTGCGGCTTAGGCCGGTCAGGGCTTGGGGGGGCTTCAGGCATCCAGGATTCTGGGCCATCGTTTGCACATCTGACCGGACTCAAACCGTCGGTTCAATTTGATGGCCGAGGGTTGGAAGGTGGCTTCACTCAAGGACCCTAAACGGCCCAAACGGCCCTAAGCAACCCGAAGCTCCCAAACCCTTTCTAAGTAAAGCCCTAGGGCCCTCAGCCAAGGCACGCCCGATGACCGAGCCCTTCGGATTCTCTGGGAGGATGCCTGAGTGTCGTGGGCTCAGAGGCTAATAATGGCAGACGAGCGCGTCGCCTCTTCTTCGTCACCCCAGGTAGCACAAACCTCATACCACAAAAACACCATTGATTAGTAAAGGTTCTCAGCTGGCTATCATAAAATTGCATCCAAAGCCCCCGAATCCACGAGATCATACAGCCTCAACCACCCAGAGTGCAGCCCAGCAACAGGCCGAAAGCGCTGGCACACCCCCAAACTCCTTGGAGATGAGTTCGGACGGCCACAGTTCAGAGCTGGAAGGTTTGGCGGTTTTTACTGGGCAACCGGCACTCATCAAATCTCTCTAGCAACTTCTGGGATTGGGGGGTTCCAGATCAGCCAGTCACAATAGCATCCCAAAACCTGCACCGGAAATCTCCAAATACGCAAGAAGTAAAGAAACAGCTCCTCAGTGATGATCTTGGCGTATGATGCCTCAGATTGAAAGGGCTGGGGTGGACCGGAGACACCCTGGCCCTAAACCCGATGTCCTGCACTGTCCTCTTTGGTGCGTTGCGTACAGGGTGTAGGGACCTTCAAGACGACCAAGTGATGCAGACACTGCATTTATTAGAAGTGGGTCGCACTGACCAGACTTTTGTGGCGTCCTAGATCAAGCAGCTTGGCACTTATGGGGCTCTGACTTCCTGCCATCCAGGCTCCAGACAGCCAGCACAAACGGAAACTGTGGGATGCGGGAATAGGAGAGGAACACAGGAGACCCGGGCGAGTAGAATAGCTGTGTGAAAACCAACAACCCCACGATGAGGGCGGGGAACAAGAAAGCATGTCAAGTTTCCTAAAGTCACAGAACACTCCCAAAGCCATAGAACCCTACAGCCGTACCACCCAAAACCCTTTCAAAACCCCAAACCCTAAACTCCGGCCCAGGCGCCATAGCTCCGCGCCCGGAATCCAATCCGCAAAGCCACCTCCGAATCTCAGCCTCTGCCTCGCCAAGAGCGCCAAAGCGGAGCTTTCGGAGATGAACCGGATTGAACTCTGGGGACTTGTCTTTGGGGCTTTGAAATTGGGGGGAGGGGGGGAGTTGCAGCATTGAACTCAATCCTGTTTTGGATGGTCATTCGAAGATCTTCTAGGGCTTTAGAAGAGCGGTGCATCTAGCTTTTGCTGGTGGATGTTTGTAAGGTTCCTCCCGCATGCACATGATAATTGCAACACTAAAACTCAAGAGAGGCCATGAGAGGCCATCCAAACCCCACATGGCACGCCTCGTCGTGGACGGTGTTCGTCGACGGGGCAGGAGCTGCAGTAGCAGCCTCAACAACGGGCACACATTATGAAGTTTTGGTATGTGAGCTGTGGACACGTCTTGGAACTAAAAATGACCGTGGAGGGAGATGAGCCTACCTCCTTCGCTGAGCAGCTTCTTTTGCGCCTCGCCTTATATTGCTCTTGTAGTGAGCTTGATTTAAAATCTCGGGACGTTGGTTCGGACTCCGGGGCACGATGTCCTCCAAAGCCCAAAGCCCAAAGCCCAAAGCCCAAAGCCCAAAGCCCAAACCCCAAAGCCCAAAGCCCAAAGGGTATGTCGGTATGCTATCTTAGGGTGTGGTCCTGCAGTGCGGCAGATTCTTCAGATGGCTGGGGGCGGCGCCGGGCGAGGAGGAGGAGGAGCAGGAGGTGGCGATGGCGATTTCGATGGGCTGCGGAACACACCCTGCACAAACTCCCCGTAAGGGAGCTCAACAATTAGGGTTTCATGGGTGTGGGGTCGAAGCTCCCGACGATTGCAAGAACAATTCCGCATTAAACCACATGAAAGCCCTCAGAATACCCGGCACCAGCATGTGCCACACGAACCCCAGCCACCCAGGTGTGCCCGGTGCTCCTCATCGTGGTACATGATGCTGAGATTTGAGGCCTTCGGGCCTGGGGAACCTAAGCTTGAAGGTTTCGCCACCGAGCCTGACGATAGCTGAAACATCCATAAGCTCATACCGAGCCCCTGAACCCTACCATAATCTCACAGGTAACCCACGCTTTTGGGGTGTGTGCGTACCATGAGCTCCAAAACAGGGTAAGCCGTCCTTTAGCTTCAACCTCTGAAATCTTCGAAAAGGTCCTTGCCGAAGTGCAAACATATGCCCATGTGCGACACACGTGCAAATACACATGGACAGGCACGCAGGTAGACAGATATGTAAGATAAACAAAGATCGTCACAGACAGCTAGGCAGCTAGGATAAGTTAGATTTCATAAAATTCACAGGCAGTCACAGCCACATCCCAGTGGAAGCACCTGTTTGCTCTTCGGCACGGGTATGAGGATCCTGCTTCAGAGGGCTGAAGGGCTCACCAAAGAGCTCATCGGTGCGAATGGCGGCCCCCTAGACCTCATCCCTAAAAACAAAGCATCGACAAGCCTTTAAAAAACTTACGAAATGTTCTAAGCCCGGTCACAACATCCCAAGACCAGAACTCATACGGAGCCCTCCCTTAGCTCACATTGACAGGTCCTTGGCAAAGGCGGAGGAGAAGGCGATTTTCTGTCCTCCTGGCCCAAAGGCAGCGACGCAGGCTTTGCGTTGACGGCGTGGTCGAATCAGGGGTTTCTTGCTAAAAAACAGCCTCGCTTTGAGTTTGAGTTTGTTGGATCAAACCCTAGACCAGCACCCTGAGCCCGCTCCTGCCACCTACGCGGCCTTGGTGGCGTTGGCGGCCGGGACGACGGCGGACTCCTTTGGCTCGGGGTGCAGGGTTCTGGGGTTAAAGATGGTACTGATATTCATGTTACCGCTTGCCTTAAGACACAGAGTTTGCTTACTTCGCAAAGGCGTCAGCCACCAGGTGACCACTTCGCATGGGTTTAAATCAAAAATGGATGCTCGTTCCGTGACATGGCTCTCAACACATAAATTCGACTGCTTGGGCACCGGCAAGCGAAAGACGAGGTCACACGCTCGCAAGTCTTCAAGTCAGCAAAGCTCCCAATAACCCTATGACGCCCAACTCCGCACCCCGACACTGCTGAAAGTACAAGATCTTTTGAGGCGTCTCGAAGCACATAATGACCCCCATACATTCAAACTTTGTTTGCGCCGCCTTCAGAAGTAGGAGTTGGCTTTGCCATTGCACAGAAGGTGCAAGGTCAGAGGTTTTACATAGAGTTTTGCCTCCCGAAGAGCTGTGAAGTGAGATATGAATTGAACAATATTAACCAACTTCTAGTCTGGAGGGGCGCTAACTCTGGAACACCCTTAACTAGCCTTAATTCTTCAGACAGACAACTAGGAACGCAAAGCCACACTGTGACCTGACCAACTCTCAAACAAGTCAATTAGCTAAAACATCCTAACGACCTCACTCCAAGATATGGGCTTACTTGGCATAGCGGCATAGCGGCCCTAGTCTGCTCCTCTGCGGCGAGCTCCGCCGCGGGGAGTTCCGCCGGTGGGAGCTCTTCCTCGTGGGCAGGGCTGAGGACAGTCGGGGTTTGCAGTCTTGTTGTAGGTCGACCAGGTTACCACAAGGATGCCGAAAAGACAATTTCATTGAACTCAGGAAAGGCTTTGGACTGGCCTAGACGGGCCTAGACGGGCCTACCGCTATGCGTCGGCGTGGATACACAACCTCAAGCTCCACAACCCCCAGCCCTTCGGTCCCTGTCTGTACGATTGGTGGAGTTCCGCTGTCGCCGGTTACATTACGCCGACCAACATAGCAAAGAACATTTCTCTGTACAGAATTGCAATCACGACTGAAAACAAACCCCTGGGGTGATCGCCCAGCTGGATGCCTTCCTCGCAACATCTTGCAAGGGTCGTTCGGCATCCCGCGCGCAGAAAGTTCCAGCTAACTTTGGGCCCGTGGGCTTTCGGAACCCCATTGGCCGCGTTATCCGTGATCGCGTTGAGTAGCATTTGTGTCCTGTATTCTGGAGGTTGTTCGGAGGAGTGGGGGTTCACATGCGGATGACATTTTGGCGCTGGCTCACGCGCACGCGGTGGAGGGCGAGGTTGTGGGCTTCGACGGGTGGCGCGGCGCCCAATGAGATACATGACAGGCAGTGTTTCACACTTGTGCACGCGGGGGCTGCGAGAGTTTTGGGGCCACCTTTGCGCACCTCGACGAGGTTTCGAGTGGCGCTGGCTGCTACATGCTGTGCACTTGCGGCCTGAGAGGCCTGCTGGCCCCTATAATATGGTCACGGTTTTGTTCTATCTGCAATCGCCGGTTTGAGAGGCCCTCTGGCCGCTATACGGCTACTGCTTTCGGTGCAATCACCGGCCCCGGCCTGAAAGGCGTGCTGGCCGCTACACGGCGGCCATTTAAATTTTTCGGTGCAATCGCCGCTGGCCGCTATATGGCGGCTAGCTGTCCTCCTATCTGTCTCGTGTCCTGTCCTCGTTCCTGTCCTATTTCACGTCCTCGTATCTCGCTGAGTGGTAGTAGAGTGCTGTTGTGTCCGGTGATGCTCGCTGTGGGCAAAGTTGTCTTAAAAATCTTGAAATCTAACAACCCCAGTGAGGGTGTCGAAAAATACAGGCATCTGCTGCGTTGGAACAGGACAGTAAGAGAAGAGATCGGCAGCTCTGCCAAAGGCTTGATGCGATGCTTTGAAGGGCAAGGGACACCGAAACTGAAAAGATAGAGGAATGATTCGGAATGATTGCAACACCCGCATGTGGAACACCTGCAAGCAGAAGCCATGCATCTTAGCGCAGGTAGCCATACGCAGACTGGAAGTCTCGCTCGCATCGGTCCAGCCATGAGGCCGAGTCGGGCAGATCCGACAGGAACATGCCCAGCATGTGAAACTACAATGACACTCAATGCTGGGGACAAACACACAAACCGCAAGGCACACAAAAACACCCACAACTCTCTTTGCGGCGGGAGGCGGGGCAAGATTCTGAGACAAACTAGCAGAAGCGACTCGCAATTGTTGGCTGACCATCTTGAAAGTTCGGGGGTCAACTCTTGAACGTGCAGCACAACATTTGCAACATGCGTGTTCGCAATGGCCTACACAGCACGACAAGCAACCCTTCCCTGGCCTGCTCATTGTCGTTTCCAGTACACATGAATGACGCCTTTCTGATTTCTGAGTTGCGCATTCGTGGTTGCTGTCCGTGTGCCGTGCTGCCTGCTGCCAACCTGCACCTGTCCTCGTTACTCAAAGACCCTGCAAGTTGACCTGAACGCTCTGTGGTTCATGCTCCATGGCATTTGCCATTCCCCCGGCTAACTTACGAACCCCACTTGCTGGGTGGGGCACACTCCCAAAGTCTCCACCCTCAACACTCACTAAATCCTCTTAACGCAGCACTCTCGAACACTCGAATGTATGAACCCTCAATCCCTCAGCCCCACCGAGCCAATTCAGCTCACCGGCGCCTGCGATCCTTGTCCCTCCTCCGGCTCCGGCTTCGCTTCCGCCGGCTCCCTGGGAAGCTGGGAAGGAAGGAGAGTCACGAGAGCTCCCAAAAGATGTTAAAGATCAAGGCGTTCACAGTAGGGTCTATCTTTTTGCACAGGGTTTCCAGTCGAGAGAGTCCAGGTTGCCTTGTCTCAGGATGTTTTCGGGATGCGGGTTGTTGCCAGGGCCGGAGCCTGCAGGCCAGAAGGTTTACAGGGCTTTTACAGGGCTTAAAGTTCAGGGCCTTTTTGGAATGCCTAGGGCCTAGGGAAATTTAAAGTCATGGATTTGCAGAGGTATCTGGAATTTGCGACAAGCTGCTGCTGTGGCTCTTCAGCCGCACGGGACTTCGCTTGGGGCTCTTCAAGAAAGCACCCCTGCGTCACAGCTGCGATTGGCCAGGTTGTTGTTGGAGTCTTTTGGGGAGTTTTCGGGTTGTGGCGAACTCTTTGCCAAGGCTGGGCTTCCCATCTTTGGGCCTTTTCAAGAAGAGCCTCTCAGGTCATAGGCCCAAGCAATCTCTAAACTGACCACATCTTTTCTAGAGGTCCTTGAACCCCTTTGCCCAAGGGCAAAGCGAGACGGCAGCCAGACAGCAAGCGCTACAAACAGGATAGGGGCAAAGCCAGACGGCAGCCAGACAGCAAGCGCTGCCAACAGGATAGGGGCAAAGCCAGACGGCAGCCAGACAGCAAGCGCTGCAAACAGGATAGGGGCAAGGCCAGACGGAAGCAAGACAGCCAGCGCTGCAAACAGGATAGGGGTAAAGCCAGACGGCAGCCAGACAGCAAGCGCTGCAAACAGGATAGGGGCAAGGCCAGACGGAAGCAAGACAGCCAGCGCTGCAAACAGGATAGGGGCAAAGCGAGACGGCAGCCAGACAGCAAGCGCTGCAAACAGGATAGGGGCAAGGCCAGACGGAAGCAAGACAGCCAGCGCTGCAAACAGGATAGGGCAAAGCGAGACGGCAGCCAGACAGCAGCCAGACAGCAAGCGCTGCAAACAGGATAGGGGCAAAGCCAGACGGCAGCCAGACAGCAAGCGCTGCAAACAGGATAGGGGCAAAGCCAGACGGCAGCCAGACAGCAAGCGCTGCAAACAGGATAGGGGCAAAGCCAGACGGCAGCCAGACAGCAAGCGCTGCAAACAGGATAGGGGCAAAGCCAGACGGCAGCCAGACAGCAAGCGCTGCAAACAGGATAGGGGCAAAGCAGACGGCAGCCAGCCAGCAAGCGCTGCAAACAGGATAGGGGCAAGGCCAGACGGAAGCAAGACAGCCAGCGCTGCAAACAGGATAGGGGTAAAGCCAGACGGCAGCCAGACAGCAAGCGCTGCAAACAGGATAGGGGCAAGGCCAGACGGAAGCAAGACAGCCAGCGCTGCAAACAGGATAGGGGCAAAGCGAGACGGCGCCAGACAGCAGCCAGACAGCAAGCGCTGCAAACAGGATAGGGGCAAAGCCAGACGGCAGCCAGACAGCAAGCGTGCAAACAGGATAGGGGCAAAGCAGACGGCAACCAGACAGCAAGCGCTGCAAACAGGATAGGGGTAAAGCCAGACGGCAGCCAGACAGCAAGCGCTGCAAACAGGATAGGGGCAAGGCCAGACGGAAGCAAGACAGCCAGCGCTGCAAACAGGATAGGGGCAAAGCGAGACGGCAGCCAGACAGCAAGCGCTGCAAACAGGATAGGGGCAAGGCCAGACGGAAGCAAGACAGCCAGCGCTGCAAACAGGATAGGGCAAAGCGAGACGGCAGCCAGACAGCAGCCAGACAGCAAGCGCTGCAAACAGGATAGGGGCAAAGCCAGACGGCAGCCAGACAGCAAGCGCTGCAAACAGGATAGGGGCAAAGCCAGACGGCAGCCAGACAGCAAGCGCTGCAAACAGGATAAGAGCAGAGCCAGACGGCAGCCAGGCAAACAGGATAGGGGCAAAGCCAGACGGCAGCCAGACAGCAAGCGCTGCAAACAGGAGGCAAAGCCAGACGGCAGCCAGACAGCAAGCGCTGCAAACAGGATAGGGGCAAAGCCAGACGGCAGCCACACAGCAAGCGCTGCAAGCAGGATAGGGGCAAAGCCAGACGGCAGCCAGACAGCAAGCGCTGCAAACAGGCTAGGGGCAAAGCCAGACGGCAGCCAGACAGCAAGCGCTGCAAACAGGATAGGGGCAAAGCCAGACGGCAGCCAGACAGCAAGCTCTGCAAACAGGATAGGGGCAAAGCCAGACGGCAGCCAGACAGCAAGCGCTGCAAACAGGATAGGGGCAAAGCCAGACGGCAGCCAGCCAGCAAGCGCTGCAAACAGGATAGCGGCAAAGCCAGACGGCAGCCAGACAGCAAGCGCTGCAAACAGGATAGGGGCAAAGCCAGACGGCAGCCAGACAGCAAGCGCTGCAAACAGGATAGGGGCAAAGCCAGACGGCAACCAGACAGCAAGCGCTGCAAACAGGATAGGGGCAAAGCCAGACGGCAGCCAGACAGCAAGCGCTGCAAACAGGATAGGGGCAAAGCCAGACGGCAGCCAGACAGCAAGCGCTGCAAACAGGATAGGGGCCAAAGCCCAGACGGCAGAGCAGCAGACAGCAACAGGATAGGGGCAAAGCCAGACGGCAGCCAGGCAAACAGGCTAGGGGCAAAGCCAGACGGCAGCAGCAGACGGCAGCCAGACAGCAAGCGCTGCAAACAGGATAGGGGCAAAGCCAGACGGCAGCCAGACAGCAAGCGCTGCAAACAGGATAGGGGCAAAGCCAGACGGCAGCCAGACAGCAAGCGCTGCAAACAGGATGCAAACAGGATAAGAGCAAAGCCAGACGGCAGCCACACAGCAAGCGCTGCAAACAGGATAGGGGCAAAGCCAGACGGCAGCCAGACAGCAAGCGCTGCAAACAGGATAGGGGCAAAGCCAGACGGCAGCCAGACAGCAAGCGCTGCAAACAGGATAGGAGCAAAGCCAGACGGCAGCCACACAGCAAGCGCTGCAAACAGGATAGGGGCAAAGCCAGACGGCAGCCAGACAGCAAGCGCTGCAAACAGGATAGGGGCAAAGCCAGACGGCAGCCAGACAGCAAGCGCTGCAAACAGGATAGGGGCAAAGCCAGACGGCAGCCAGACAGCAAGCGCTGCAAACAGGATAGGGGCAAAGCCAGACGGCAGCCAGCCAGCAAGCGCTGCAAACAGGATAGGGGCAAAGCCAGACGGCAGCCAGACAGCAAGCGCTGCAAACAGGATAGGGGCAAAGCCAGACGGCAGCCAGCGGAGATCCAAGAACGGCAACAGCTTCAAAGACTCAAGGACGGACAAGCAGCACTCCTGCCGCCGGTGCCGCCTCCGCTTTAAAACTAACTGCAACTTTTCGCAGAAGCATCCAAAGCATCCATGATTCTTTCATCAACGCAGTCAAACCCTGACCAAGCTTGCAACTCCAAACCAGAAAACCAGACTCCGAGCCTTCCCTTGGGAGGGGGCACCAGCCACCTTCCCAGAGAATATGAAGGTTTTTGTCGTGTTTGGGCTTGGGAGTTGAGAGTCGAGGTTTGCTGTTAAGCTATGGCTGGACTTTAACGCACCAAGGAAGTCACTGGTGTAGATAGATAATGTTGAGAAAAACATGGTCAGGCGTCTGGTGCGGCCGCCCCGCCGACCCCATGATATGAACTCATGTATACATGCATACATGTGTACATGTGTACATGTGTACATGTATACATGTGTAAATATATACATATATAATGCAAATGCGGAAGATACACGGCACACACTCCCTGAGCATCAAACATCCAATACTTCCTCAACCACTACGGCCATGCAAAGCAGTGAGCAACATCCAAAACAGTACCACGAGTTGCAGTGGCACCAAGCCAACGCCGATGTGCACGTCATCCAGCATGGGATTGTCGCATGGGAATTATGCTACAAAGGCCAAGGACCAGGAGACAAATGTCATCATTTGCTCAGACATGCGAAACAGTTTTCAACAAGCTTGAAACTTGGGGCGACTTCGGTTGTAGTCCTGCGGTTCAATCTGGATTCTCTTGAACTCTAGGGGGAGGGAACCAAGCGCACCTGATCACCGTGGCCGCCGTGACATCCCGCCTTGGACACTTTCACCCGAAAGGTGGGGTTCAAGGTTTCAAAGGTTGCATAAGATGTGTTCACTACAAAGGGTTTGTGCTTGACTCAATGTAAAAAATGGAACACTTGAGGGCCCGCAGCACGTGGTCCTCTAAGCATCCCTCAGCCATAGCGCCGCAGTTGTACAAGTACACTTCGCGCAGAGAGGTCTTCGGAGGCACTTCAATCGAACTTCGGAACTCAGAGCCGCAAAACTGTCATGCCGCTTGCCCCAAAGCTTTTGTTGGCGCCTTCTCTGCATGCTCCGCCTGTGGCCCTGACGAAATTGAGGACAACCTGCCCTATGCGCTTCCAGGAGGAAGCCAATCTTGATCCCCTCGAGCTTGTAAAAAAGTATGAACATGGGACATGCACGGTAGACTTCCGTAGACCGATTGTCTACTGTAAGTCCATTCGGTGAGGCCACGGCTTCTGGAGTTCGTTCAGGAGAGGCTCATGCCTGCGTAGGAGGCAAATCATTTCGCACAGAAAGCATTTAAAGGGCGGGGGTCAGTGGATGTCAACATTCCCTTTCAGCCCATGCAGCACCCAGTGCCCCCAAAAGTGGCTGAACCCTCGAACTGTTTGAAGGGAGTTAGGGCACACAAGATCCTGCAGGCTGGTGAACGAAGTGAGAATAGCGAAGAGTTTCCTGCAGCGTCCTGATTGAATTACACAGATTACACGCAGCTTGACGCCGTTTGAGTTGCACACCTTTGGAGGACGTAGGTGTACGGCTCCCCCAAGCCCTCAAGCTGCACTTCCATAAGTCATCATGCGTCAGTTCCTGTACACACCTAGCACCCCACTAGAAAGCCTCGGGCTCTCAAAGACATCCGTGTGTAGCACGATGGGGCACGTGAAAACCCTGAATGCCCTTCGAACACCGCACTGTGAACTCTTGAGCCCGGCACGGATCAAAGGCATCCCCTAAAGCCGAGGCCAAGGAGCCTGGGTCAAGTTTCACGCCCCAAGCCGTTAATAGGCGTGGGCTGCGTCTCGTGGGTTTGGTTTAGGTTCCAAGACCTGCATGGTTTGGGGCCTTAGGGTTGTTTAGGGGCCTTTCCAGGTTTGAACCATGTGGCAATGTTTATGGGGCTTGGGGCTTGAAGGTAAGGTTGATACAGAGATATACAGTGCTCCCTCTTGTCCATGTGGCAGTGTCACCACGATGTACCCAATTGTTTCAGGATGTCGGGGACCAAGGCTAAAGCCATCGCGCAACATGGGCAAAGGCCTGCATCTATAGGACCGCCGGCTGCCACTCTCGACCCCCAAATCGACAAACACATCCAACCCTAAACCCATCCCAACAGCTGCACAGGTCGGGAGACGGTCGCCAGTGAGGTTCTCGATGGCACGATCATCCATCATCTGGAGACTGGTTTCCACCTGCCGAAAGCAGTTGCACCGTGGCACTTCAAAGCTTCGGGTTCATGGCTCATGATTCACGATTTTGGGGCTTGAGGTTGTCAATTCAGTGTTGAAGTATGCAATCGAAGCTTAGAAACGGATCGGAGGTGAGCGGGAGAGCGGATGCCGTCAGGCCGCCAGAGTGATGCCCATGTCCGTCGCATTCCGGAAGTTTATTTGGACGTTTGGCTGGCTCCTCGCCTAGGTGGATTTGCCTTCCAGAAGTCCGTTTGATCTGATCTCATAGGTTTCTGGTCCGGCGGCCAAAAGAGGTCAGAGCCGATCGAAGCGATGCTTTGCATATATCTGTGTGCATGGCGTCACCCTGAGCTGCTCGCGAATCAGGAAGCGCAGGCCCCTCGGATTACCTCTCCTCTGGATCCAAAGTCTGGCACACAACGGCAGCACGACTGGCAACTAGCAACGTGAGGTTTGCGGCCTGGAGTCTGTTGGAAGCCACCAAGTTCAGGGACCACTGCCGGCTTCCCGACAGCGATTTGATGGCTAAGCACGCGGCCGTTTGAGCTGGTAGCACGACAACAACAACTCAACTCAATTCACTTCATTGGAGGGACTCTCTCATGCGGCTGTCTCTGTGGACAGACTGCGCACTGATCGATTGCGGTGCACAGTGGTGCCTTCGATTGCAATCGGCTGATCACTAGATGGGCCTGCTGATGGTCAACAAAGCTATGTGACAGGTTGCGGAGGCCTCGATCCAAACCCAAAGTTAGCAGAAGGGTGGGAGCTCCGCTAGGGTTTCGGGTTTCGTGCCAAGTGTCACGCCAGACCCAAACCACAGAAATCCTTTGAGCGGCCTCGCGGGAGATGTGGTATTTCCTTGGCTGTCAAAGGTGGACTACCGGCATCGAGGCGCTCGGGATCCGCACGAACTACTCGCGTCTGCGTAATGTCGTCCGTTGCACTTGTCGGCCGCGCCTACCTCTCACTCATTTCGTCTGCTTCTGCACACTTTAGGGCCTCTACTCACTCACTCACTCACGCGCTCTCTCTCTCTCTCTCTCTCTCTCTCTTCTTCTTCTGCCCAGCGAAGAGGCCCCCCGAAGAGGACCCCGGCCACGCTGGCCCGCTGCTCTGTCCGAGGTGAAAGTTTCAGGCACCGTGCCTTGACGGCCCCCTACGGTGGTGTGGCGTCTCTCTCTCTCTCTCTCTCTCTCTCCCCAAGACAAGTCCTCAACCCTAACCCAACCCTAAATCTTCCCAAACCCTGAACATCCCTAAACCCTTCCTTTAACACAGACGGGGGGCTTGCAGAAATGCCTCAGCGAGTCCTTCGCCCGCTCTCCGATCCTGCTTCAAGATCAGGGTTTGGAGTTTGGAAGTTTGGGTCAGCCTCGAGTTTTGTGTAAGATCTTTTCAGGCAGGCATACGCTTTCCGGAGTGGGGGGGGGTGTGGCAAGAACTAGGGAGTTTAGGCAGGAGGACTGTCCCTTGATGCATCCAGCATCCTTCATGAACACCGGTACACGCCGAACCTGTGCACAAGTTTACACTCTGCAGGCGCGGCGCCTGCGAAGGCGATGGTCTCGGTAAAACCTGCCACCCAAGCCCTACAGCTGTCCTTACACCACCTGCACAACCCTATAGGCCCTAAACAATCCTTGCATAGCCTTCAACACAAAAGCTACAAGAAGGATTGTTAAGCTGAAGCTCAAAACATAATTGATGAAGGAAAGAACTCATAAGAAACCGCTCGGTTCGACCGGCCCCTCTGCCCCGACAAGGGCCCCAGAAGGGTGACATGCTACTTATCTTCTGTGGCTTTTCCAGGAAAGGATTAGCTAGCGACCTTGTAAATCTTGCAAATCGTAGAGGGCTGGGGGCGGGGCATTTTTCATTCATCCGATCACTGCACCCCTTCGACAGTGAACCCTAAAGCCGCTGCCTCTTTCGGCAAAATATACCTGCCAGCGATTTAGATCCTGTATGGCCATTGTAGAACTTAAGCATTGGAGCGCTGCGTTGTTCAGCCCCGCTCTTCGCTTTCCAGGTTGTCAATCAATGAGTGCGTTTTGGCATTCGGGGCTCGGGATTTGCAGCTTCGGGCTAAGAGGATCGCAAACCATCCAGGTCCACTTAACCAGGCCAGGCCTCTTCAAACCCGTCTCAAAAACAACAATTGATGTTCGTGGCTCTGGTAGGGCATCAGGCGTCACGATGCCCTCAACCCTTTGTCCCTCATCCCGAGAGCCCGCGAAGTAAGGGATCGCCAGCGTGGCACGGCATCTTCACGGCTTTTCGGTGGCCATGGTGGCCGTGCCAACGGCTGCGTGACCGGGGCCCTTGGCAGTGTTTGCACAACACAAGGTGTGAGGAACAAGCCGTACGCCGTTTAAGCCTTCGACCTCGAGGTCTCGGGCTGGGGTTTGAAGGGATTGAGGGGTGGACGGTTGAAGTCCAGAGTCTAGTCTAGTCTAGTGCTGAGGTTCATCTGGGGCGCACTGGCACCGGTCCGGGCGGTCGAAATGCCGGAGCCGGAGCGTAGCCGCCTCGGAGTTCATGGGAAGTGAGAAGTTTTGGTTCGGTTCTGGTTCGGTTCTGGTTCGGTTCTGGTGCAGTTCTGGTTCGGTCCTTCGTCTTTGAGCCCTGTAACTTTATCGCCCCACTAACATCAAGCCGCGCATCGAGTCAACTGCGGTCAAGCTGAATCCGCTTTGATGCAACTCACAAACAAAAACACCATCACCAGCCTATGCACAAGGGTAAAAATCCTCTCTCGGGACACCCGGCCCGGTCGCGGCCAGAAGCCAGGCTGCGGATAGAGGTTGGGTTGACCTGAGCTTCTTGTACTCGGGAAGCGTGAGGCTGTTGGGGTTGAGAGCTTCAGGATTTTTAAGAGCGTAGAAGCTTGGGTAGCACATTTAGACTAGACCCTGGAATCCGCCTCCCAACGACCAAGTCCTGAACCTGTGAAGCCACCAAACTCCAACATCCCTGAAATCATCTGAAACCCTCAATCCCCAACCCAACACTCCCAACAGCTTTCAGCGCCCTCGAGTTTAGGCAGTTTGGGGGTCTAAAGCGCTTGGGGTCTTAAAGCTTGGGCTTGACTGCCCTTACCAGAAACCGCAAGATGTCACGCGATGTTCGTCCCAGGACTCCAAAACCTCAACCAAAAACTCATATCGCACCGCCAAACCTGCGGCCTTTGACTGCGCCAAGACGGTGCCAAGACGCAGCCACCCCACGGCTGCTGCCAAGTGAAGCCGGGAAAAGCAGGCGCAGGCATACTGGGCAATTTGGCGGTTTTGCTTGGGGTTTTGGAGTTTGGGGTTTTTTCGGGTTTGCGGGGTTTATGCGGTTCAAAGGCTTCATGGCCTAGGGATTGCGGGGTCGGGTCGTTCCTAGTATGTCGAAGTGGCTCGCTGACTGAGGGTTTTGGCTTTGTCCGGCAACCCTTTCACAGCGGTCCATACGGAGAAGGTTGGAAACAAAAACTCCCACAAGCTCTAAGGTCCAAGGAGCTACTTGTAGCTCTCGTTTCGAGAGAATCAACAACAAACCCCACGAGCAAATCTGTGCTATGAGCAAATCTGCGCTATCGGCTTGCATGTCGACGTCTGCTTGGCGGAGCTGACCATAAACTCCGGGCCCATGACGATGTCAAAAACCAGTTCAAGCAGCGTGTAGGCTTCCATGGGCTTAAAGGATAAGAAAGAAGGATTGGTGCTGGCGTGCTGGAGTTCGATCCACGTGCAGGTCTCGGGCGCCTAGGCGTCGAGTAGGGCCAGCCGCCACCAGGTGGCTGCCAGGGTCGGGAAGGTCCCGCATTCTCCTGGATTTCTATGATGAAAGTAGGCTTTGTGGCCCATCCCGCGGGGTCGTTCGGATTGAACTCAGCTAAGTAGTCCCTCTTATGACTCTTCACCTGGGTTTCCAAAGGAGCACCAGCACCCACTCCCAGAGAATAGAGAATAGAGAATACCGCAAAGGACCCCGCAGAGCAACCCCCCCAGAATCCCGCGGAGAATCCATCCCCGACGATGTCCGCACACAACCCTCTCCCATTGTGCCTGGAGTGCTAGCCCCAGCAAACCCAGCAGAGAATCCCATCTTTCTCTATCTTTCTCTTGGGGCCTAGGTGACTCTGGATAGGCCTGGGCCCTGGCCTGCCATTTTGGGCTTAGGCCTCGCAGGTGGGCGAACCTAATCGGAGACCGCAATCCACCTGAAGCATTCTGAAACACCAAAGCACAGCAAAACGCAAACTGTGAAACGGTCTAGAAGCCATCTACCCCGTGTCAAAGCCACGCCCTAGACCGAAACCCCCACACCTCAACATCCCTGTCCACCCAAACAAACCATCCGTTAGCACCATGTATCACCCTAACTTTAAAACCCTATAATCCACCCTTAACTCCCAAACCGAAAGAAAACCCAAGAACACACACACACACACACACCCACCCCACCCGCCCGGATCCTGTGTCGATGCCTGTGGTGCCGGCTCGGGCTCCTTCTCTTTCAAGCGCGGTTCTATTGCTAGGTTAGGGCTTCAGTTCAGTGATTCTGGGGGAGGTGTTCAGAATTAAAAGCAGGCTGAAAGCCTGTGCGGGAGTTCGGGCCTTTGCTGATTCTCCAAACCCTAAACCCACGAAGATTGGAGCCGCCTCCGGCATCCGGGACAACTCAACTCTGCACCCCCAGACCCTAGACTTTTAAACCCTGCGAAATCTCACAACCCTATCCTGGTACAAGCCCCCCAGACCCTCCGTCGATGCCTTCTCCGGCGCCGCTTTCTGGGGCTCCTCTGGAGCTGATACGGTTCTTGAGGCTGCTTAGGCCGCTTAAGCCGTTTAGGCCGTTTAGCCCGTTTCGGGTTTGGCGATGCTTGGGGCTGAGGTGAAGCAACAAAAACCTAGCTCTAACCTGAGCAGCATGGGTCACTTGCAGCCCTACAAATCTTTCTATCCAGGAACCTTACAACAGGACTCAAGATGTTGCTGGAAGGCCTAGCTCGGGCTCGTCAGACTGATTTTGAATCCTGTCAAAGCCTCCAGGAGCTAGTTGGCAGGATCGAACGGCCTGACACCCTCCCTGAAGCAAGTTAAGGCTTAGGGATGTTCAGGCTCTCAAGACTTGGACGAAGATGACGAAGCATCTCGGCTTAGGGTTTAGCAGCAGCTTTGAAAGTTCAGCATGCGCCTCCTTCCTCTGGCGCTCCTCTGGCGGTCGAATGGGCAGGTGAGCAGAGTCCTGGAAAGCGGGTTAAGGGATGTTCAGGGTGTAGGGCCCGGGAACGAGACGTTTCGGGCGTTGCCCAAACTGCGGCATCGCGCTCGGAGTGTAGAAATCTTGGGGAAGTATGTCAGACTTAACTTCCGGGCATAGGGTCCTACAAAGACGTCAGAGTCCTGTCGCTCTGGCCTGGATGGGTTGTGCACCGAAAACGCTTCGAGGGACCCTAACGACCCCGAAGCAACTCCTTCGGAGAGAGGGCTGCTGGTCTTGTGGTTCTGCGGCTTCAGGGGTTTTTCACTTGTAAGATGTTTGGGACGAACAAGCCGTTAACCCGCGGTGATGCTGGAGAGGTTTCCAGCTCCTTGCAGCTTGTTCTTTCATGCTGCACACAAGATGCCCATGACTGGCACTTCGGGCCATGTTCAGCCATGATGCAGAAATGCGATCTGTGTCTGGGAGTTGGAAAAGGAGGCTGAAAAGTTGAGAGCTGAGAGTTGAGAGTTGAGAGTTGAGAGTTGAGAGTTGAGAGTTGAGAGTTGAGAGTTGAGAGTTGAGAGTTGAGAGTTGAGAGTTGAGAGTTGAGAGTTGAGTGTTGAGAGTTGAGAGTTGAGAGTTGAGAGTTGAGAGTTGAGGGGTTGGGGCGAGGTCCTTGACCAGGCCGAGGAGGTCGCTCTTCTCCTCAATACTGAGTCAATGCATTCGTTGAGTCGAGAAATTCAAATGGAATGTCAATGAAGCCCTTTTCGAAGCCCTCCCCCCGAGAATTTATGAGCCCAGGTGCCGTGACCCAAGCAGGGATGCGCACGGCGCGGGCTTGAAGGAACGCCTTGAGGTCCTGTGTGGAGGGTCAGAAAGGATCCGAAAGGGAAGGAGGTTCTGCAGAGCCTGGAGGCCCGGCACGCGGGCTCTTGAGGGCTTACTGCGGCTTACCCTCTCAACTCCCCAAACACCCTGAACATCCCCGAACCCTATGCAAGGTCCAGAGCCGGCGGTCCTTCACGGACATCTTGGTGAAGTCGGGAGGCTCCTCTGCCTGACCATGCAAAAGTGGACGTATGGGTTCGGATTTGGGTTTAGCTTTGGGGCTCTAGGTCGAAGGCGTACGGCTGGAGGTGTCAAGCAAGTCTTGTAACTACACTCAGGACCCGAAGGACATGCATCACAATAGCAAATCCACGACGAATTTTCATAGCAGCCAAAAGACAGCAGCACAAATGCTTCACCAAATTACTTAAAACTTAGACTTCAAACGAAGGTCTAAACATCAGGCTCCCAGTCCCGAGAACCCCACAGTATCAAAAGTCCAACCCAACAGTCTGGTCCTCGGGCTCCTCCTCTCCGTCCTCCTCCACTGTGATCGGATCCTCCGGCGGCGCCTGTCTTCGGTGCGGGTCGCAGTGTGTCGAATTTAGGGACTGTCGAAACCAAATGCAGACAGCCCACTCGTCATGGCATGAGACTGATTCTCTGTTGCGAGGCTGAGGCTGTCAACACTCGAACCTCGAAGATGCTCATGGCTGCTAATTAAGGAAAATCTCCTCCGCATGTTTCAGGTGCGAGGGCTCGGGTTAAACTATCCTCCTTCATCTCAATAGAACGTCCTCGAGCTCTGTGAACTCTTCAAAGCGACCACCCTCAAGCACAGCATGTCGCTGTTCAGCAAACATGCAAACTCTTATACTTCAAAGACCTGGGTGCAAGATGTCTTGAGCTAGTGCTCGGTGCTCGCATGGGTCATAAAGTTCATGTGAATGTACGTTCTTTTTGCGACGGCTTGGTTCAATTGCCCATGACTTAGGTTGAAGGGCTTCCGACGCGTGCCGTCAAGGTGCCTCCGGATCAAACTCCTCCTGACCGACCTCTGCGTGGTCATTCATGTCCTCTCACAAATGCGCCCTCTGTCACTACCATATGGCTAAAAAGAGTGCTAGTTGTGTCTAAAGCCCCAAGTTTGTGCTTTCTACCATGACGCGAAGGTTTGCTCTCACTGGATCATCCAAAACATGCCAAAACCCAGGCCACGCCCAGGCCATCAGGCCTCACAGGCGTGATTACGAAGCACATGAGGCACCTTCCCTTCCTTCCCTTCCCGCTCCTCGCAATCTTCCTCCGCCTCCTCCGCTTCCGCGCCGCCATCCTTTACGGAGCAACTGGCAGAGGAGCTTGTCACTATCTGACTCGCAATGCTCTCAAAGAAAATACCTTGGCTAAACGCTGCTTAGGAGTCTGGGAAAAGTTCTAAAATGAAACGGTCGGTGATGGTGAGGATGTTCTGGCAGACGCAGTTGCAGATCTTACGGACGATTGCTCCGGGGTCATCTTGTCGCATCGCATGCTCAATCGCCCAATCTGCCGACCGTCTGTGAAAATGCTCATGCGCTAGTTACGTGCCTTCGAAGGCAGTGCCATTGGTCGACAGTCCCTTTTCGCAGGTGGTGCTTGCCGATGCTGGGCGGTTGCCCATCAAGTGCAGGCACCGGAAGGGGTTGGCAGCACACAGATTGTAGAGCGGATCTGCAGATTCTGAAGGGCGATCATGTAATGCGCGGTTGTTGCGAAGCTCTGTGATCATGCAGGCATCTTCCTGCGAAGGTTGTGCTCACGTTATCGTGTTTCCCGCAATGACCTCGTCCAGGCGCGCGTGCTGCATTCGGAAAGTGTACAACAAGACTGCTGGAAGCCTTTCGACCTGGTATGCGAGCGGTGCTACGCCTTGCTGCGCTGCACAATGTACGCGGCGCGCTTATGTGCTGAACACAACTGATGCGAACGTTTACAAAAGCGTGGTGAAGAAAGCGTACGATTGTCATCTCCGCCTGGAAGATTCTGAAAGCACACTACCGTCAGATCATTCGTCCCAGAGCCCAGATCCCATTCGCATCTCAGCTGCGAACCAAGTACAGCACCACTCTACTCTGCAATCCCTCGACTCCGCCTCGTTGGGCTCCGCCTCCTCCACCTCTGCCTCCTCGCAATCTGCCTCCTCCGGTGCTGCCTCCTCTGGCTCCACCTCCTCCATCTCTTCCTCTGCCGGCTCTGCCGGCTCTGCCGGCTCTGCCTCTGCCAGCTCCGGTATAGCCTCCAGGTCGCCCTCATCAAACATCTCGTCGGGCATGTGGTCCTTGCCAACAAATGGGTTTGGGGGTGTCAGTTTTTTGTTTTTTGCTCTGGGTTTTTGCGTGATCAGCCAACCAACAACACACAAACACCTGGCACGGCCCCAGGCTAGACACGGCCACTACCAGAGACGGACCTTGGAGTTCCGGGTTTTTAACCTGACCAGATCTGGAAATCCTGATGCTAATCTGGAGTTTGGGGGTTGGCAGATGGTTGCATTCATGCAACCGCCGCCTCGTCTATCCCCTCGGCGATGGCATCAATCTCGTCCAACTCATTGGAATTCGCCTTCTTTTCGCCTGTTTGGGGTTTAGATGGGCTTCGGGCGGGGGTTAGGGAACAAGGGGCTTAGCGATTATCTCGGGCATTTTCGGAGCTTGTTGTGGGGAACAAAGATGCCAAGCCCACAAGCCGGGCAGCCCGACTCATTGAGTGCAAGGCTTTGGGATCTTGGTCATGGTCGGTAAAGCAACCGCAAGGTTCGAGATGCTTGGGGTCTACAACGGTCTACACTCGTTTATACCCTAAATAGTACACAACGATGTGCCTCAATGTCCTGACCTCCCAAACCCCGAAGCCTGGAGCAATCAGAAAGACGGAGCTTGTACTGCCACCCGGAACCGCGAAGACACCACAAACCGATCTCAGGTTGGTGACGGTATTCGAAGAACCTTTGCTGTAGAAGCCTAATCCCTCAAAGAAGGCCCAAACGAAGGCCCAAACGAAGGCCCAGGACTCCCTCAAGCCTTCTCCATCTGAGCCAAGCAATCGGCCGATCAACGTCCCTGGCTCCTGGTGGCAGGGAGAGCGGCTTGGCTCAAGGCCTGTGAGAGACACACTCAGGCATCTTCAGGCATAGCGATGAAGTGCCGCAGGTTGGTGGCTAGGAGAGGGGGAGAGGTGGCCATCGAGAGCGGAAGCTGTTATGCCATGTGTGATGGCTTCTTCGGCTTCTGAAAGTGTCTTAGGCAAAACACCTTAGAAAAACACGTCTGAGAACAAAACAACCTTAAAATCCCCGAGGCCGGAGGCCTGAGGCGTTTCGATCCAGGTCTAGGGAACCCCCCAATCCCGACCGGTGGGGAAGTGCGCGGGCGGGCTGTTTTTCCCGAAGACCAGTGTCCAGCTGCGGACGACGTGCCGGGACTGGCGGGGATCTTGGGTCAGGCATACCGGGCGGATGCGAAATTCTGCGTGATTGACCCTTTAGCCCCCCCTCCCTTTGGTTGCCCTTCTCTTTCTCCCTCGCCTACCCCCTCCACTCTTCCCCTCCTAACCCACCCACCTATCATCATAATTCTCCTGTGGCCCCTGCCCCTCCACCCCCCTACCCCGCTTACACCACGTGAACCCTTAATTGCATTGGTATCCGAGGTGGCTTCGCGTTAGCGGTTAAATCATAACACGCCTCAGAACAGCCACTGTTCAAAAAACCACAGAAACCATGGACAAACCTGGATTCGTAGTGGAAAGGCGTCAATTTGGAACACACTCCACGTTCCAATCTGACACTTTTGGGGCGCTTTCCAAGTTGACACTTTGCCGCATTCGAAACTTGACAGCTTTACAGGTTTGGCGGCTTAACGTTCAGGGTTAGCGGTCATGGCAATCGCTGCTTGTGAGCCACGTGGGCTTGTAGTTGGATTGATACGGCGCAGCCCGAAACATCAAACCTGCTTGAACGTCCAAGCCCTGTTCCGGCATCCTGACTTCACTTTGGGCACCTCAGGCATCAGGATGCCTCAGGCACCCTCCCCCAACTCCCAAGTCCGATTCTCCTGCTCCTCCTCCTCCTCCTCGTGCTCCTCGTTTCCGCCTTCGACAGCCTGCATGAGTTTGCGTGAGTTTAGGGACTTGTGAAGTTGTGAAACAGCTGGCGTAGGAATCGCTTCAGGAATTGATGGATGCGAGGATTGTTGCCTTTGTACTCCTTACTCCTGCTGACTGTAAGATGAAGATGGGTTTCAACAAGACTTAGACGAGAAAGTTCTATTTTAACTGCTGCAGGCCCTGGGCCCCTGGCGGCCAGCAGTCCTGCTGCAGTCCTGCTATGTGATTTCCAAACAATGTAAGCCCCTGAAACCACCTGAAACTGAACAACCCACCGACGCAGAACCTTGACCCTGAAATCCAAAAACACCTTCCCTAAACCCCGAAAAATCACCCAAGCACGAACACCGACTCCGAGCACAAATCACGGAGGCCCCGCACCAGGTTCTTGGGCAGCAGGGCTTTGATGCCGTCGTGCCGGCCTGCGGTCTAACCGTGTTTCCGGGGTTTAAAGATTAGAGAGGATGTTGGCGCTTAGGGCTTGGGGGCTTCAGGGGTGCAGTGGCTTGGAGGTTGAGCTGGGGGAGCTTGGTCGACATATGTCAGCATGAGCCATAACATCCTACAACCCTCCATGCCACCAGGCTCAAAGCCGAGACCTGAAAGGCTCCACGAATGGTTGGTTGATCTGAACATACCTGAACCATTCACTGAACCATTAAAGGCACAGGGCACAATGCGAGACATTGACAAAAACGAGCCTAGGTCGACTTGCCAACGGCCAGTCCTCTCGTCGAGCTGGATGAGGGTGCCAACCTGTGAGGGATTCTTTGGGAAGCCTTGGCCGCAGCCATTGGGGGAAGGGAGGGGGGGTGGGGCACTGTGGGGGCATTTGAACTGGAATTCCGTGAGTTTGTCAGCCGTATCACAAGGTGAAGATGCATGAAAGCCATGCTCCTAAACCAGGACTGCAAAACAACACCTGCATGAACTAACCGTCTAGCCGAGTCTACCCTACCCTGCTAAGCCTCGTCAAAACTCCCAATCAACAGAGTTGAGGTTGTGCGGAGAAACTAAGTGAACTTCTTGGGGCAGAGAACATTACCACCGATGCATATAAACCCCCCTCCACACATGTACATGAAGTTGGCACGTAAGCAAGAGTTAGGGCAGTATTACCACAGTCTGGGAGCCCTTTTCTGTTTCATGATGGACACGTAAACTGTCGCGACCCCAAGCTTTTGGCAGTAACCACGTTAAATGGAATGCGCCTCGCGTCTGGGTCTGGAACAGGCAGACCGGGATCCGGTATCCTTTCCCCCCTTCCCAACCCTTCCCCCCCCCCCCGATCGCTTGGAATGGCCGCAGGCTGATGCTACAGAGGCAGCGCCCAAAAATGCAGCAAACTCAGATTTTTCTGCCATGGGACCCAGGGGTGTGATGCTGGAACTCCCCCTTGAACCCCTGGGACCCCCCGTTGCACCCCTCCTGGAACCCCCTAAACCCGCCTTTGAGTTTCAAGAAGCCCTTTTCCCTGCGACAGGTTTGGCCTGGCTGCCCACGCGGCTCGGGCAGGCGCTTGCAATTACAAGTTTGCATGCATGTTGCTTATGGGTTCTTCGTTCCAGGAGCTAGTCCATGGCGGGCAGCAACCATCCCGCAACCACATGATAACCGAACATAACCGAACCCTAAAGCTCGAATGGCTCCTCAGCATCCCTCCTCTACAGCCCTGAAGCGCTGCGGATGCCGTCCCAAACAGAAGAACAAAGGATCCATCCGGGTGCCGGGCCCGCCCGTTGAGAGACGCCTGTGAGGCGGGCTAAATGGCTTCATGTGTCGAATTTGCATGTGGATGAATCAGGCAAAAAGAAAGTTATGCAGGAGCCTTCTGCGAATCATGAGGGAGGGTTTTCGACCCGCAATGTGGAGCCACCGGCAAGTCCGGTGCCAGACCCCAACAAGGCATAAAGCACCCTTACAAATCACTCAACCTCTAAAGGCCCTAAACCCCCAGCCAAGCTTCCCGCCGCATTGAGGTTGTGCAGGCGCACAGAACGTCCGACAGCGAGGTCCTACGAGTACAGTTGAGGGTTGGTAGCTTCGGGGCGTGCCGCCAACAGCGTGGCACAGTGAGACGGGGAGGCTGTTGGAAGCGGCCTCGTGCTCCCCGAACATGAGACTCATGTGCAAGCATTGTGAGTGGGTGCGTGATTTCAAAGCGTCGCAGGGTCAGAGTAGACAAGCTTGAAACATTGGCTTTGCGCACACACTGAGACTTGCGAGAACTTGGGAGGGTGTTTTTCCGCTTTGGGGAAGATTAGAAGTTTCGGACTTTTCGGATCAGACTGTTCGGACTTTTCGTGCGGCGGGGGGACGGCCTTAAGGGCGTTGGAATTCAGACCCCTGCTTATCTGCGACACCTGTCATACAAGCACAGTCCCCCCGGCCCCCTGCTTATCTGCCACGTCTCATACAAGCACTGAGCACAGTCCCCCCAACCCTCACGCTGTGACGTCTCTGAGCCCCCTGAACGCCCCACCCCCCCAAACCTCCCCCAGAAGCAAAACCCCAGAGCTCTCAAAAACATGAGCGCGCCGCCTAAATTTCCATTGAGGCCCCCGTTCAGGGCCCCTTTGAAGCCCGACTTGGATCTAGACTTTGTGGGTTTCAGAAAAGGCTCGGTGTAGCTTTAGCACGGCCTTGGTCCCCAAACCCTAACCATCCCGAAACCCTCCTTCAAACCCAACTCATCCTAAGCAAAAACCCCAACCCCGTCCATGCATCCGATGCAGCGTGGCGTCAGACCATGGAGGACGACTAGGGTTTTGGGTCTAGGGCTTGGGGAATTTTAGGGTGTAGCTGTGGGGCTCAAGTGCGGCTCAAGCCTGTGTTCAGAGGTGGGCTTCGGAGTTCTGGCTTCAGGATGTAGGCTCGTGATTTATGGCGAGAGGGGCTTGCACCTTCGGACTTAGGTGGTTGAGTGTTAGGGTTGGGCATTGTAAGCTTGGTTGTTTAAGGTATGGATGGGGTTTCGGGTTGCAGGGTTGAGGGCTTTAGGGTCTCAGGTTTTTGGCTTTTTCTTGACTTTAATTAGCGGTTGGGGGTCTTATTTGGAAGCCTCCGGGGCTGCGCAGGCGAGGGTCGTCGTTTCCGTATTAGTGGAAGGCTTAGACGCTTAGAATATTCATCGACAAAGCATGGCTGAGTGCGCATAGCACATCAGGTTCCTGTCCCAACCAAGCACATGCTCTCTGAACTCCATGAGCCTAGACCCTGCACATCTGTTTATCTTGTCAGCTTGGGCTGCTACAAGGGTTATCGACTTTACCTGTTCAGTGGTCCCTGGAGACCCGCACTATTTTCCTCTGGGCCCTGACCGCGGAACCTTAACAGCCGAACCCAAACCTTCAAGCCTGAACTTTGTCAGGCCGGACCCAAAATGATTCATAGAATGTGGCTCGAATCTCGCTCAGGGTTCTCTAGGGCTGCTCCGCATTGTTTTGATTTGTTCTTGAAGGCTTCTAGAGAGACCCGCTGTGCCAGGGATTAAGGTTTACACGATGTTTTCAGTGTCTGTCGCCGCCGAACTATTCTTCCAGAGCAAATACTCCAGTATGTAGAGTCGGAAGATGCCGCCGTGACGAATGCGAGGATCAAACTTCACAGGGTGAAGCAGCATAGGAATGATAACTGGGAATTGGAGGTATCACAACACTAGTGCCCGCCTGGTTTGAGGGTTGGAGCCATGGCTTTCAGGGCTTGGGGCTGAATTCCTGCGACTTCCCCATTGACATGTTGCACTGCTCCAATTTGAAGGTGTCGGTGAAGGTGTCGGGGAGTCAATGGCTGCATCTTCGTCCTAAAGGCTGCGAAGGGAGTTTTTCCCAGCTCACCAGCCGTGAAACGGGCGCCTCGGCCCAAGCCCACCTAAAGGACCTAAACTCACCGGCGTCATCTCGGCTGCGTTTAATTAAGTTCATCGGCTTTAGTAAGCCATCGGCTTCATTAAGCCATTGAGGCGTGGGTAGCATTTTAGCCTACGTTTGTCAGCCCGGACGCCTAATGGTCATCGGCGACTCGCGCGCAGAGCGAAGGAACCTGAATCCATTCAGGGCTTGGAACGTAGATGCGTAAGTCAGGGATATTTTCTGAATGGAGGTGTAGGAACTTGGGGTTTGGGTCATGTAGGGATTGAGGCTCACAGGGTGCAGGACTTCGCGAAAATGAGGCTCCAGGTGTGAAGTGACCAGCGAAGACCTCCCAAACAAAACTGAGTGGAGGGCATTGCCACTTGCTTGGGCGCTGGTGCCTACATCAGGCGTGGCTCTTTCTGGCTTAGGCTGTTGAGGGCTCGGGTATACGAAGGTCTACGCTATTGCCGTTGAGCAGTCTGGCGTGGGAGGTGGGCTTTAGGTCTTCCGGGTAAAGGGCTGGACCGGGCTAGGGTTTGCCTTTACCATGGCCTAGGCACTGGCCAGGTTTGCAGCGCGCCTGCGGTAAGCGTTCGACCCGCTCTGCCTGGCGAGCTCTCTCCAGGACTTCAGAGGCCAGCAAATGCCGCATGATGAGACGTGGTTAGCAGCACCAACCCACCGACCCAGTTCGTGACTGACTTGTCAGGCACAAACGAAGCACTCACCAAGTCAAAACTGGCGAATCCTGCTTTGAAGTGTCTATGCCATGAAGGCACCTGCGAATCTTAGCAGTCCTAGCGTTGGCACCACGACAAAACCTCCACATCTTCGGTACATCCGACTTCTATCACGAACCAGAAAATGCCGTCACAAGAAGCAGCATTCCCGACCTCTTTTAGGATTGCAGGGTCGGGTGGGTTGTGGTCATACAGTACCCTCTCCTGGTGGGCAATACGGAAACTCCCAGCCACCTGCCTTGCGTGCCGCTTGGCGCGCTGCAAAGATGTGCGCGAGATTCATGTCCTGGGCCAGAGCCCATGTTTTCAGTACATGATGTAACTTCCTGACAAGCATCTGGAGATTCGGGTGATTTATGGTCTACAGATTTGAAGCGAGCCCAAAGCCCTGAAGCCAGGTCAGCACACCATGCCACCGTGGTTCGGCGTGTGAAGAGGCAGGGTGCAGGGTGCGGAGATAAGGTTTCGTTACGTTTGTTTCGGTCCGGCCTAGAGCCCAGAAAACGACCAACTTCCCGGGTCCCCAACTTTAAAGAAAGGGTGGCAAAGTTCTTATTCACGCTGCAAGAGAAGTATCTACAAGGAGAAGCTTCTGTTGGTTTACTGCTCCTGGTAGGTCCTATTGGCTGGGCCCCTTGCTTTCGCCCGTGGTGACGGCGCCTCGGCTGGGACCCGAACCAGATTATCCCTGCCACAATAGTTACCACAAGATATCTGGAACTGCGGCTAATCTCTTGCTATTCCCCAGGCTTAGGAGACCCTGTGGTAAAGCAAATCTCCAGGATCTTCGGCAAGACCTGATATAGCTCAAAGTGTATTCGCCAGGCGTGCACAGAGGCGGACGTTTGCAGCAGTACATGACCAATGGTTTTGGAGTAATCGTCATCCTACACCTGCCGAAACTCTTTTTGCACTAGCACATTCTCCGGGTAAGGGGGTAAAGCATGTGTCAGAATTTCCAAGATGTAAAACCCTAATGAGCCCTCGAAAGCCTACAAAACTTTCGATGCCCTGGGCCACCAGTTTGGGGTCCTCACCCGCGGCTCGTCTTCCTCCTCTTCCTGCAATACGATTCGAGGATTTGGGAATATGGGATGTTGACTTGCCTGTCGCTCTGGATACTTTAGTGTAGCTGCGAAGTTACATCTACAAATTTGACCTGCTTATGAACCTCCACGACTGCTTATGCACATCCAAAAAACACGCAGAACCCTCGAAACGAAAAGCTTCAAGCCTAGATTGCAAAGCCCTACAGTATCCTAAAGTCAAAGCCCTCAACCCAGCCTGAAACCATAAAGGCCTCAACCCGAAACGCCCTTAACCCCAACAAGGCAGCCGGAAGCACCACGGGTCTGAGGCACACGAGGGGCTGCCGGAGCTTCTTCATGACCTCGGAGGCTTCGGGCGTAATCACGTGGCTTTGTGGGTGACAGGGCTTAAGCGTTTGCATGGTGTTATGCATCTTACACGAGCAATAAGGTAAGTAAGGGCTTGGGATGTAGAGGGCGAGGAGGAGTGTTGAGGCTTGGTGTATGGGCCTAACACTGCTGTGTCCAGGCTACGACTACGACTCTTTTGGGTTCAATGAGGAATGTTTGAATGTTTTAGGACATTTGTTCTTCAAGGTTTGGGAGGCGGGACCTATATAGAACCCAAGCCTGAATTTCGGCAGGTCGTCGTGAGCTCCGATTGGACCCTATAGTCGGTCTGCAAGACCATGCTTGGGGCACGTTGTTGAAGCTTCCCGATGACCAAAGTCCCATTCAGCAAATTTGCCCCACGTAAATCGTGAGGTTCTTGGTGTGGTCGGCGCAGGAAACCTACTTGTTTGGATTTTTGAATTGGTTTAGGGATGGGAAGTTTCCGATGCATTGCGCAGCTGAATCTTTCAAATTTGCATGCAAGCTGCAGTATCTGCACGTTGGTGGTTCGCATTGGTCACAGTGAAGTCCACCTGCCGCACAACTGAATGAGGCTCCACATGGGAAGATGATGCCAGCAGCGGCTTACTCTCCTCCAGCAGGAGGAGAAAGCACAGTGCACCACTCGATGTCCGCATCAACACCCCCGACCATTACTGTTTACAACACCGTCAGCCGATGGTCCCTCTCTTCTTCTCTGAGGACCTAGGGGGCAAGTCCCCCACACACACTTGGGCCCGGCTTTCGGGCCTTGGCACTGCGCATGCGGCGGGTCACGAACTCCGCCAAAGCATCGGCCTCCAGTCAACAAGTGGGGGCTGCGCCAAGACTGTCATGTCTGTTCTCGGGGCGATTCGGCAGAGGCCTACGCGATCAAAAATCTTCGGCGGCACGGTCGTGAGTCACGTCCCGCTTGACATGCCAGACAGACATCGTCAACCCGAAACCTCGCGCACATCTACGAGAAAACATTTTGCGAACCACCCGTGAAGAACTGATCACGAAAGCCCTAAACTCCAACCTAATCATGAGGAGTCAGGTGGCTCGCCTGGAACAGCCTGCACACTCAACCACGCAAATCAGATGACCCTTCGCAAGGAGAACAAAAAAGCGTTCCTACCTGACAGAGGAATGCGTCATCTTTCCTCAGAACGAAAAGAAGCCTGAATTCACCTGCAGTGCTTAAGTTTTGGGCACCTGCTTCCCCACCTCTAATCCCTTCCCCACAAGCGCCGCCCCTCCCACTTTGGGCCGCCCAAACCCCTAACTTCCAAGGACGAAACCGTTGGGGTCGTTCCAGGAGGTCATGGGTGTGCAAAAGCAACTCGTGCTGGGCAGTACGGGAAGCTGAAAAGACCCGGCTGCCAACGGTTTACAAGCGAAGTTGTGTGCCAGAACAACTGTTACACATGAAAGGAACCACAAGTTGCCTTGAATCCAGAACGCGAAATCCTCCAAAGCCACAAAGCCTGAACTCGAAGCCTAGCACCAACGAACGGCACAGGATCACAGAATGCGACATCTGCCAGGGGACGCTGAAGCGAGCGCCGCCGCCTGTGCGAACGCGATCGCCTTTGGCCAAGCACGAACCAAGCTTTTTTAACTTTACCCTGAAGCGCATAGTCTTCAAGCAGCTCTTGACACTCGAACGAATGGAGGGTCTGCAGCATATTCCAAACAAAGCCAGTGCACTGCAGCAACTTGGTGCAAAACGTTTCGCTCCTGAAGCTTACAGATTGGGGCCTTCCCCACACCGGCAGATGGGGCAGGTCTCATTGGAGCGATCAATCCAGCCTCGGAGGCACCTTGAAAACACATAGAAGGCAACGGATCAGTCCAAGAGATTTTCGACGGATCTGGACGATGTGGCATTGCGGCTTCGCATGTTGAGCATCAGCATGACAAAAAAGTGAACTTTTCTCGTGGCTTTTTGGGTACACTGATTCAATCGCCCACGGGACCCTTCTCGGGTGTCTTTCCTTCTACAAGTAACGGAAGCTAGGGTCGCGAGGCAGGTACATACAGAATCCCAGGCTTCACACATAAACGCCATGCATGATTCCGCGAAGGACCAGCAAGCTCCTGACTCACTCCGTGCCCTTCACACCACCACCACCATCGCCACACATCACCATCTTCATTACACGAGCTTCCCCACATCAGCAACACCGGAACCTGGGCATCCCGGCTTCGGGTGGAAAGCATGGCCTCCTGGGCAGGACCTGGCTCGGGCTTCTGCGGTCCGGGAGCCAACAGGCGAACCTCCCCGACCACAACAAACTGATGTTGCAAGGCTTGCAAGGCTTGGTGGCTACAGCATTGAGTACATCAGCTTTACTTCGCAGCTGGTGTGAAGCGCAAGAGGCCACAAACCCATCCAGCGCCTGTTGGAGTCAAACCCAAACCCGCCCAAATGTCCTGGAAACCACCCAAAGAAGCTATGGCTCCCGACGCCCTGCGGAGCTCCTCTCCGTCGGCGAAATCGCAGAGGCAGATGGCACCTCGGCGCTTCCAGAGGCTTTCAGGGAATAAGGGTTCAGGGCTAAGGTTTACGGCTGCTGTTCTGGGGCTGTTATAGGGCTTAGGGCCTTAGGACAGGGCAGCAGCTCGGCTCGGTCAGGTGTTGCAAAACTTCTCCAGGTCCAGCCCTTCTTGCTTCCTCCAGTGCCATGGCCGATGAGCGAGGTTTAGCCCCGCTTTTCTCCGCTTCCCTACTCATCCTAGTCTCAAACCCCCCAACTGAAGGGCCACGACTGCGTGTTTGTCGTCGCCTTCCCGCGCACGAAAACGAGGCGTGGTCCACACAGGCACGGGTGACGTTGCCAGCTGGCCGGCAACAGACTCAACTCCCTGGACTCTTCCGGTTTGAGGGTGCAGCGCGCCTGACACTGACTGCGGATCCAGCTCTCTGCAGGTTCACCTCTCACACTTGCTTCAGATCTCTCTGTGCGTCGGCGTCCTCTGTCACTCATTGCAGGGGGTCTTGCGGGCAAGTTCGATTTGAAGGCCCTGCCCCAAGCTCGGCCTGTTGCTCTTCTCTTGGTGTGTGCTTTAAAGCCAGCCTCCCTCAGAATGCCAGATGCTCATCGGCGTAGCAAGGGCTATGCCTATGCCCACCGTCAGTATGTCCGATGAAATAGAACCTCTTGGCTTCCGAGCTTTGGGGGTGCGAGGCTCTCGCACGCTCAGTGCGCGGCAGGAGGTGTACTCCCAGACGTCTGGATTTCTTGCCAAGCTATCTGGCCTTGGCGAGGGGCAGGTCCAACCCTACTGTAAAGCCCTAAACTTGAAACAAACGTAAACCTTACGGATCTTCAAGGCATGTGCACCCAGAAGGGTCAGGAACTGTCACCACTAGTTGCTATCAGTTGTTAGTAAACGGCACCCCGATTTGGGCGGCCGACATCAGCTTCCTCAGCTCGATCTCCTACAGGGCAGACTGGGTGCAGCCTCTGGGCATCGAGTATTTCAGTATTTCAACTCAAGCCCAAATTGTGAACAATTAACAATGGGTCCCTGAGCCCATAGATCCCCGTCGACTATCTAAGACCATGGTAAGGAGCATTTGCACAGCTTGCAGATTTCTTAGGGTTGAGGCTGCCGCACGCAACCTACTGTCTTGCTGTACACGTCACCATGATGCAGGCCTGGGCATGCGCTTGCAGACACTTGGTGGCACACCGTCTAGGGCATGGTGACCACGCCTCGCCTTTGTCACACTGTTTTTTCTCCTCGCGTGAGAGCCTCAACGCTAAATTCCAAACCCTAGACCGCAACACCGTAAACCCTTTGGGTTCTTCTTCAACAAGTGCCTATGGGGATCAAGGCTAGGGTGCGCTACCCATTGGACTTAACGGGCCCACGCCCGAACTCGAAGACCCCACATCTTCAAGTAGACCGGAGCTGTAAACTCACCCGTCTTCGCGAGCCACCAAACCTCCGGACTCCATGACACCCTCAACCCCTCTCCCTCCCAACTCCCCTTTTTCTGCTCCTCGTGTGAAGCCTTCCGCCGGCTGAACTTGCATGTGATACAGCGCCTTCAGGAGAGGTCTTGGGAGTTTCTCAATCTCAATTGATTCTGCATTCGGCTTGTGCTTGTGCTTCAGGCTTTGTGTACTTGGGGCTTTACTGCAATGCTGGTTGCCTGCTGGTTCGAACCCTCTGTCAGAGAAGCGAGACGAAGCGGAAAGAACAGGTACAAGTATAAAGGAAACGCCGGATGTGGGGTCTTGGTGAACGCACGGTCTCGGAGCAATTGGCTTCCGGGCTTCGGCCTGCGGGCTTCAGGTCTTGTGGGGTGCGGGAACTTTGGCTTTGGGAGTCCGAGGTCATAATGCTAGCATGCGGCAAGCAACCTTGGACCCCAGACTGACATCATGGCAGGCCAGTCAAACCTTTTTTGCAGACACAACTCCTGCAACATCAGCCGCCCAGACAAAACTGAAGGCTAGTTCTGCTCTCGCGCCACTTACAACGATGAGCGCATTGAACCCGACAAGTCTAGCTTAGATTAGTTTAAACATGTTGACCTTCCAGCTTCACAACCTGACACCCGGACCACCCGGAGGGCTCCGGACGCAAATCGCTCGAGGTTCGCGAGGCGCTCATCGCGTGGCTGCTCCAGGATGCGTGTTGCCTGATAGGAGCTGATAAGGGCCAGAGCTTGTTTGACAAATTCACAGCTTAGAAGCTGCATGTTGACGGGCCCCCGTGAGCCAAAAGCAAGGTGAAAACCTAAACTTTAGATATCTTTAGATCATCTTCTTAGCTGCATATTTCTGGATAGCACAGAGTTTAGGGTTATCAAGGGCGCCAAAACCAATCTGCTCAAGTCCACAGTGCGAAACGACACGCAAATTCACACAACTCCGACAACTCCAAGCCTTAGCCTGAGCCTGAGCCTGAGCCTGAGCCTGAGCCTGAGCCTGAGCCTGAGCCTGAGCCTTCACCTTAGCTCAGTCTGTTGAGAGCAGTCTCCACTGAGGCCGAAGCATCGTGTAGTGCAGCAGCATGGTCATGCTCACCTTGGACGACCCTGAAAGACCTGAAAGCCCTAGAACCACTAGGCTTTGGTGTTTTAGAGCTCTTAGTTTAGGTCCTTAGCATTTTAAGGCCCTGGAAGTCCGACTGAGCCGCAAGGTTCTCGCGCCACTCGAGGGTTCATTTCGAGGTGCACAAGCTCGTGAAAGCAAAGCCCTCAAACACGAACTAAAAAGCCCAAAATCTCAAGAAGAACCGAGAAGGTCAAAAGCTCCGGGAAACAGGTGAGTGGAAACAGCTCCCGGAAAATTCCAACCTTAAAGAGCGAACAAACTGCTCGGAAGCTGAGGCCAAGGGCTCTCAGTGAGGAAGGAGGAGCCCGAGCCTTCCATGGGTTCGGTTTTTGTTGACTTTGGGGCCTCGGGTTGAGCTTCGTAGGGCTTCGGAATGTTTCTGTTTTCAGGCGGTCCAGGCCTTGAAGATGCTGAGACATTTTTCAAGCAATCCATTCTCAACTGTTAAACGGCTCTAAAGTGCCCTCTGTTGTGACTGCCTGTGTTGCCGGTTGCCATCTGTTGCCCTTTCGGCGTCCCTTCGGCATCCCTCAACTAAACTCCAAACGGCCCCATATGCTTCTTCGCCTCGTCGCGAGCCCTCCGACATGGCGCTCAGGGTGAGTTCCGACGCAGGGGTGTAGGGGTTGGAACGTAGGTCATATGCAGCACCCTGCGAGTTTGGGATGCAGCGATACAGGTGTTTCAAGTTTCGGGGCTTTCGGATCTTTTCCACCAGTGCTATCTGCCTGAGCAAAGAGCTGTCGTTCCCGGGATTGGCATGTAGCTGAGTGGCATGGGATTTAGGGTTCAGAAGTCTTGGGTTGCGAGGATGGGTCGTCGTGTTGGCACCTACTGTGCTGAAGATAACTCTGCATGACTGGGTACTACCCGAGGCCTTGGGCCAGGTGTCTGGGTCGCACAAAGCACCCCACCTCTAATCCCCTCCCTCCCCGCACCCTGTAGACAGGTGTGCCCCTTTGTTTTTGCACTTGTTTGGCCTGAACACCCCCCCCCCCCCCCCCCCCCCCCCCCCCCCCCCCCCCCCCCCCCCCCCCCCCCCCCCCCCCCCCCCCCCCCCCCCCCCCCCCCCCCCACCCACCCCCCGCCCCCATGTAAGTCCCAAAAATCGCAAGGCTGGCCTCCTTGCACCATATTGGTTTTGGGCCACCCCTCCCCCACCCTGCCCCCAGCCCCCTGGTTTGGGTTGCCTTGTTACAGAGGCTCAGGCCCATGCGGGTCGCGTTGCGTTGAAATTACCTCACTGTGGGCTCGGCAAGTCGGACAAGTTCAGCAACTACCCATTTTTGGCAGCGCCGTTCTGCGGTCTGCGGTGGACCGGTGGGAAACGGCACCAAGCTACATCCAGATCAGCAGGCGCGGTGAGAGAACAGCTTCCCATGTTCAACAAGTACTTAGACTTACTTCCAACTCTTAGGTTTTGATCACCGTTTGCCAAGTTCCTGCGCCTGACTCTAGAAGCAGATGAAGCACAGAGAGTTTCAAAGGCTCCGTTTCCATCGAAGTGAATTCAGAAGGAGGTCACCTTCTTCACGGCATCAAGAACCTCTCTTGCAGGCTTCGAGGCTTCGAGGCTTCGAGGCTTCGAGGCTTCGGATGCAGAATCTGCTTTGGTCCAAAGCTTGTCCAGTGGGGAGCGTAAGAGGGATTCGGGTGATTCGGGCCCTAACCTTGAAGGCTTTTGCCTACAGACGGTGCAGCACAAAGCCACAGGGCCTCAACACTCCAGTAGCAGCCCTGGAGCCCAAAAGCCTCCCCTTCACAACCCTGAATATCACGAGCGCGAAACCCTGAAGCTCCAGAAAACAAATACTTTCAAACTGTTACTCTGGCGCTCCCACCCTCAGCGGCGTTGGGAGGTAGAACTCCTCGAAGGCCAGAGGGAATGGCGTGTCCTTGAATCAACAAGAATCACGGGGTAGGCGGGTAGATCGGGGCTTTAGGACTTCAGAGGGGGTTCCTTTTCAAGGGGTTTGCGGCTCGAAACGCCGAACATCATGGTCCCTGCAAAAAATCCGACAAGCTCACAAAGCCCCAAATTGCCAAAGTTGCCCAAGCTTAGACATGCTAGAAGCTGATAGAGTTCTGCCCACTGTTGTCAGGTAGAATCTTTAGTAGCACAAGCATAGTGCGCGGAGGATGTCCGGAGCTCCAGTGGACATCAGATGTATCCTATTTTACTTCCGCGCGCTTGACCCACATCTTCACATCTTCAGAAACCCGAATTCCTCCAAAGCAATGCAAGCCCTCTCGGCCGTGCACCCACCCGCAAACGCGCTGGACAGGGGCCTTTCGCTGGTTGCTATGATTTGAGCTTCGGGAAAAGTGTTTCAGGTTCAGGGTTTGCGGCTCAGAGAGGTTTAAGAGGGCTTTCGGGGATAGGATGAAAGATTCAGAGCACAATGTTTATGCTCAGTACGAGTGCGGCGTGGGGTCTGCGCGAGCTCCCACCCAGTTGGGGCTAAAGAGGTCGACGGATGTAAGGTCCAAGCTCAGATCCCAAACCCTAAACAACGTGCCTCCAGCTTCAGGAAGCCCTTGTCTTGCCTCATGGAGCACAAGTTCCGAGGGTCCGAGGGTCGCGGCTACGGACTCGGAGTTTTTGGAGTGTCAGGTTACAGCGGCATAGGGGGAGGAGTGTGGCTTGGGGACTTGATTTTGGGATGCAGTCTATGGCCCGTGGCCCAGCACCGTGCTGCTTTCACAAAAGTCAAAAAAACTGGAGGCCTTGCACCCTGGACTCCAAGCCCTGCTGCTCCACAAAGCACGAAACACCTCAGCAGCTCTGGGACTCAAGGCACTGTGGCCGCCAGTTCTGCCCCGAAGCCGCTGGTCTTCGGCGCTTCGTGGGCTATGACCTTCAGGTTCTTGGGGGGTTTGGCGGTTCAAGGGTGCTGGGCTTGAGTGATTAGTGCTTCGGGAAATTCAGGACTTAAGGGTGTTAGGGCGAGGCGTGCCTCGTCTTTCGGGCGCTATGTTTTGGGAACTTGGTGCCCATCGCTCACCTAATTCTGGCAGGATGTTTGGTTGAGAGCTTCAAGGTGTGCAAGTCCTGAAACTAAGAGGCCTGAAGAAAATACAAACAAGCTGTGTTGATGAGTTGATGCTCTTCTTATTTGCTGTTTCTCATCTGACTATGCTTGCGATTGGCCCTTCCACATAGCAGCCATCACACTAGAAAACCATTCGTACCAGACGATACGCTCCGTGCTCATGGCCCTCGTAAGGGCCCTTGCAAGGAGCCAAAGCTGAACTTTCATAAGGTCCACACGCATCGGCCGGTCCTTAGTGCAGCTTTTGTTGACGTTGCAGCATGTTTGGGTGTGCTGCTCAACAGCACAAAAAGTAGGATTACCTCTCTCTCGTAGGAAGCTGTCAATCAGGCCTTTCACTCAGAGTAGCCCGTATCAGAGCTTCACAAACTGCAAGTACATTCACATGCTCGAGTGGGGACGTGCATTTCCTCAAACATCACGAATAGTATATAGTACTTGCCGTGTTGAAGTGGTTTGGGTGTGAACGGCTTGAGGGAAGGTATAGAGCGGTGAAGGCTGTAGGCTGCAAGGCTTTGGAAGTTTGTCGGTCTGAGTTAACTAGCAATCTGAGAAGCAAACTTCTCCACTGAAGTGAGAACGGCTTCCTGCAACATCTCAATGGCGGGGTTTAATTTCCCGCCATAGAACTTAAGGCTTACGGTGTTTAGGGTTGTTTAGGGTTTGGGACTTCGCGAAGCAAGGTTACAACCCAATCAGCTGCTTGTTATGATGGTCTGTGCCGTAACCACTGCGACTCTAACCATACCTAAAACTGCCCAAATAATGAAACGTCGCTGCGGCTGCATTCAGACCGTGGGATGAGCGCCTCGTCCCAGGGAGCAAGAGACCTTGGAACACCCAACCGGAAAAGTCCACGAGAATCGAGCGCAGCGCCAGGGCAGGATTTGGTCAAGAGATGTCAAGAACAAACCCCTAAACTCCACTTACTCTCCACTTCTTCAAATCCCGGAAGGATTGAACATGAGCGTCCTCGTTGCAGCGCGGCTATGAGACAGTGAATATAGCTCAAAAGAGCTCTCAAAGAGAGCTCTACACAAACTCCACAAGGGGGACTTTAAACTTGAAGGGGATCTGAGAGCGGTGCTGCAGGTCAATCACCTCGCAGCTCACCCCCTCCTAGCATCGGCGGCACACGCAAGCGTTCGGTTCTTAATCCGAGCTCCTGTTTAATCAAACCCCCCACATTTAAAGAAATTTTTTTCGGCCGAAAGCCCGCCGGAAGACTACTTTCCATTAGGGTGGATTTCGTATGGGGATACCTCCCCACATTTAAAGGAATTTTTTTGGGGGGCGTTCAAAAATCTGTCGGCAGGCTTCTTGTTTTGCTTGCGGAGATGCGAAGCTACAGCACCTCAGGGATCTGCAGCCTTTTGTTTTTTATGGAGAATCAATACAAGGCCATGGTCCAACTATTGCGGAACCCTGCATTCCTTATTGTGGGGGTGAGGGGGGGGGAGGGGGGGGGGGGGCCCGCCCCCCAATTAAACAGGAGCTCGGATTAGGATACAAGTTTGTTGACTGAGGGCCTGTGTGCCACCTGAGGCTTTACAAAGGCTTAAGGCTTTGTTCCTTCCTCATCTCGCCCCTGCTGATCCCTGCTGGCCTGCCTTTGTGGCCAGGTCCGCTGTCTGTAGCAGGCGATGCACCTGCGTGGCATCTTGGAGTTGATCGGACTGTTGCTGATCTCTCACGTTTCTTCGCTCTGGCGACGACGACGACGACGACGACGACGACGTCTTAACCGATGCCATCTTATACCGAAACGTACGACCAAAAGGCGCAGCTTCAGGATTTGAGGGTTTTGAGCTACAGAGTCCAGGGTTTCACAGAAAGCGGTGGGCGCCTTCCGCAGAAGTATCTTCGGTAGCTACAACCGAAGCCATGTATAGGAACGCTGAAGGTTCCAGCCGAAGCACCCACCGGAGCTTTCACTAAACATCTGACCGAAATCGTTTCCATGAAGACGAAGCTGCCGAAGCAGGTTGTGTCAATTTAAGAAGATCTTGCCTCGATCGTTCCCTCAGCATCACGTGATCGTCCGATCTGCTTATGGAACTGTCCCGCAAATGTTCCACTTGAAGAACAAGAAGCTACAGGCGCCAATCATCGTTCCTACCACGCCTGTCGAAAGTGTGGCCCAAGAGCTGACAACCCAAACCCGAACTCCAACCAAGCGCCTGGTTACCCCAGCCGATGAGAGTCACGTCCGTGCCCTCTCTGACCACTTCGGCCTCCACGCAATTCGAGCGAACTGGGCTTCAGGCTCAGGAAGCTTGGCAGTTCAACGCTCAGAGTTTAGATCGTCGACTCTCTGTACTGTGGTGGCTGTAAACAAGAGAGGGTTGCTCGAATGCCACTTGACGGTGTGCAGCATCTCAGTGAATGCTCTTCAACTGAGGCACAGGCGTCGAGGCTCAAGGCTGAATCATAAGCTTTGAGAGCTTCACAAGCTAAAGGAACATGAAACGCAAGAAGGTCACAATTGAACCAGAAGGCCCACAAGCCCTACGAGTACATGCTGTAAGCTGCCAAGCTGGAAACTGCACCACCGATCAAAACTGCAAACTTGCGCCGGGGACATCTTCGAAAGCTGTCGAAAGAAGGGCCTTGCCAATTGGGAGCTCGAAATCATCCACGGCCACTTCCTCGCGATGGGGGCTCGAAGAGCTAACTGACCGGCTATGTAAGGGATGATGCTTTGGTAGCTTACAATAGCTTAGGTGTTCAGGTTTGCAGATGCTTGTTTACATGTTTTCGAGTCGTGGTGTTTGCAGGGCTTCAGGGGCGCTTGGGTCAACCGGATTGCATCTCACATGCACCGAACCTTCAGTGGCTCCGCGTATGCAAGACCAGATACTCTGATAAATTTTGCTTGCACGTGCTTGCACGGCTTTAAAAAGGGGGGGGGGCCAGCAGCCCCCATTTGCAAACTCAAGTTGGGTTTCAAAAAGACTCATAAGCTTCGGGGGGTATGTTGGGTTTCAAGAAGACTCATATGCTTTGAAGCAAGCTTTGCATGGCTTGAAGCAAAGGGGTGGTTTGGGGGGGCTGCGGGGAGGTTGAGGGGGGAGCGCAGCCCCATTTGCAAACACAGTGTTCGCATGATGGGTCTCAAAAAGACTCATACTCTGGGGGTCATAAACAAGCTTGCACGCTTTTAAAAAGCGGGGCGGGGGGAGGGGGTTGTGGGGGGGGGGGGGGGGGGGGGGGGGGGGGGGGGGGGGGGCAGCCCCGCCCCCGTTTGCAAACACAATGCTCGCATGATGGGTTTCAAAAAGACTCAGATGCTGGGGGGCATATGCTTTGAAACGAGCTTGCGTGGCCTTAACAAGTTGGGGGGGGAGGGCAGCCTCATGCCATAGCGGATGGCGACGTTGGTGAGCAGCAGGCGAAGCCAGCAGAAGGAACAGGATCGGGATATCCCCACGTCGGACAAGTGGAAACAGTTCAAGGAGAAGATCACCGAGGGTTTGAATCGGTTTGAACAACATGAATACCCTGGGGCACGTTAGCAATGCTCTACGGTTTGGTTGCACGGGCTAGGACATAGTCTAAAGCTACGCTGGCTAGACTGCTGCGAGCCTTGACTGCATGGTTTAAAAAACGGAAGGGGGGCCGGGGGGGGTGCGGGGGGAAGCGTGGGGCTCCTCCTTTCTTTCGTTCGTTCTTTCTCTCTTTCTTTATTTCTCTACGTTTGTCATTGTTGTTTTCTTGCTTGTTTTGTTGTTTCCTTTTTTCTTGCTTTCCTGATGTATTTTCCGTGTTTATTCTTTTTTGTGTTTCTGTATTTCTTTCTTTTTCTCTTTATTTATTTCTTTCGTTGTCTCTTTATTTCTTTCTTTATTTATTTTTGTATTTCTTGATTGCTTTCTTTCATTCTTTCTTTCTTTCTTCATTTCATTTTTTCTTTCTTTCTTTCGGTATTCTGTCTTTCCCTTTATAAAATTGCTTCTTTCTTTTTACTCTGTTTCTTTCGTTGTTTTTCTTTTTTCTTTCTTTCGCTCTTGCTGTCGCTCTCGCTCTCCTTTTCTCTCTCTCTCTCTCTCTCTCTCTCTCTCTCCTGCACCCATTCTCTCTCTCTCTCTCTCTCTCTTCTTCTAGCCTATGGAAGGAGAAACCAAGAAATGGGCCAAACGAATCCTAGGAAAATGTAGAGGAAAAGGAGGCTTTCCTAGGAAAAACCCAGAAAATCGACCAAAAGAAACAGCATACCCAAAAAAGAACCTGATAGGACCCACGAACCCGAATGCGGAAAGCAGCCACCCATAACGCAGATTTAACGCGAAATCAACGAAACGTGCAAGCTGTGGAGTTTCTCCTCAGCTTGACGGATTCGGAACGCCACGGAACGCCAAGTCGGCGCGCGTCCTGTGGAGTTCCCCCTTAGCTTGACGGATTCGGAACGCTACAGAACGCCACGTCCGCGCGCGTCCTGTGGAGTTTCACGTTAGCTTGACGGATTCGGAACGCCACGGAACGCCAAGTCGGCGCGCGTCCTGTGGAATTCCCCCTTAGCTTGACGGATTCCCCCTTAGCTTGACGGATTCGGAACGCTACAGAACGCCACGTCCGCGCGCGTCCTGTGGAGTTCCCTCTTTAGCTTGACGGATTCGGAACGCTGCGGAACGCCGCGTCGGCGTGAATCCTGTGGATTTCCCCCTTAGCTTGACGGATTCGGAACGCTACGGAACACCGCGTCGGCGCGCATCCTGTGGATTTCCCCCTTAGCTTGACGGATTCGGAGCGCTACGGAACTCCGCGTCGGTGCGCGTCCTGTGCAGTTCCCCCTTAACAGTACGCTTACGCCACTCGCGAACGCTTGCGGACACTTTGCGAACGCTTTGCGAACGCTTTACGGACACAACGCAACGACGTTTGGTAACCACCCAACCCAACTTTAAAACGGGAACCCTTCTGCGGAGCATTCGGGAATACCCAAAAAAAAGCCCTTCGGTCTCAAACCAGTATGTAACCCGTTCTAGATGCTAACAACACCTTGTAGATCAACCTTCTCTTGAGTTGTGCCCCACACCACAACACGTGCACCTCTTTCTGGGACTTGCCTGAGTTTACTTTGGGGCGCAAGGCCCGGCGTTTCGCCGAACCGCAGAAGAACGTTTGAAAAGACAGCAAACCCCCTAGACTCGAAGCAGTGGATTCTGCACACCACCGTGGTGAATCCTGCCTCGACCGCTTGTCGGTACAGCACCTTGGGCGGTGATTGGCGCTGAATGAGGAACCAGGAACCTGGCATGATCCCTGTTTCAGAACACTTACAGCAGCTCCGTTCAATATTCGATTCACTGCAGCTGTACAGTCACCCATCGCAATCGCCAACCAACTTGAAGGCTTCAGGCATGGTGCCTGAAAGGAGCAACCCTCGTTTGGCCGACATCATGCTCGGCGGAGCAAAGGTCACCCATCATCCTTCCAACAAAGAGGAGTACGCCACCCCAAAAACCTGTCTAAGAAAAACGGCCAGGATCTGAACCACCAAGCCAGCGGCGCGACCGCTCTTTGAAAGTTCGGCACACAGTCATCCGGCGACGTGAGCTGCGATCACGACATGGTTGTTGCCACGCAAGACCAGAATGGGTGCATTCGATAGTACGCACTGCCATGGGCATCAAGGGACGCGCTTCATCTCGTCCCACGCCGCACCGTCAAAGCCATGCAGGGTGCCTTTATATAAGGGGTTCAGGTGTTTTGGGGGGCCCAGGGTACAGAAGCCCATCTTTGCCTCCAGATGTGAAAAAGAAAGTAAACCTCGAAGAACTACCCGGCCAAACTGGTGTGTCGCCTCCCCACAAACACAGAACATCCCTATAACTCCTATAACGCTGAAAAACGCTAAACGCCGCTAAGCCTTGGCAAGGCGCCTTTGGCTCAAAGACGAGGGTCGGATCTGGACCTGCCACTTTTTGCAGCTTCCTAATCTGCAACCTGGCGTTAAGGCCTTGAGGGCCTTGAGGGCCTTGAGGGCCTTGAGGGCCTTGAGGGCCTTGAGGGCCTTGAGGGCCTTGAGGGCCTTGAGGGCCTTGAGGGCTGTTCGGGGTCAAAGTGAGTCTTTTGGAAGTTCTGCCCCACCTTCATCCTGAGGATCTCGAAGCCCACAATTCCCCCAGGACAAGAGTAACTAGGCCCATCAAACCCTCAAGCCGAGGCACCCCAAAGCAGCCAGAAATCCGAACCCAAAAGACAGCAATGAGGGCCCGGGCTCCGGATCGCGGCCAAGAGCAAGCCCTTGGCTTGTGATGGGCCCCTGGGGACCACCTGTGCCGAGGCGGCAGGTTTCGGTGAGGTGTTTGTGAAGGAGTAAGGGGGCAGGGTAGGGAGGGACGGCTTCTGAGGTTGCTGAAGGTTGGATGTGGGGTGCTTAGGGGGCCTTCTGGCTTGGACTGCAGGTCGATCTTCAGGTCATGAGGCGTGCCGTCGCGGAGCCTTGTAGATCTTGACTTGAAACCTGCTGAACCGTACGTGGCCCCGAAACACTGAACATGACTCTGAACCCTAGGCAGGCCGGGGACCCGACGATGTTCAAACCCGGACAGTGAGTGAAGAAGGCCTGGCTCACATATCGCAAGGTGCATCAGCCACTTCAGATCGCCGCTACAATCTCTAAGCCCCTAGATCCGAGGATTTTGGGCGACTTGCGGTGGCCTTACAACTAAGAAACTTAGGGTACGCTAGTACGGGGGGGGGGGGTGGGGACTTTCTTAAGATTCTGCTGCAAACCCCCCCCCCCTCCCCCCACCCCCCTAACACTCTCCTGAGTGATGGGGGTCCGGGAACGGGCTCCTGACGGCTACCCAGGGCCGTACAAAAACTGTAAGCCCTATAAACCCTAACCCTGCAAACAAACCTATACATCCTATATCAACCCTATAAACCCTTTAAATCCTTACAACCCATAAACCTGTAAATCCTAAAGATCTATGGGCCCTACAAACAAACCATCGCGTGTGAGGTTGTCGAGGTAGTCCGCCTCCGCAAAGCAACCCTCAAGAACCTGACTCCCCCTGAACCGACCGTGCGGAGGAGTCAGGCCCCCCACCCCGCCCCTTGCTGGGATCTCGACCGAGTGCGGGGAGTCTGAAACCCTCAAAATATTGACTCTCCCGCCAACCCCCCCGCGGCCCTTTACCGGGACTCGACCGAGTGCGGGCGAGTCAGGTTTTTTGGAGGTTTCAGGCCTGAAACCCTCAAAAACCTGCCTCCCCCACCAAAGGTTTCCCCCCCCCGGGCCCCTTGCTTTAACCCGAGTGCGTCGGAGTCAGGTATTTGGGGGCTTCAGGCCTGAAACCTCCAAAAACCTGACTGCAGAACGCAAAGCAGAAACCAGAAGCGAACTTGCGACTGCCTGTATGTGGGTTTGGTCTAGTGGTATAGCGTACTCCCTTAAGAAACCAACTACTCAAGAAACCGAGCCTACCCTAGCTCAAACCCCCCCGGTACATGGAGTGATGGAAGCTAAGAAACTTAGGGTACACTACCAACGGAAACCGTTCGCTTATACAATGTTATCACTGTAAACACTGTTCCACCCCCCGCAAGGGCTGCAGGATGGGAGCGGGACAGTGGGGACTGCTGCATCGGCCTTCGAAACACGCCCCCATTCCTCTTACACCTCCTTTTCGTCTTTCTCGTCCGTGCTGACTTGTGCCTCAGGGCCTTGTGGACACCCTCAGTCCTAAGACCCTACACAGCAAGAACTTGCCTCAGGCGACTGGGAGTGGTAGAGGCCTCCATGGCCAACAGCACCAGAGGGCATACCTTCAGAAATGATAACCATTCAGATCTTTCAAATTCCTTTCAATTTCAGATGTGTTGATTCTCTTCGTGTCTCTAGGCCCTACTGGCTTGAGCGGAAACACATGGTTTCCAATGTATGATCCACTCCAGTTGACCGGCCTATCAGTACCTTTGCAAAACAAACATTGCTATATTTCCTGCATCATCTATGATGATGATATTATCGACAGCGTCATATACTGTGGTTTGGGTTAATGAGGGTAGTTTAGGGATCACATGAATATGTGACATATGCATACGCCCAAAATCATGCAACCATGTGTGAGATTGTGTCCGTGTGCATGTGCGTGTGCACCTAAATTTGCATACATTGCATGAAACTTACATATCATCTCCTGGGGGCGAGGACGTATGTGTACACGTTCGCACAGAAGTAGCTAGGTAGCTCGGCAGCTAGGCATGCCATCGATAAGTTCTCCAACGGCCACCAAGGGACGGATCGTCAGCGATCCACAGTGCCTCGGACGTGAGGCCGAAACCCTAAACAAAATCTAAACTGACCCGAGGCATCTTTGTATTCACCGGCATGGCTGCGGCACAAGAGAAGACTCTGTTGGTTAAAAGGGTAAGGCATGCCTCGTCGTGCGAGCTCTGGGTACCCGCGCCACGTACTCCCCGCCCTGTAGCCTGATTCAGGGTTCTGCAGTTAGAGACTTAGAGGTCAAGGTCTGGATTCGAGCGTTTCGGATCTCGAGGACCGGGGGGGGGAACAATGCCCGCAACATCTCCAAATCTCTAGTTAACCCTCAAACATTCCCACACAGAACCTGAGAGTTCGGGCAGGTAAGTTCTGTGCAGAAACCCTACACAAACTGTAGGAGTCCCCGGGCTAGGGGCCAGACGGTACTTGGCTGCTTCATTCACAATCTGGTCAAACCTGGCTTCGTGTCACGCAGGCGTCGCATTAGGCTCAGAGCTCTGAAATTCTACATAGCTTGACGCTTCGGATTTTGTGATTGCTTCTGGGCAAAGACTCTCGCGGCCGTGGCTTCCACAAACCACAAGTAGCCGAAGTCAAGCATGCGGGACGAACCCTAACTTATCTCTGCAAGATTCGTGCCATGATTGGGGTTTCGGAGGGTCGTACTAGTAGGGCCGGTAGGTATGCTGGCTCCTGGAATATTTGAGGGCTCTGAACCATACGATGACAATGCCGCTGGGTGTGCGCCGGATAAACGTAGTCTGCGAATTGAATCTCTGCAATGGGCGTGTACCTTCAGCCGAGGGCAGCGTGCAAAAAGTCACGAACAGGCAAGCGCTCAAGAGCTGCTTAGGCATCCCGCTGTTGATGTTCATCTGTTACTGTTGGTCGCCTGTCTTGGCTGGCGAACCATGGAGTACCCTTTGAAACTAGGTAACTAGGTCAAACTGTTTAGGCTTCCTGGATGCAAGGGCAGGAAGCAGATCAAGCACCCGAGGGTTGCGACTCAATGCTTCGGCAGCTCAGGGGGCACCCAACCGAGGCTAAGCCAATCGCGAAGCCTTGGCAACAAACGGAGTTGATGTCCAGATCCTTCTACGCCTTCTTGCTCCCTTCATCAATCACTGCCCTGCACATACTGTACACCAACAGCTGGCCTCAGCCCTCCACCGCCAAGACCAATCACGCGTGGTGTAGGGGTGTCGGTTGCGATTTGGCAGCAAGTCTGAGGGCCACACCAAGTATGCCCTGCTCGGACAGCGGGGTGTTAAACCTCAGGGGGAGATGGTCTAAACACATGCCTCAGCCACAAAACTCTAAACCCCCCAAAACCCTATTCGACCCTGGGTGCTGTTTGTCAACCATGAGTTCCGACAAGTCAAACGGCCGATTTTAAAGTCTACGGATGGACGTAAGACATATCTGTCTCCAAAACCCCCGAAACATCCCGAAACCCATTTCACCCTCAGCCAACTGAAGAAACCCCCTCGACCCGGGCTCTGCTGGGAGCTGCTGGGAGCCTGGCACACGTTCCCTCCCGAACCTCAAGCAGAGTGGTAAACAGGGTTTTGGACGTTTTGGGCGTTGGGGAGTCCTGCAGGTTCTGTGAAGATGTTCTGCAAGACTTCAGAGGCTTGCACGTGTAATGTAGGACAACGTAAGACCAATGAAGATAGCAGACCTGTAAGCTTGAACCCTCTTGAACCCTCGCTGTTCACCTTGCCAAAGCTCCCGATTTCAGGTTTACGGCTGGCGAAAAGGTTCTACTGCGGCACCTTGCTTGTGTCAGAGCCCTCTGCCGTTCCATACCAACTTTCACTAGTAGCAATACGAATAAGTTGCGAGAATCATAACTTTGAATGACCGTGGGACTGTGGGAATGACAATTAGTAACAACGAGCAACTGTTAAAACGGAGAAGAAACTGCCAGTTCAAGGCCACGAAGGGCTCGGGCTGTTCACGGAGGTTCATGCTGCAGCCTGGCATCGAAAAGGGATTGTGCGTGTTGTGCTTGGCCTTGTTTGTTTCTGGGTTGAAGGCTTTGCGCAGCTGGGCGTTTGCAACACTCGGCTTTACAGCTTCGGAGCACAACTGCACATAACTGCACCAGTGATCGGATGCGACGTCAGCACATTTCTCGACCGGCACCCTCACCACCTTCCTTCTATCCACAGAAGAGCCCGAATGAAGTCTCAGGAACCGGCAGTTTCAGCAAGGTGTGTGAGGGAGCGCACGCACGCACACGCACGCGCGCACACACACACACAGAGACACAAACAAACAAACAAACGAACAGTGTTTCAGACCATCGTCCTTCCTACCCTTCATACTGCTGCACTGCTGCTCCTTCTGCTCTGCAAACCCTCAAGTCAACTTTGACCGAGCCATCAACACTTGGACAAATGATGTGAACCCTCGAAAGCCACTCTACAACCCAACCGCACAGTCCTGTAGATGCCTGAATCATCCAGAAACCGAGTCTTGAATGCCTCACCCTACCCCTAGCCCTACAACAGTGCCCGGCAAACGGAAGACGCCACCAAACGCCACGTCCTCGCCGAAAAGTAACGCCTGCGCTTTAACGTTCTGTCCGCCATTTGTCGGAAGTTTCGAAGGACTTATGATGTGTTGTCGTTAGGTTTGAAGTCGGGGTTTCAGGGCACGGGGCACTATTGCGCTGAAGCCCGACGACTCCCAAACATCAGATGAGTTATGGGGAGGGCAAGGTGGTCAAGGGGGCACAGCCTTGTCGTCCGAGCTGAGTGCGAGTTCCATGGCGTTGTTGATCGCCTGCCCGAATGATCTGGGCTTTAACTGCTCTAAATATCTCGAGGTCCCTGGCTTTTTTCTTATTCCGTATTGATCTTATGTCGTATGGTCCGCAAGGCCTCTACCGCCAAAGGAGCTCCAAACCCCACGGCCCCGGCCGAATTACGGCATACAGAGAAGAAGGCTTCAGCAGTCGTGCACACTACTTGTGGCGATCGAAAACTTGCTGCCGCATGTGATTGAAGGTTACTCCTGCCAGTGTAAATCTTACCTTGCAGTTATGTATGGTTCCGCTATGTGCCACAGGCCAGGCCTGGAACATGTTCATCTTCGTCGTGGCACCAGCCGACAGGCATCTCAGCCTGCCTGGCCCCAGGGCTGGGAGATTTAAGACTTTCGGATCAGGGTTCACAGTAATTCTGTGGTTTGTTGAATTAGATGAACGTTGAACAAAGCCTCAAGAACGCAGCATGGTTGAATGACAGATTGTAACCAGGTATGGTGTGAGCCCTGCTGAACGATTTTGTTGTCGACGCCAGCCTTCCTCTTGAAAAATGCACCCTGCATTGTCCGAAACCAAGCCAGGGCAGGCTCCGTCGTCTGGGCTGAACCAGGCTCTCAGCACATGCTAATTCCAAACGTGGCTTCCCTCCTTTCCAGGGTCCGGATCCAGGAGAAGCCACTACAGTCCACTACCGTGCGGGTCATCGCCCAGCTTGAAAGCTTGAAACAAAACGGCATAAACCTCTTCGTCCAACACGGGCAGCACTCGTCGGAGCTGCTGCCACTTACCTCCAGCTTCATACCTTGCATAGGAACGGGTGGGATTGGCGTCTGCCCTCGGAACACCAAAAGATTTCTAAGGGCAGCCCCAGCTTCGCGATGACTGCCAAGTTGTGCAGGGGCAGGTCGCCATGCCCTGCCATGGACTTCAGGATTGCTTGTAGGATCTTGAGAGTTTAGCGATGCGTGTTTCGGCTGTTGAGGCTTTCGGATTCGGGGGTTTAGGGTTAGAAGAAAGCAAACCCATAAACCACCCAGGTCTCTCAGTCACGCGGATTAGGCTTCGCCGTCGGCATAGATAGTTCTTGCGGAAGGCGGCCGCCACCCGAAAACACCAGATCCCTGAACCCATTCTACCCATTCCACCCATTCTACCCATTCCACCCCTTCCACCTTTGCTACCATTCTACCCCTGCAGCCCTACACATTGGCTCAATGCCTTGCCTCGCGTTGAACAATAGCCGCTGCATGCCAGCAGCGCCTGCTGCCACTGCAAGGCCTGCCACGTTGAAAAACGCTTAGGTTGAGGGGTTTTTTTGATTCTTCGCCTAGCAGCCCAGCAGAGGCGATTCCCAATCAGGACCCTCAACACTGAGTCAAGTCCTCATGCCGCCGGCACCGCTGGAGATCGCTCGAGAACCCTTCCAAAATCTTCAAATGCCTTGGCGCAGGCATTTGCGGCGGTCTGGCGGGAGGTGGTGGTCGGCTGCAGCCGGCACCGATCAAATTCCACGAAGAGCTGCAGGGCTTGCGGCCACTGGGAGCACCTCCAGGGATCCAAGCCCCGAAACCCTCAAACTACCCCTGAATCCTCTTTGAGGCCGTAGGGGAGAAGCTCGAAGCCTGAAGATGCCTGATCAAAAAAAAGGAGTTCGGGTTCGCACCTGCTTGAATCCAAAAGGTCCTTTAAAAATGGCGAGCATTTTCAGGCACACTGTACGCCCTCGGGTCCGGGTCGATTCGTCATGATGACTCGCTCAACCGCAACTCTCCTCTCAACCTCGCATGCCCTCTCACCCTCTGTCTGCATAGCATGCAGTAACCAAGATTCAATACACGACAACATTAAGGAAAAGCCCAAGAGCAACCACAGTTCTCTCAGTCGACGGTACAGCAGAGTCCCGAAGCGCTGCGCCAAGAATCCGAACTGCAACTCCAGGACGCTCTTCTTGCCCAGGTCAGCATGCTAACGCCCTACACACAAAACCCCTAAACCCTTTCCACCCTTTCCACCCTGTGCCCTGAACCCCAAACCCCTAAACCCGCATCGGCCTCCCCGCCACGTCACAGGCCCCGGCGGCTGCAGTCAGCGTGGCGGCACCTGGCGCCAAGTCGGCGCCGCGCAGCGAGGCGACCAGCTGCAGAGCGGCCTCTGCAGGATGATCGGGGAAGGCTCCGGAAGCATGGCACAGGCGTCTGGAGTTTGTGGGTTTCAACCTCTAGGGGCTCAAGGCCCGAAGAATGTAGGTTGAGCTCTGGGGCTTTCAAACGGAGAGCTCTGGTGGATGGGCTTGAGGAGCCATCAAGGTTTTTCCCCAAACAGTCCACTGTTGGGGTTCTAAATTATTTAATTTAAGGATTGCCGACATTTTGAGGACTGTTGCGGCTTCCTAGGCTCCTTGTCTCCCTTTGTCACCCTTTGTCTCCCTTGTCTCCCTTGTCTCCTTTTGTCTCCCTTTGTCTCCCTTTGTCTCTCTTCATGTGGGCGGCTTTGCCGGGTTGCTTTGCTTCTCGCCTCCCCTTGTCTCCCTTTGTCTCCCTTTGTCTCCCTTTGTCTCCCTTTGTCTCCCTTTGTCTCTCTTCACGTGAGCGGCTTTGCCGGGTTGCTTTGCTTCTCGCCTCCCCTTGTCTCCCTTTGTCTCCCTTTGTCTCCCGTCGTCTCTACTGTTTCTTTGACGTGCCTTTGACTGTTTGGGGTCTTCGGTGGTGTAATTTGGGTTTCTTCGGCAAAGCTTCGAAAAAAGACGTTGGTCTGCAACATCAATCGTGCAGGGCTTGTGTAGGAGTCTGCTGCGTAGGACAGTGTTGGGTCCTCAAATACCTTTTAATGCAAAGTAATAATATCTACACCACAGGTTGTCCCTCAACACACTAAACGTCGAACCCCACATTTCCCCCGTCCGCGTGGCCTGGACCTTTCCTTTGACGGCCACGGCGGAGATGGCGCTGTTGAAGCTCACCTTAGGAGGCAGGTCTGGGATTCAGGGCTTACGTAGACCTCAAGGCTGAGTTCGGGCTTAAGGCTCAACCTTCCACTGCCTTGCGATCAGGTACAGTATGCAACGGTGCTGCTTCTGACCCGGTTTTGAAGGTCGAATGCTGGACGGTTTCGGGGTGAAAAAGACTCAGGGTCAGCATGTCTCGGTTGAAGTTGGGCTTCAGAAACGACCGCAACGATGCCATGTGCCCAGGGGCTCGATCTGGTGGCACAGACACCTGTCAGCAGACTCCGTGGATGACAAGCCTGAAAGCAGCCTGTTACCTGCAAGAGCTGCACATCTCTGTTCAGAAGAAGTAAGACATCCAAGACATCCCCATCGTTGCCCAACCACGCCCTGATCACGATGGGATTGCCGAACTACTTTCTTTGAAGTTTGACTACATTCTAGGTAGACCAAGGCATCGTACCCCGTGCAAAGGTGGTCGGCTTGTTCCAATGATGCATGAAAACCCACGATTCGTCTCCTGAGCCCATGAAACCTCAAACCACAAAACCACCCCAAGCTTCCATGAGCTCCCATACATTCCAAAACCCTTCCCGGCCTCAGACATGAACTGCAGCACTGCCAGGGCCTTGCGCCACTGGCTGCCTGCGCCCAAGGCCCTAGAAACCCCCCCAAGGAAATCAAGTTGCTAAGCTTCGGCTGTAACTAGGGTCTAGCACATGAAGGGTACGTAGAGCTGAGGTTTTATTTGGAGGTCCACACACATCTCGAAGCACCAAGCAAGAACCCAGGAAAAGTGGTAGGCTAGGTGTTGCGGATCGGATTAAGATTGCAGAGCCGATCGCCTCTACTGCAGGCACTAATGGCGCTGTTGAAGCCGATCGCGTTGCACCGAATTCTGGCCTTGACGCATCTTGCGCACGGCTGGCAAGCATGGGCTGAGTGATGGATTGGCATGACACAAATGAGGCACCTGTACCAAAACGGAACCTGCCCCAACACCCTAAACTCCGAAACTCCTCCGTGCCGGGACTCCGAAAGCATATCCAGAAGCAGTTGAAGGGCCACTCGCCACAGCCTGGGCCCCGGAGATCGGGTTGAGGGTTGCTGGGACAAGGGTTAGAGACCCAAGTCCACATTGCATTGCCTTCCGCCCTCAACCCTTAAAATTACCATCCGGGCACCCGCTGCGCTCGCAGGCCCCCACTGCTGAGCTGAAGCTGACCACCGTGCGCCTCACCTCGCGGCTTTCTGCAGAGCTTGGGCTTTCGCTGTCGGGCTTGGGGTTCTTACCGGGGTTATGGCGTTGAGATGCAGAAAGGATCAGAAAGGATTAGGGTTCAAGCGCTTTGTGACTTCGGGATTTGGAGGGCAACTTCAGGCATGGAGCCACCAGAGCATTGTCACTGACATCATTCCTGCCTCACACCCTACGCCCTGCGGCCTATGTTCATAACTTCATGACAACGGTTTTGTCTCCAAGCATGGACCCGAAACGCAGACCCTAACCGACCATACTCCATTCTTATACTCCCTTCTTGAATCCAAAACATCCAATGCCTCGCTGTCCCGCATCGCGCAAAGCAGGTGTACGGCGGTTTGCCAAAGCCCCGACACCTCACAGGCGCCGATGACCTGGAATCCCAGTTTAGAGCTGCAAGAAAAACAGGGCGAAGCTGCAACTGCCGTACTTCTAGCCTTACACAATTGCATGCTTATCCGTCCGCTGGGTGCCGCCAAGAGGCTGAATTCCAAGTGACCTTTGGGTGATTTGGGTGTTTCATTCTTGCGGACCTCTTGGAATATGGAAGAGACTGTATAGTTTTTCAGGAATCCCACACCACATCAGTAAGCAGGGCCTAGTTGCTTGCAGGCTCAACCTCGAATCCGAGCCCAGAACCTCCCTGTTTCGTGAAAAAATCGGGTTGAAAGAAGGTTGAGGGCTTGGAGTTTAAGGTTGCAGGGGCCGGCAAAACCCGGCAGGGCAGGGGCCGCATAGATGCGACAATCCAACCCGAACAAACCCTACCCTGAAACCACACACTGCGCACTTCTGCGGAAATCTGACAAGCCACTCGCAGACACGACTCGCAATGAAAAGAACACCTCTTGCTGATCGCAAGTACGCAGAAGAGTAGAATCCTATACTACGAGTAGACGATCGGCTGGAAACCCGAAACATCCCGAAACCTCCCAAAACGCAAACAACGCCTACGCCTAATCGGGCCAAGTCGGGCCCCTTAAGCCGTCCTAAACCCTGCAAGCCTGGTTCGACACCACGCGCGATGCTAGCAGCTCTCGCTGCAGGCAGAGAGCGACTTCCCAAGCTCCTCTGGTTCAAGAAGGTGGCTTTGCAGCTCTTTCTTGCTGTGTTCCCTAAATCCCCCTCTCTGGCTGGGTTGTCTCACTACTCACTTAGTCCTCTCCCCAAGATGCGAGGACCGGTCGCACGGGGGACGAGGGATCGGATAAACAGCCGGGCGAGATTGGGTCGGGCCTTTGTCGAAGGGCGAGATCCGGTGTGCTCGATGGGTTGCCCAGGCGCAGCTTCTTTCAAGAAATAAATTAGATGCAGCAGGGCAACAGGGAGACGAGCGAGATTGGGTGGAGACACGGAGGCTTCTTTGCGGGGCTTAACGACCATTTACTCAGCTGTGTTTGCGTTTATCCGAACTGGGGAGCCGAGCCAATTGCAGCAGAGGAGCTGCCTCTCCCACAAGCCATGATGGCGCCGCTGTAACCTGACAGCATGTTCGGGGAAGATGTCAGTTCACCAGCGGCCTGTTCAGTTCAGTTCTAGATCCTCCAGGAAGATGCATTCTCAATCGAAAAATGTACACACCATGGCGGCAACCCGTTTTCGGGGTTGTCCTGAACAGACTTGAGTGCGTGCGCCGGTCATGCTTCTTCATGTTTCTTCCACGTCCCTAGCCATGCTGACCTGTTCATTGCAAGGCCAAAACCAATTAGGCATCAAGGCTGGCTGCCTTCAGGGTTGAGCTTGCAATATTTACAATCTCGTCAGTTCCCCAAACCACACAACATCCTATGCCCACACTCCTCTACAATCCATCCTACAAGGTAGCTTTTTCATGACTCTGCAGCCATCAACAACAGGCATCCACCTCGCTGCTGCATGGCAAGACACCAAAGGCATCAGCAGAAAGCCCGCAGTCCTATTCCGAGCTGAACAAGTCGCAGCATGCACAGCAGCATGCACATGGCACAGATGTGTCAAGAACAGGGAACTCGTGCTTGGATGCTTTGCCACATGGGCTTTGGGAGGGCAGCCTACTCCGTCAGTCTGGCCAGGGTGTCACATGTTGTTTTGGGAAGTTGTTGGCTACGGTTTTGCATGCACTGCGATGACGCAACCACTGATCTGCAGCATACCTTCCAAGTCTTCACACTGCTGAAGGGGGCCCCTACTCGACGACTCGCACGCAAAAGCCGGAAGCTTCAATCAGACTGATGGGGATGTGGCCCTACATGCCCTAACAACGCCTTTCTGCATCCCTAAGCCCCCAACCTCCAGAAGGGCCACCGCCGCCTCCCAGGAAGCTGCGCTGGCCTGATCATGCTCCAACTCACAACATCTCACAACGCACATCAACGCACTGAGCGCCGAAACCAGAAGCAAACTTTGCTCTTCTAGCGCCCGAGGATGCCCAAAACCTTGTCCAAAAACTCCCCCGAATCATTCCGGAGGCCCTCCTCAATCCTCTCCCGACAGGTCTTGCGCTGAGGCTCCGCCGTGCTGATTGCGCTGTTGTAGGCAAAGCTGTTCCTGGGTTGGTATCAAGCGTTGGGTGGTCCTAAGCGCAACCGGAAAACTTGGCTTGAATCACTTGAATCCCGAAACCTGCGCATCAGGACCTCTGACTGATGGCTCTGAAATTCTCCGGATGCGGAGCTGAAACAAAGAAAAACTCAATCACAACAATGTGAGGGCCGGGGGGGGGGGGAGCATTTGCGAATCCAAAACCCTTAAGGCCCTTTCTAACCCTTGAAGCCCTAACCATCCCAAGGCGATGGCCCATTATCATGAAAGCCTTCTTGCCGAGCATCAGTCGAACGCCCTCTACCATCATAGCCCTGCGCGGTTGACACGTCACTGTGCCGGAAGAAACGTTTTTAAAGCAGCTTTGGGTTCTGGAAAGGTCTATTTTGGGTGAGTGGAGGGCTTTGGCTCCAATCTTAGGGCTACGTGCTGCATGGCTTTTTGCTGCAGTATTCAGACAAGCCTGCAAACTGGCATTGGACCCTTGCTGCAAAAATGGGGGGGGGTTGCTGTTCCTAAACTTCAGATGAACTTGATGAGAGTTCCATGTTTTCCACTACATGCACACAACCAAAAGAAAGTCGCCCAGAACACGACTTCCTCCCTCAACCCTAAAGCCTGGACTCCCATTAGTCCCCATCGGATTCCCTCGGACCCATCACCCGCTGGAAGACTCAAGACTCGGGAAACTGCAGCACCTGAGGAGGCTGATGCCCATGGTCCACTGGCCTTCCACCTAGGCTCCAGGAAGTGAAGGGGGTGGAGGGTGGGCTGTGAAGGGAGGGCTTGGGGGGAGGGAGTGTGGCCTTACTGGCCCTCATCTGCGAAAGTTCCTCCGAAAGGTTGGCCGGCCCCTACCGGACATCACGAACACCCAAACCACACTGCCCCCACTGCCCCAACTCCCAACCGGCGTGAATGGGCCCCGCCTCAGTCGCAACCGCCCCAGCACTGAAGGTGACGACGTCAGGCTCCTGCCAAACGAAATTCCTTTAGGGTTTGGGGGCTTGCAGGGAGGCCTTCAAGCGCTGAGGATGCTTATCGAAAGTGGTGTGCAGTTTTGGTTGTTATGCTTTGGTGCTTGGAGTGAAACCCTGAATCGGCTCAGAGGGGCGAGGGCTCGAGTGTTGGGGTTCGTTCAGGCTTGATGTTTAAACAGTTTAAACGCAATGAAACGGCAGGCCGAAAAAGGCTCATGAAGGTTCATGCAGGTGCAGCTGAGACTCCAGTCGGCCTTGTGGGAAGTCATCCTCGACACACAACCGAGGTTACTCAATCTCTCCTCTGAGCTTGTGGTATTCAAGGTCAGCAACCGCCAAAGCAAAAATCGGCGAGAGGGAATTCTTGATTGTGAGACATGGAACTGAAACCACCAAAATCCATGAACCAATCCAGCCTGCATCAAACGCTGTATATCAGTGCACGAAGCAGTGGCCGAGCCGCCACTATCCGCAGAGCCCGCTGCCACCCGCCCCGTGCCAGGGCGCTCACAGTGCCTTAAGAGTTCTTGGAGCCTAAACGATCCTAAACGGGCATAAACACCTTGAAGCCGCAACCTGACTACCGCAAGCGTCACACACCCGTACCCAGGCTTGGATCTGAGCGGCCTTACTTGTCTCTTCTGAGGCCTGAATCTGCATAGGCAGCCGACCAAGCACCCCAGCACCCCTGCATTGCAATCTTCTTGTGACCGACCGTACAGCGCCGCAAGAAAAGCATAAGCTAGACCTTGCAAACCCCAGCCGCTGTTGTAGGTCACGACGTTTGGGCGCACCTGACAGCTCAAAGTGAGGCGGGATTCACCCGAACTTACCCACCAAAAGCATCTTGGCCCAAAATACAGGACCCGAGTAGAGCAGAAGGCATCCTGAGCACCCTGACGGCAAGCATCAACTATCGTCAACTCACGTGGAAAAGCCGACTGCTTGAGGCAAAGAAACCTTTGAATGATGCGATTGAGAGGCTTCGAGGTTGAGCAAAAAACCCGAAGACTCGAAGATCCACACTTGAGGCTCCAAAGCTGGCTCCGCAGGCCACCCCCTAAAGCCCTAAAGCCGCTACTGCCACTACCGCCATCCCCCTCCCCCTCCCGCTGCCCACAACCTGCGTTTGCCACGACTCTGTCAGCAGGTGCACAGCAGCGCGCCAGCTCTCCCCCTTCCTGGGGCTTCTGTGCTGGGTTGGGGCATTTAGCCAGATCCCGGAGCAAATCATTCCATGGTGCAAGCTTAACTCGCTGGCTGGATGCTGCCATTGACAAGAGTCACAAAACTTTGACACAACACAAGAGCGGTGAACCAAGAGCAGTGCAACTTGGACGAGACGAGCAACTCGCAAGCACTGACAGCGCTGCTAACAGTTATCACATCCGCACGGAGCTGGCTGTCAGAAACCTGGGGGCAGAGTTGAACCGCTCTGAAACAGAGCACGAAATCTGAGCTCGGATCAGCACTTCCAAAGGATTGAGCGCTCAGAGCTGCGACGCTACGACTCCCCTTCTTTCCGCCGGCCTCCCAGAGCCAGAACAAAGCGCAGGGCCACGCCGCCGCTGCGGCCGCAACCCCAAGGCCGCTGTTGAAAGTGACGAGGTCCGCCCGGACCTCCCACCGAGAAGGGCTCTTTGAGAAGGGCTTTGAAAAGGTTGGAAGGGCTGCAGGAACTCATGTGCCTGATGCAGAGGCCACAGCAGGGAACCCTAAAGACAATCTGAAGAAGAAAAACATAAGAGCAAACCCTGTCCGGCCTTGTGGGCCTGCAAAGCCTCAGTCAGCTGGAGGGCCGTCTCCTGGGATTTCGACGTTCTGAACTGGTTCGTGTTTCAAGAGCTGGGGGGAACTGTTGCATCGCGAGCTTCGAGCGGGCAGCTGAGATAAATTTACTCAGAAGTACCTTTCAACTGCCGTCCCAAAAGCCGAGAGCGCCATAGTTAAACTGCATTTTGGATCACCTAGGCTGAAGGCCCAGACCCCGGAAACGTTGTTGCCAAAGGTGGTTCGAACGAGTCTCCCAAGCCGATGTCTTGCGGCAGGCACCGATGGCCACATTGTAGTGGTAGGTGCCTCGACTCCCCAGCGAATGAGGCTTGTTGGCTTGCGTTGTGCCAGGGGCTTCAAGAATTTGGGCTTATAGGGTTGAAGACACCCTTGCGGCCTTAAGGCAACCCATACCCGCCCGAAACCTCCTCGCTTCCAAAGCTCGTAACCCCCCAGCACCCTGTGTAATTGTTTGACTAAAACCTGCCCTTCTTAACTCTTTGTTCTTTCTGGAGGGCGAGGCACTAAGTGGCCTGGGTCTGCCTAGTCCGCCAACAGCAACGGCGGTCGCCATGAAGGCATGCACAGGCACCAGCTGGGAAAAGGTTTGGGGCGCTGCTGCATGTCATTTGGGGGGTTGAGGAGCCACGGCCTGTTTATTCGGTTCAGGCGTTAGGGGGTGCCAGTCGAAGGGGGGATGGGTCTGAGAAGGGGAAGCGGCAGAGTTCAGCGAGACCTCCACAACGCAGCCGTAGTTTATTGTATCGATCAGCAAGGCTTCTTTTGCACTTTGGGAGTGATCACCTTCCCGAAGCACCAAGTGGGTTCTTGCTTTAGGAATTTTGGGTTCAGGGTTTGGATGGGTTTGGGGGGGAGGGGGGAGGCCGCTGGTGCTTCAGCATTGAGGGTGAAGGAGGGCTAAAACGGTTTCGGCAGAGCACGCAGCCCTGCACCTTTTGTACCTTTCCTTCAGCAGGCGTGCGTTGTCAGTTGCGCAATGGAAGCGGATCGCTTCATATGAAAAAGATACTCCCATGGACCGCAGCTCCGTCTTCGGAGATCCTGGGATACTTGGGCCGAGGATTGGCTCAGAGCTCAGACTGCAAAACAACACTAGTTCACTGCGTGTCAGGATTCAGTAAGGGCTCGGAGGGGCTTTACCCCAATATCCCTAAACCCTTCGACCCGAAACCCCTAAAAGGGTTTAGGGTCTAAGGGGTTTTTATCCTGAACCGATTTCGAAAAATGCCCAAACAAATTCGGCGAGCGAGTTGGTTTCGAGGTGGTCGGCAGCTCCGCCCGGCATCCAGCAGGTGCAGCAGATGTTAGGGTGGGCTCTGCTCCCTGAACCCTAAAGCGCAAGCAAAGGCATCTACACGGAAAGAAGCGATCCTGTTCCCTAGGCCTGCGAAGTTACAAAACCACGAAGCTCTGCAGGAAGCCCTTACATCCTAAAACCGATCACCCCAAACCTGAGACAAACCACGAGCCTCCTGCTTGCGTTGAAGTTTAATTAGTTCGGCATTAGGCTCTTCACATAGCTTGGAGCCAACATGGGCTGGCCGCTGGCCTACTTCAAGAGATGATAAGAGCTGCTTCGCCTCGTCGTTGGCACAGTCTACGTGGTGAAACCCTGGATTGCCGGTGTGTTCCTGCCTCCTTTGACCCCGACCACCATTCGCTCAGACTCACAGTTGGACGGGCATTTGCAGGCCTCTCAAGGTGCATGATTTGCTTGGTGCACGATGGTGACGGCGAGTGCTTTCAGGTTCTTTCCTTACAGCTCACGAAGCTCACGACAAACCCCCGACCCTCAAGAACAAACTCGTGAAGCACGCGGGGGCCCCGCAACACTTGGGCTTTAGGTGGGACTTTTTGGGCTGACTTCGAGGGTTCGGATTGAGAGTTGAGGGTTAGGGGGCAATTGTTGAGGGTTGGGACTGCACAAAACGGTTTGGAAGGCATCCACCGAGCACCAATTTCACGCAACATGCTTCATCGTCGTTCCCAACCCCAAACCCCCAAGGCACTTATGCGCACAAGCCTTTCAGCCCACAACCATCCAATAGTCACTAGTCTGAAGCCAACACCCGAACCGAACTCCCTTAAATGTCAGGCATGAGGTGAAACCAACTTGAGCCTCCGCCAGCACACAGTCTCATGGGCCGGCGAGGAAGAAAGCGCCCTGCCACAAAACCAGTGCATGTTTACGGCATCAAGATTTCAGAGCACGCGCTCAGGATTGCTGCGGAATTAAGGGTTTAAAGTTCAGGGCTTTGGGTCATTTCGTGTTGAGAGTTTTCAACTTCGGCACCGAAGCTTAACACCGGAAAGCCGGACGCCAGGATGCAGGCCTCGTACGGCGCCAAGTGCAGTGCATCATTCAGGGTTCCATCTCCATGAAGGACTACCTGGTGTCGGCTCTTAAGCTTTGGAGTGTTAGGGTTCTGGGGCTTTGAATGTGCATCGGAGGTCAGAATACACGTTTGGGCATGGCGGCCGTTGTCTGTCATGGAAAATACAGTTCTTGATCTATGCCCGGTTTCAAGTTCTGGGGCCTGGGACTGTCTAGTTGTCCAGGGCACATTTAGCTGACAATTCTTGAGGACCGCAGCAGTAGGGACTTTGAGAGACGGGTTTGGGGATTGAAGGGGGCTTTGGGCTATCGTCAGGTGTTGTGGCAGGTTCCCAAGGTAGGGGGTCCTGTGGCCTCTGTTGTCGCCACTTGAGCGGTTCGCAAGCCCAACCCTGAAACTTCCAAAAGGCCCTGAACTCAAGCTCTGAACATCCCGTGGATGCAGACAGGCTTTAAGAACCAGCCTTCTGCTCTCCCGTAGAGATTGTGCGGTCTGCAGCTCCTGCAGATTGCCCTAGATGTAAAACCCTAAATCCCGAAATCTTTTTCGGCCACATACACACGTGGTGAAGGTTTGGTATGTGGAAGAAAAACGCAAAAACTCTGATAGCTGTGTTTTGGGCATATTCGTAAACGGCATGAATACTTTTGACAGCGTGTCTGGTTGCAGAAATCTCAAACATTCTTCTGCAATACGTCTGTTAAAGGCAAAAACGCTAAACGTTCAAGTGTCGTGGGCACGTTCGCAAAAAGACTTGTGACAGTGTGTCTTGTCCAGAAACGTCAAGCACCCTTTCCCTTTTGCAGCATCCCGTATAAAGCGGCACAAATGCTGTACGTGCCAGTGTTGGGCATGGTTAGAGTGACACGGTCGAAACCAACCCCACCCCCTTAGACCGCGCGTACTACAACCTAACCAGAAGCCCCATGTTCTAAATGGCAAGCCTTTCCGGACGACTCAAGTTGCAACCAAATGCGGAAGCTTCTTAACAAGCCTACTTGCTCAGAACGCAAAAGCTTGAAACCCCCAGCATTCATCCTTTAGAGCAAGAATGCAAGCTTGATTGAAATTAGGCCGGTTGCAAAGTTGGCGTTCTTAAGCCAACTTCAAGAGAACGGTTAGGACTTCCAGATCTTGGGGCTTTAACTGCAGGTTGTTAAGGGTTCCAAGGCAAAGGCTTTCAGGGCTTAGCTTTGAAAAAAGGCGTTTGACTACACAAAGAGAGGCACTCACTACATGTACTATCATGTACTACATCGTCTGTTTATGTTTCCCGCAACTTCGAGATCCAAAAACTCTTATATGCCCTAAATCCCAAGCCCACGGACGTAGTCATCGTTCGGGCATGGGGGCTCTGGTGCTTTGTACGCGTTGGTAACATGGACGTTATCATGGTGCGGGCATGTGGGCTCTGGTCATTCGCACGCAGTGGCAACCTGGACGTAATCATGGTGCAATCGTTTGCAAAGGTTTCTTAGTGAATCTTGGACAGCAGGGCTCGCGTAGTGACTTGCGATAAGCAACCTATTGTCACTGTCTTCCTTGTCGCCCCGCGTCGCGCACACGCAGTGCCATCGCGGAATCCTTCAATATCCTGAACAACATTTGGCTCCAGATTTGATGATAGCCCCAGTGAAATTGGCCACCTTCGTTGACGTGGCCCAGGACATGAAGCGGCCAGCCCAGCCAATGTAGCAAAAGTAGCCACAGTGACGGGCCGCTGGCAGTGCTTCGCGCTTGTTGATCGCTTCTCTTCGCCGCCCAACTTCGTGGCACGCATACACTTTCTTTACAAGATGCTTTGCTGCTTGAGCTTCTGCACCTGCTTGAGCTGGAGCTTTCTCAGAGGACCAACATGCAATGCAGCAAACGAGCAGATCGTAAGGCTCCCTGTGGTCTGCCGTCGAGTTGCAAAGTGGGCGTTCTCATGTCGAAAGTGCTGTCTCTGGTTGTAAGATGTGCTCTGGTTGTGAACTGGGGCTCCTGCCCACACCCCCACCCCTGCAGCCCCCAAACAAAAAAAGGAACTGCGGTAATCCCCGTGCTCGCAGAAACATCAAAAAAACTTAACAGCAGCCTTAACATAAGGACAGCTTTCAAGCTTCGGCCCTGCACCCTGATCCCACAGCTTCGCATGAGGTCCTCTCTGTTGCAGGCAGGTGGAGCCTTCAAAAGCCACCGCCCCTGCACCACAGCGTTGGCACAGGGTGTGGGGTCAAGGCCCCCGACTCCCTAAAGCCGAAATCTCAAACTGGGGATCAACCTACAACGACTCCGTGGCAAGAGCGAGGGAGGTTGGTCCTGCACTTCAGAATTTTGTGGCGAGGGCTGCAGCCACCTGAATACTGATGCATGTATTCTGAAACATTCCAAAGTAGATGCTGATAGACACCCTCGAGCCTGCCGGGTGTGGATTCAAAACCTTGCTTCCGCCAACACCAGGACTGTAGGGGTCATAAGGCTTCAGAGCTCATCACCACCACCAGCACTTCTCAGAACACTTCTCAACTTCTGGGCTCTGTGGGAGGATTTAGGGTCAGGTCGAACAAATCAACTACCAGAGCGCCGGCAATCTTAGAGCTTCGACCAGAGCGCCGGCAATCTTAGAGCTTCGACAGAGCCTGTAAAATGAGCCAGCACACCTGGATAAGCCAACCTGCAGACCGCTCAAGATCGCAACAGTGCAAACAATGTAGCAGCAATCCTGGACCTTCCAGCTCTCACCACACCTCTCATCACCTGGCCTCCTTACACCTTGTCCCTACCGTGCTTGCTCCATATTTCGTATACACCAGCAGCGAACCATGTCACACGATAAAGCTGCAGGCTCGGGAGCAGCAAAACCCAGCAGCGCTCCGCCCTCGAGCTCTTTGCCGTCCGGGTCCCCTGCACGTCACTTATATAGGATGGCTAATGGTTCGGTAGCATAAGATAAACTGTTTTGTGATAGCTTTTTTTGATTTGAGGTCTGCCCCTGGAAAGGCTTCCAAGCCTGCAACCACAAACCATCAAAGCTCGGAACTGATCTTAAACCCTTGACATGTGCATCTCGCAGCACCAGCGAGTTTGCTTCTGTGAGTCTGCTGCAAACAAGGGTGCGGAAGAGCAACTACAGGAGCACAACGCTTAGCTGCTATCTGTTTTCAGGGCCTGCGTCCACACGGCAGGCCACACAGATCGTCAGCGGCCGACCGCCCTCCTCTGACTCCATGACCCTGGCCAGGCAGCAAGTACGGAACAGGGTTCACGGTGGCAAGTCTCGAGCACTCCTCCCGAAAGCAAATGCTGCAGTTAGGGTCTCTGTCGAAACCAGCCGCCAGAACATCAAATTGCAAACCCCTTTACGAAAGCTCACATTCGATCCCGAAAACTTTGGAAAAAGGCGAGAAAACTCCGCCTGATCTCTGTCCGGATGGTCTGTCTCTGCTCGGGAGCCAGGCCCTCGATCACTCCGCGCAAGGCCTGGCGGTGTTTTGGAATGCTTTGGCAGCTTTTCATTCGGGTGGCCCGGGGATATCCAGTGAGCGAAATGAACCGAGTCAAGGGTTCAGGGCAGTAGAAAAAGCCATGGCCCTGGGCCTTCCGATAGGCCAGCGCCTCCTTGATCATCATTGACCTTTTGACCTCTGGGATTCAGGCGTCTTTTGGATGGGGTTTGAGTCTTGAGGATCTCAGGATGCGGGGTGAGTTGGGATGCCGTATTTTATGGGCTTCAGGACTACAATGTCGACTTTGCAGGGGGGTCTCGACCATTTTGGGCGAAGAAAGGGCATCGTGCTTTTCATGTTCTGCAAACTGTTGAACGACCCAGCTCACTCAAGCTTGGGGGTTTTGGTGCCTTGAGGGAAAACGAATTCGCAGGCTCTGGAGAGAGATCTTCCTTCCGTTCTAAGCTCAAACCCTTCGCCGGGTTATTGGAAGGAAGTAGCTCTGGGTGTTCATGGCGACTAGTTCCTAGTTGAAAGTAGGCCTGTGCCGTGCAGTTCTCACCCGAAGTTTCTTGCTTTTGCTGCCGACGACCGTCCTCTCCATTTCTTTGAGGTCTGTCGCAAGTACTGATACCCAAAAAGTCAAGCCGCTATCAAACACCCTGCAGACCCCAAAATGTTCCCACAAAGGCGAAAGGCATCCTCAGCAAGGAGGAGGATGGATCCGTCATGGGCTGCCTCAGCTTGGCTTCAGGATCTTCTAGGCCTAAAACGGCTTTGACATGCTTTAACGTTCAAGGCCGATTGAGGGCTTAGGGGTGCCTGTAACGAGGGGTTCGGGCATGACGTTCAGAATCTTCCGGATTGTCGGACGTCCAAGCCGCTGATGAGGAGTCTTACTACTTAGGTGGGATGCTGGAAATCAGGGCTTCGGGCTGCACTGTGGCGCTTGGACTTCGGCTTTCGCTCTTACATAGCAGCTCGCACGATTCTGCACATGCTTTCTTCTTGTCATTCTTTGAACCGGCCAATTGCCGAAGGCGTAGAGAAATGCCGCTGCAGCCCTTGCAAGGCCGGGCCAGTTCAGGGCTTAGGGAGGAAAGTGGGGAGACGCTCGAGCCACGGCGCCAGTAGCCAGGCTGCGGCCACTTGGGCGCTGCCCTCGCAAAACGGGGCCAGAATTCTGCAGACCTAAATCCCAAACCTCTGAAGCGCTCCACCACACTTGAAGCCGTGTTGTGATTTGACGACGAGGCTTCTAGATGCTTGCAGGCTTCCAAGGGCTGCGAAGCTTTGAGCGGGGCTGGTCCCAATCACAGGCACAGCCCTGACATGCAATAGTCATGCAATGCTCTAGCCGTTTTGGTGCTGAAAAGCCAACCGGAGCCGACCTATCCACAGCTCGAAAACCCCGATTGAGGGTTTGCAGGCGCTGTTCTTGAAGCTCAGCAAAGCAAGAGCCCCCACGAGCCTGGCTCCATCCCCCAAGGCCGTAGAACGGAACATCGTTGTAGACAGTGTCCTATTGCAGATCCCGACAGATCCAACAGAGGAATGAGAACCTACGTTTCGTCTTTAGTTTGGGGAACAATGGACCGGAACGTTTGCAGAACGCAGGCGGCGTCAAACGCAGCGGGTTTCGGCCAATCTGGCAGAAGCAAACCCTGGCGGAACCTCCATGTGAAGCAAACCACTTCCCTGCCACTGCCCTGCTTCGACTTGATTCGCTCTCACCATCGGTGAACTGTAGACCCGAAGCCCGAAGCCGAAACCCGCTTGAGCTGAGCCCACTGCATGATTCCGGGCAAACCGGATCGAGTTCCGCGACAGCACAGGGGCTGACATCTGCCCCTTTTCCACCTTAGCGCGCCCAATCATGCGAGAATCATGGCACCACACCAAACCCCAGCTACGCCCACAAAACATCAACAATTCTGACCAAACTAAACATTGACCAAAATTCAGGATCGAAGAAGAAGAGAGATGAGGTCGGGAGATATCGGGAGCGGGAGGCTGGAATGTGAGGTGAGGCCAGTTTTGTGTGCGTGCGTGTGTGTGCGCGTGCGAGCGTGTGCGCGTGCGAGCGTGCGTGCGTGCGTGCGCATGCGCGTGCGCGTGCGCGCGCACGTGCACGTGCACGTGCGCGCGTGCGCGTGCGCGTGCGCGTGCACGTGCGTTGCCTGCGTGTGCGCGTGTTCGCGTGTGCATGGGTGCGTGGGTGCGTGGGTGCGTGGTGCGTGGGTGCGTGTGTGCGTGGGTGCATGGGTGCGTGGGTGTGCGTGAACACCTCAACCTCCCTAAACTCCAAAGCATGCATCAACTTGCTCTCCAGGCCCTCCAGGCTCCTGACCGTTCCGAGCTTCTCCGGCAGCTCCGACGGTCTCTTCATCTCCACATCAATCCTAATTGTCTGGGGCTCAGGCCTTTAGACGTGTTTGGTGCTTGGGTGTTTTCCAAGCTTACGTAACTTTGAGGCAGAAGCAAGGCACTTCAGAATCTTGGGTAAGAGCGTAGTAAGGTTTGGGATAGGAATTTAGGGCTGACGCAGCGTGTGATCGGCACTCTGCAGTAAACCCTGAACCGCCTCAGCCCGACCTCCCTAACTGCCACTTCCTACACCCTTCAAACCGTAACCCAAACATCGCAAAGACAAGGCCCGGAACCCCAAAACCCAATGTCGTCAAGCCCTGGACCCCTACATGCATTGAAAACCCCGAAGCCCTAAGCCCCCACCCCATCCCATCGAAGCAGCTGAATTTGAACCACTGGCTTCATTGCCATTCTGTGCATACACAAACACACACACACACACACACACACACACACACATATATGTATATATACATATACATATACATATACATATACATATACATATACGTATACGTATACAGATACAGGTACATATACATATACATTTACATATACATATACATATACATATATATATATACATATACATATACATATACATATACATATACATATACATATACACATATACACATATACACATACACATACACATACATATACATAGACATAGACATAGACATAGACATAGACATAGACATAGACATAGACATAGACATAGACATAGACATATGTATATAAACGATGCACAGCTTGCGTCGCGTAAGCTGAAGCCTTTTTGGGAAGGAGTACGTCGATCTTGATTTTGCCTCGAGAAAAATGGGGTCTGAATGTCCATCTATATATATATGTATATATGGCGCCTGATTTACATGCTACATATGAGAATATACATATATGTATATATATAATTGGATGCAAATATTGATCAAACATCGATATTGATTTTTACATATTGATTTTTCATGCTATAAGATCAAATTTCTATACTGATTCTGCAGCCCCCCAAAATCACGATATTGATTGTAATCAATCGCGGATGCACAGTATATTTAAAGATATTCAGGAGAGTTGTCGGAACAAATTTGCAGCCACTTGCGGCCCCTCGGTGTCGGAAAGGATACTCATTCTTGTAATCGTTCACATCGAGCACATTGAACAGGTAAACAGAGTGGCTTTCGTGTACAACCATTAGCAAGCAGTGCTGCAAATCCTACGGTTCGTTTCGAATGTCCGCCGACATGCGCAATGGCATGTATGCAGGACCAACTCAGAAAACAGCCCCCTGAATGAAGGAGAGGCGAGTAAACATAACTGCAGGACAAGGTCAACGCTAACGAGAACCAAACTGAGAACACCTGCAATTGGGGAAAGAAATGGAAACAGTGATAGAAAAAGAAAGTGGGGCTACGCTGGGCTGCGCACAAGTGCTTCACCCAGTCGTGGTGCTCGAAGTCCACGGCGTGGGGCCCAACCTGCAGACGGCAGGGCAGAACGCAGCGCAGAACGCGAGTATAGTCTCTTAGGCTTCAATGTTTGCCTTTGTTTTCGTTTAACGGCTCATGTGGCACGGAGAGCCTCCGACTTCCAGCCCAAAGTGAAGAGGAGTTGGCTCTAGGTTCGGAACCTTGCAACATTTGCCAACCGCAACATTTGCCAACATGCGGGTAACTATTATGCCCCCACCCCTGCCCTCGACAAGTTTTTGAAAAACATCAGAGGCTTCGCTTACGTGACATGGTGAAGGACAGGAAAAGTAAGTGCTAAACCCTAACCCTGAAACGCCAAGCAAGCGAATAGCAAAGAATGTACTTCACAAGGTGGGGGGCTTAGGGTCGAAAAAAGGACGTGCGCAACAAAGGTGAGATCCGGCAACAACTGCCCACAACCCGACCTCAACTCGGTCCCACCAAGTGGGCCTTGGACACTCGACCAAAGAAACAACGCCCTTCCGCGCAGCCTCGATAAATCTCCGAAGCCAGGCCTCGCCACATCTCGCCACTGCTTTTATTCATGGCTAAGAGGCTTTACGTGGAAGCCCAGATGAGCTAGTAGACGCCTTCGATGCCTTCTGCATAGATTCGCGCAAGTGTCGAAATTGAGGCAACCATCGATGAAGAGTCCAAGCTTTGAGAAAGCACTTTGAGAGGTGCTTTGAGGGCCTTACTTAGGATTGGCTTCTGCCATTCGCTACCTCGTCTCGATTCTCCTTCGAGTTACCCGTGAACTTAAAACCGTCGAAGGTGCTAAACCTCAAGCCTGAAGTCCGAAGAATTGAAATCCGCGACTTCGGCCTTGGGTTTTGGGCGTGGTTGTGGGTTTGGGACAGAGGTGGGTGTCTCCCGATTGAGGATCGGCTCGCAGGTGTGCCGCCCAGGTGCCCCCAGGAGGAAGTCCGTGGTTGGGAACTGCTCGCCCGTCGTCAAAGACACACCTCTGCTGCCCACAACATTCAGAGTTTATGCGGGTATCTGCATGAGGCGAAGGCACCATCCGTGTACTCCCGCTGCATGGCCGGGTCGATGCTCAGCACCTGCATCATTGACACTGTTCTGGCAGCGTTGGTAGAAAGGAGTGTCTTTGTAGTAATCATGCAAACACTCTGGGTCTTCTCTCTGTCTTTCCCTCTCTCTCTCTTCTTCTCTCTCTCTCTCTCTCTCTCTCTCTCTCTCTCTCTCTCTCTCTCTCTCTCTCTCTCTCTCTCTCTCTCTCTCTCTCTCTCTCTCTCTCTCTCTCTCTCTCTCTCCTCTCCTGCACGCGTGGCCCCCCCCCGAAGAGGAGAGCCGACCCAAGGGGCGCGCGAGTCCGAAGGTTTGTTGGAACGAGGGTTTACTACGGTTTTCGTAGTCCCCTTTCAGAAATGGAGTCCAAAGCCCCCTACGGCGTGCGGCAGTGGGGTAGTGGGTTAGGTGCTCCTGTCTTAGAAAGGTTACAAGGCTGCAGAATGGTGGAGTCTTCGCTCCCCCGAATTGCTGAACTGTCTTATTGCCCCCGGGGTTCAGGTCTCTCAGTAGTGGAGGATGTCGTCGTAGCCCTGTCTCAGTTGTGGACGTTGTCGTTGTGGACGATGTCGTTGTAGCCTCCTCTTGCTGCCAGGCGGACGACCTTTTCCAACAGCTTTTCTTGGTCTTTGTTGCTGGCGCCCCCGAACTTCCTCTTTCTTGGTAGCGGTGGCTTTTCATGTTGGGGGTCTTCCTGGAGGGCCGATGGTGTTTCACATGGTCCCCCCTGAGCTGTTCGCGGCGGTGGGTCTCTCTTCATGGCAGTACTGGTAGGCACGGTTGTCGTCGTCCTTGTCCCCTTCTTTATTTCTGCTCGCCCCCTACCTCGTCCTCCTCCTTGGGCGCGCTCCTTCATGTAGTGGAGTGCTCCCCCAGTAGTCGTCGAGCCTCCTCTGGTAGTGGCATCGTCGGGGGTGCCCCCCTTTTGTCGCTTCCATGGCTGAAGTGCGCTACGGGTTAAGGGGCGGTGGAGGGTGAAGGTGTGCAACGTGGAGAGGCAGGGCATGTGGAAACATGACTCTCTCTCTCTCTCTCTCTCTCTCTCTCTCTCTCTCTCTCTATATCTTTCTGCGCACCTAACCCCCCTCGATTGAGGAGGGCCGCCCGAAGGCGTGCGTTACATGGTTCAGCGGGCTAACCGATGTTGTGGGGTTACGGGAAACCTGACGTCATAGATACTGCATAGGGAACTGCTCCCCTTCACCCCCTGTCCAACATGGTTGCTCCTTCGCCCCTCCACAGTGTACATGGTTCCTTCTCCCATTCACTCAACGGCCTAAGACTAAAGCTTGCGGCTACCATACACAGCCAAGGGCCCTCCTCACACTTGGAACCAAACTGTGGGCTGTTCAGGGCGGGGTGAGTGGCGGTGAAACTCCGCTGTCAGCCGACTTGTACTCTTAGCCTGACAGCTAACGGCTCCTAGTTCACCCACCTCCATGGACTCGTAGTCGGCTTTGTATCGTTGTTAGGGTACCCGGGACACCTTGGGGGTAACTATGTCCACGGCTTGCAGTGTTTTCGGATGTATAGGGGCCCTGCTGACGATCTAGCTCTCCCGGGCTGGGTTGAGGTGTCCTATCTGTACTGCTTTCTGACAATTCCGGGTCATCTTGAGGTAACTATGTCCACAGCTTGCAGTGTTTTGGGGTTACAAGGTCCAAGCTGGCACATTGATGTGACAATTGTTTGCCGGCCAGTCACTGCTCGCCCCATCGCGCGTGGGGCGGCGCCGGTCGTCGTCGGGGTGAACTTCTGATTCTCGGTGTTCTGGGTCGTGCACCCGGCGATGAGATGGCCAAGGTACGGTTTCGGGCGTGGTAAGCGTGTGCTGGCAAAGAATGGTTGCGCCTCTCCAATCTCCGGTGTTTTTTCCCCATATGATTTGCCACAGGGGCATTTTGTCGAATTGAAGAGGAGAAGTTTGGAATCGTTTAGGGATGTGTCCTCCTTAAGGGTGGGTGCCAGGTGGATCTCTTGTTGCGCCTGAAGCCCCACCCACATTCCAGGTGATTATTTGGAATGGCTGGCAGGTGTATCTGTTGCGGTGAAACTTGTGGCTGCGTGGCGGTTTGGTGTGTCACAGCTCCCGCCGGATGGAGCTCCAGTGTTTTTCTACCTCCTGCCCGCCAGGGTGGCGCCTGTGTGGGGGTGCGCTGTAGCCGAGCTGATCTTTTCCCCACGTAGCCAGACTGTGCCCGTTGAGAATTCCGCTTCCACGTTGCCCAGGTGTGGTTCAAGGTCCAGTGCCAGGCGTTTGGTTCTCCCCGCCAGGCGGGCCTTCGCCCGCCTGGCGGGGCTTTGGGAGGTCGCGAGCCACATTTTCTGGCGCGTGCCGTCAGGCTTCCCAGAATCACGCAGGCGTCCCTCACCTTGACCTGGATGGTTTTGTCTCGCGTGTGCGGGTCGTGCTCGGCTAAAAGGTGATGACGTAGCCTCGGCATACTCCTGGTACAAAGGCTTCCTTCATGTTGATCTCGAGCTGCAATGTTGCCACGGCTTGCTGGGCATGTTGGAGCGTCTCCGCTGCAGGGTGTGTCCTCCTTCCAGCCACCAAGGATGAGTGCGTCTCCCCCCTTCAGAAGGGTCCGCTGATGATGAGGTGCCTCTCCCATCTGATCGTCTGCCTTGCCACTGCCCGAGTTTCCCCTCCAGGAATAAGACCCTGCTGTTAATGGCCAAGTTGTCGTTGGTGAGGGTGTCCAGCGTGGCTTGTTGTTTCTGGGCTGTCTCAATGTTCTGCAGGGCTGTCGTGTGGGCTAGGTGTTTATCCGTGAGCTCCTGCAGCAACCGAAGGGTATTGGCGAGTTGTGAGCTGACGCATTGCTCTACCTGTTCCACCCTGTCAATAGCTCCCTTGATTTCGGCCTTCACCTCGGTCATGAACTCGGTTTTCAGCTCTGATTTGAGCTCGTGTCGTTCAACTCGAAGTTCTCCTTTGATCACCTCCCTGATGGCGTCGATGGTTAATCCCTCTTCTGCTGTAATTTTCCTTTTGGGCGACACATATTGGCGATGTTGATCTCCCCACTGGCGTTGCTCGCATGGTTTGCTCCTATTTGTTCCATTGGTGTGGCTTGCATTCTTGATCTCCCTGCCAGTGTCACGTTCTTGTAGTGGGTCTTCTCCCTGTCGAGGGGGTTGGTGTGGAGAAGCGTTGCGTGCGGGTAGTCCCTGAGTAGGGCCGCCGATCACGTGCCTGTAGCAGGTGATAATCTCCTTCTCACGCCTCAGCTGCGGTTCACGAGGGGGTCCGAACTCCACCTCTCCCTCTGCCGGAACCCTCCCGAAGATGTTGCGTAGTACAACAAACAGGTAGTCCGGGACAATGGCACAACGGAGTGAGCAAAGCGGCTCGCCTCTCCCTCCCCTCTCTCCCTCTCTTGTTTTTTGGTTGGGGAGGCTGCTCACCGGGGGCGCCTCCTTGAGCACTCGCGTCTTGAGCCAAAATGGCTACCTTCTTTCTTTCTTTCTTTCTAGGGGCTTGGGGTCTGCGCCCCGGGCATCTTTGCCCGCCCCTGTTTCGGGGTGGAGTGGTCGGTGTCCGGTGCCCGGGTGTACTCTGCCAACTTTTCCCGCCATTAAACCCGTAGCCCCCCTTTGTAATCCCGTTATTCAGTGAGGTGGTGTGGCTACCTTCTCTCTCTCTCTCTCTCTCTCTCTCTCTCTCTCTCTCTCTCCTGCACGCTTAGCCCCCCCCGAGGGGAAGGCTGGCCCTAAGGGCGCGCGAAGTCCACGGGTCCGTTGGTTAGGAAGGGCCACGGTTTTCACGGCCCCTCTGAAATCACCAGGCGTGTGGTTTCCCCCAGGAATTCAGCAAACAAACGGAATGCCCCCATGTTAATTACTCCCATCCTACCTTCTCTCTCTCTCTCTCTCTCTCGCTCGCTCGCTCTCTCTCTCTCTGAGAGATTTTGCAATCAGGTTCTGCGCGATGGTCACCTCTAGAACTGCAACCTCACACATCTGCTACACATAAAAACCCAGCCGCAAATGTCCAGTCGTAAAAACTCATTCTTCGAACCGAGCCTGACCCGAGCTTGAGTCCATTGGGAAAAGATGTCACAAGATTTCAATATTCCTGAACCCTTCCACAGCTCAGAACCTCTCAAAGAGACAAGAACAAAGACCCCTGAATCCAAAGAAACGGAAAGCGTCTCAACAATCATCAGGTAGCTCAAAAATCAAGGGCCTCGCCATACGCGTACACGTCGGCCTTGTCCACGTAGTGGCTTATGTGCTCGGGCCGCATGTGCCTTGAGCCCAGGGCTGATGGACGGTGTTTTGAGGACCAGCTGAAAAAGACGGACAAAGAACTCAGGACAACAGTTCATGGCTGCAATGAGTCTCTTGCACGCTCCGGCTGGAGACATGGATAGTTTAGCGATGTGTGACGTCAGAACATACCTTTGAGATGCATGCGATTTTGTGACTATGGTGCTCACCTAAGTCAGTTTCATGCAAGAAGGGATGTTGCCTAAATCTTCTCAATGGTCAATGGATTGAATGGGTGCGATGCGGATAGCATTATGCTTGATGCAGCATTCAATGGTCTCAGTCAGATCCCACTTTGAAAGATGTCAATCAACTTGGTTGGGCAACCTTCATGTTGCTAGACATCGTCACAAAGTGATGATCGTGCGTGGCGAGATGCCAGAGGAGGGCAGGCGAAAGCTTCTAAACTATGTACAAAGCACATCCAACAAAGTCAGCTTTGCCCACCAAAGGCGATGCACAAAGTAAGGTTGCATTGAGCCAAGGGGCGTACAGTACCATTCCCAGCTGCTGCAGAAACGAGTGCGATTCATCCAGCACCCCAAACACCAAAACATAACCTTGCTTGCAGCGGCGTGGCTTCGCCGCATCGAAGCGGAAGCCAGACACCCCACAGTTTTTCCTCGACATTCAGGCTTTTGATACACTTAGAGCTTTAGGTTGGGCTTGGCCCCAAACCTGCAAACCGCTTTGCCAGGTTTGGACTGGGAAGCTGCGAGGTCCCTGCAATAAGTCACGCAGTGAGCCCCGCAGTGAGTCACAGCGAGTCACAGCGATGGGCACTCACAGTCAGAGCGGAAGCATTCGGATCAAGCACTTTCGGCAAGCTGCCGCCACAGCGGAATCCCAAACTCAAGCCTCCATGCCCAAAAGCCCTTCAACCTCAACACTCAGCCCACTCCCCAAACAACTGAAGCGCTTTCTCCCTTCAACAACACAGTCTTTGTTGCTGTTGGTACTCACAACCCTACGCCAGTGAACCCCAGGTGCTTCCTCTTTCAGACTCACAATACACAGCCCAGCCACAGCTTCTCCATGTGGGCCGAGTGCACGGAGACGACCTTCGCTGAGCCGCCCTGCCAAGCGATTTGGAGGGACTTGGAGGGATTTGGAGCTTGGGGGCCTTAATTTGTTGGCTTGGGATTCTTACATATACCGGTTGCTTATGTTTGCTTCTATTTGCTTATGGTGTTTGTGGAGCCCTTGACCCGACATAAACCCGCACCAGAAGTTTCCCAGCAGCCGAAAGCACCTGCAACCCGCGTTGCGAACACGTACGAACTCACATTCCCCAGGCCGAAACCCTCGAGCCTTGAGCTCGGACCACTCGCCGCAGCCCCAGCCCTCCATGCGCTTAGGGCCATCCCAGTCCTAGCAGGGTGGTGGCTTTATGTGGCTTTCTAGCGATGCCTTCCTTCCAGTTCACGCCAAATCCCAAACCAAACAGGCCTTCAAGATTGGTAAGGGCTTCGGGCAGATCTCGCGGCGGAAGATTCGCGGTGCGCAAGGAAAATCGCCATCAGAAAACACACCAGCGTCTGAACCTGAACCCCCGAACCCACAGAACCCCCAGAAGCACAAAAACATTGAACCTTAAGCACCCACCGCAGTCCCAAAACTGAACCGTTCAGCCACGTCAGCCACCTCAAGGATCTTGAGACTCTGGAGCGTCGGGGCGTTTTCTCCAGAACGGGAATTGGAGTTGCGAGCGAGTTTGATGCTGAGGACTTGAAGCTTGAATTCTTAGATATTCTTACGACGCACGGCCCCACAGCCGTCCTCGCCCTCCAGAGGATACCACGGCCACTCGAAGTCATCCCTGCATATGCCGCATCGTCAAAAAGCGTTGAGCTTTGAAGGTGTCAGGGCTTGTGGCTCTAAGGTTTCAAGGGCTGACTGAGCCTCTTGCCAAGTTTTTTTGGCTGTAATGAACAAAATGAACAGAACTTCAAGCCGCTCAAACTCAAAGCACACCGCAGGCCATTTGAGACCCCATTTGCATTCTCTTTTCATAGCGGGGGGGCCTGGAGAAGGTGGGGCCCAACTTCTGCGAGAGCCTGCGCTGGAGAATCTCCAGGAGGCCCGCGTCCTTCCCGGAAAAGGCCAGGTAGTGGGCTCTTCAATAAAGTCCAACATCTTGTGAAGGTTGGTGGCTTCTGCTGAGGATCTGGGGTGTGTCGTGGCTTCAGGGCAGCTGGATGTGGCTGGGCTTTGGGGTGTAGCGTTGGTTGTAGGATGGAGGTCTTCGGTTGTGCAGAAGCCCATCCTGCTGCGCCTTGCGCCACTCGTCGCAGCTAGCAACTACCTTTGCATGAAGGACAACGTCGACGGTGGGGTTCAGGGTAGATGTGCGCAGGCTAAGCCTTCTCCACTCACGCAAGAAGATTGGATGCAGCTTCTCTACAATCAAAGCAACCAGAGACACCCTCTCGTCACCTTGAAGCTTGAACCCTCAATCAGTGCTTGAGATCAACTCTACACGTCCCGGTGGTTGCAAACATCAAAGATGTTGCTGGTGCGAGCATGCCAACCCTGAGGCCATGAAGACCAAATCTGTGGAACTGTGGAAGCATGACACTACAAACGCTTACTGGAAACGTGTTCCCGAATGAACAATGGGTCAGATTGTGGGTGCAAACTCATTCCGTGTGTTATATGTTCCGTGTTCCTTTTGCAAACGTATACCTTGAGAGTTGTAGGTTTTTAGCTTGATAGGGCTGGAAGTTCAGTGTCAAGGGATTTCAGGTTTAGGGTCAAGGTTTCAGGGCTCCAACCGAATTAGATGAATCTAACTCATAGAGCAAGAGATGCCAGGTGTTACACGGCTCTTGTAGCAGCTGCCTCCTTGACACACTAAATCTGGGATACCCCCTTGTTTGAAGATTTGTCAAGACAACCCACTGTCCAATAGCGAGCACTCGAAATGAAAAAGCCTTTCCAAGGATAGCGGGGAGAAAAAATAGAGGGTCGGACGTGTGGCATTCAGAACTGTGAGTTTCAGGCAGAATTTCTGCCCTTCGTCATCTGGGACAGAAGCCACCGAAGCTGTGAAAGCCAAGCAGCCAGATATGCCCCAAGCTCTAAGAACCTCCAACACCTCAAAGGGTCCCCAAACATCCAGCCCTGAACCCACAAAGGCTGCAAAGTTTATGAAATCCATATCTACAATGCAAACATCAGGCAGCCTCAAAAGGCCGAAACCCTTTTCCCAGCCTGCATGTGGTTGAAGACCAAATCCCCAAAAACCAGAAGGCCAACCTTTTCACAGGCTTTGCAGCAGTTCCGGAGCTCCTGGAAGCAGGGCTCTGAATTGTTCTTTGAGCGTTACAGCCTGGAAACTTGGGGCAAAGGACCGCCGGGGAAGCTTAGGCCTTTAGTATCAGAGTGGTGCCCTGCGGATATGGGAGGGCGCTTCGATGTAGGGACCAAGACAGACGAGCGTTCGAAACGGCCACAACTGCCAAAAAGGCCAAAACGGCCAAAACGGCCACTTGCTGTTCTGGGCAGATGGGATGACAGCGCTCAAGGCTAAGGCTTGTTCCAGTCTGAGCCCTCAACAAAGCCTTGCGTTGCGGTAAATACCATGCAGCAGCACGGCACTTGCGAACGAAATTTAGCCGAATAGTCAGCGTAGCAAAGGCCCTCCATCGCGCCTGCTCGTTACCGAGACCATGAACCTCCTCGTACTTCACAGGCTGGTAGCGGGTCCACCACTGATCTCCTGCAGGTGGAATCAAGGATTGGATGTCAGAGGCGGGATTCGAGTTTCAGGGCTGAATTTTGAGGTTGTGGCAAGAGATGCCTCGGCATATCTCTGAACACTATTTTGAGTCTAGAGCTCCCAGCCAAAGCCCAAAGCTACATTTGGATCCTGCTAAGCCCACTATGCTTTAGGGGATTCGTCCTGGGATGCTCTTCTGCGCTGGGCTCAGCTGCACAGCATCGAAACCCAGCGCAGCGATCATTGCGGCCTGGGGAAGGGAAGGTGTGGGGGGTTCAAAATTTCGAGGCGGGTTAGCAAGCGGACATGTCTTGGATACCGTCCCAACAGTCTATCTACAAAGCACACGGGGAGCGCGTTTACTGCCTGCAGGTCTTTGGGTACATCTCTTGCATGGGGAACGGGCTGGCACAAAGGGTTCAAAGCCAGGCGACGGAAACAAGTCACCTTTGGAGTGGGAAGCAAATCCGACCGAGTACTTGACTTGGGTCGTTGGGTCAGGGCGAGTCCGAGTATTGCAGGCCCAGCTTGGGTAAGGTCCATTTAAATGCCTACATTCCGTGCTGGTGCAACACAAACTGATGATATCGTCGACAAAACATCCACTGCGGAAAAGTTTGTTGAACAGTGCCTATAGCCTAATCACCTGAGATGTGAAGTATACAGTATCCAGTTCCGTCCCTCAACCACCGATGTCAACCAGCGGGACCCACGCAATCAACTCCTGAACTCTCGAGGCACATACCAAAGAAAGCCCAAACTCGAAACCCCCAAAACCCCCGAAACCCCGCAAAGAGCTGTCTCCCCGACCTTCTTCTGAACATCCGCAAACTTCCAGTTGAAAGCGTGAAAGATCTAGGCGGCATCTGGCAGTCTGAGGTTAGGGGAAGTTCGGTTTAGGGAAATTGGGCTTCGAGCACGTGGTGCGGTGAGCAGAAAAGGCAATTGCTTGCGGTGGCTGCGCGCTTTGGAAGAACTGTCACCCCCCTGTGGCCCTTGTGGGCCTGATGGCCAGGTACCGCTGTAGGCCCTGGCACACAAGTGCCTAAGTAAGGGCCAGGGCCTTAGGTGAGGCATCTGTGGAGGCTCGGCCTCGAGATGCTCACGTCCTCCTCACCCGGTCCCTGCTCAGCTTCCACTGCCCCTCGCAGCCAAGAGGCAGCACCAGGAAACTCAAGAGGGTCGATGTCTACCTGAAAGAGACTGGGTTCACACCGCCATGGTCCATGTTAGAGTCTTCAAAAATTGCGCTTGGCAATGACTTTGAACTGATTGTCTTATTTTGTCATATTCTTTTTCAGGTTTAGGTATGTTTGCAAGCTGATTGCATAAGCATTCGACAACTCGACTTTGCCATGCTTGCTTCTTGAACATACATCTATTTACGTGGCAGTGCAGCGATTTTGTTGCAGAAACTGGGCCGCGCGCGCGCGCGCGCGCGTCTCTTTTGGCACATGCGTTACTTGTCAGAAGGGGTACACACACACACCGACGCACGCACGCACGTACGCACTCACTCACTCAGCGACACACCCATTCACTCATACTCACTCACTCAATCACTCACTCACTCACTCAGTCAATCACTTACTCAATCACTCACTCACACTCTGGCATTGTCGCACTGTGAAGGTACTAAATGAATAGAGCCTCACCTTAGGAGGTGGGTGATTTCGACAACATGCCTACTTGTCTGAAAAATAGCACGCCTTGTCACAAGCCTTGGCTTACTTTGAGAACGGAGATGCATGGCGTTTGCACTAGCTATGTACTCGCTCGATGTATGGGCCTCATTCACATGTCATCAATTCTACATGTATTTTGCGCTTATTCGTTCTTCAGTTCATCACTCTTCAGGAACTACCCAATATTTTAGGGTGGGTTGGTGGGGGGGGAGGGCTGGGGTGTGCAGGCCTGCCAGGTGTTTCGAAATGAGGGGCTTACCAGCTGGAAGCTTTCTGATATTCAGATGCGTGGCTGAGACTGCAGAGGTCAAGCCGCCCCCATGTCCCAAACATCAACCTCAGGTGACCAAGCGAGCTGCCAGCCAGTTGTCGCCCCAGACCACATCCAGCTCCTGGCCCTCACCCTGACAGAAAGTTCGCATTGGAGGCAAAAGTGGGCTTGGGACGTAAGGGATTCTCATGTTCAGATGTTGAACTTATGGTACAGGGCTCCGGTTCTTGAGTGCTTGGCATCAAGAGTTCCACTGGTTTTGTTGCTGGAAGTCAGTGATTTTGGTAGCGAGATTCTGCGATGATTGTTTTACCGGAAGCCACTGCTTGTTCCAGACCCAGCTCCAGGCTCCAGGACTTCAGGCTTTACTTTCCTTGCCAACACAGGGTTTGAGTGTGAAGTTTTGGAACTGGCCTCGGTACTTCCATATGTGCCTATGAGCCCTCCAGCACCAGCCTCAAGGCCCCGCTCCTTAACAGCTTAGCAAAAGCACTGTTCCCAGTCATACAAAGTCACACGACAACCTTTGCATGCATTGCACGACTGCTTGTCACTAGAGGACTCCTGCTAAGCTTCTATCGCCAACCGCCAACATCCGCAATCCCCAACGGCCAGACAATTGTAGCCTTCGCCTTCCTGGGCGATGGAAGGTCAAACAGGTAGGAAGCCTCCTGCAAGCAAAGCGTCACGAGCCTCTCGCCAGCCCCCGCTTACCAGCACTTGCAAAACCTTCAGTTTTGGAAAGTTCTCTAACCCATCTTGAATCAAAAAGCCCATGGCCAGAGGCCGAAAAATGTCAAAGCCTTAAAAAGTCCTCAAAACAAAATCAACGAAGACAGCAAGAATTGGTACCTCCCCCACAAAAACAACAATAGAACACACCGAGCACACCTCGGTATCCAGGGTGATCCCAAAATCCCTGGACCCGAAGTGGTTAGTCAAGTCAAGCTTGGGAACCAAGGTTCATATAAAAAAACTGGGAGTTTGAGTTGCTTTCTTGGTTTCTTGTGCCCATCTTGATTGGCACGGTCCGCTTACATTGACGCCGGCCCAGGCCATGGAACGAACCTGCTCCCCAAAACATGTTTTGGGAATTTGGTTCTCAGCTCTTGGTTCACATCATCCAATCGGAGATGTGGATTGTTCCAAAGTTAACAACTAACAGCTTCAAATTATCTACAATATGCAAAAATGTATAGGCAAAGCCTACAAGCTATCCGAACTTGGGGATGTTGAACTAGAACAAACACCTTTTCCTTTTACGCAGAGATGAAGGTCTGGATTTCGCTTGCTTCAAAAATTGCATATGTCTGCAGGGTTTAACGTACTGTACGGACTGTATGGAACTAGCATTCCTGAAACCTGCTGTAGCTGGATTCCACTGACGGCACCAACATTTATTCACGACAGCCGATAGCCGTGTAAATCTATGTATGTGTAGACATCACCCCCCAGACCCTTCTTAACATGGGATTACATGATTACATGGGGCATCAGTGACCGCAGCAAGGGCGCCGCGCCGACAAAGGACGCTCAAGCCTCAAGCCATGCTGTGAATGAGCTTCGCTCCACTGATCCGCAAAGCGTGGCGAGCTTCTTTTGAAGCCTATGGACTCTATGACTCTCTTATTTTGCACTTTCCACTTTCTTTTGGGCCCATGCCCTGTCCACCTGAAAACGTTTTTCCACTTTCCGCTGTCGCTTTCCACTTGTTTCCGGGTCTACGCCCCTTCCACTTTCTACATGTTTTGCCCTGTGCTCTTTGTCGCTTCCATGTATCTACAAAAATATGGAATGTGGAAAGTGGAAAGAGCATAGGCGTAGGCTAAAAGATGTGGAAACGGATCGTGCCACATGAATGGAAAGCTGGGCTTGGGGTTGGCAGCTCAAAGTTGGGTTCAAGGTCAGGCACCTACCCTGGGCTCCTCGCCGGACCAGAACCTCGGCAGCTGGGGACGCGTCGTCTGAGGTTAGGGCTAGGATGTGGCGATTGGGGTTGAAGCTTCGGGCGGTTCAGTGTCGCAGCTCGATTCGGTTTGGGGCTCAGGGAGTTCTCATGCCCCGGGGCAATGTTGTTAGGGGTCGAGAGTGGGGTGTCAAGGACCAACAAGAATATCCAACCCTGAGTACTCATTCAAGTTCGTCATGTGCAGTTTACCTGAGAAGCACAAGCTTTTTCTTTGAGCTCTGCCCAAACAGGCATTGGGGCAGCAGCTCTTGAGACAGAAACCCAACAAAAGAGCCTGACACGATCGAAGCATCCAATTTTCAAGCCCCTGAAGTTTCAAAATCTGTGGCCCCTCAATACCGCAGATACTCTTTCTGCCCTGAGTCCTACGCCCAAGTCCAAAGCTCGCCCTTGCCATGCGTTCAAGATCATGTCTGAAGCCCCTAGGTCCCTGGCCGGTTCGGGCGATTTTCCTCCCATCTCGGGATGCCGTTGTGGCCCAGGCAGACGAACTTAAAGGGCATGCCTGGTGTGGCTATGGGACACGCAACCAAAAGGCACACAACCACCAGCCACAACAACCACCAACCACAACAACATCACCACTTTACCCTCCCATGCCCTCTCGAAGGATCTTCTTTCCACACCCCTTGCAGCACCTGGCGTGACCTCTGCCAGCACTCCGGGCAGTGCCCACACCTTTCCATGTAGAATGGTTGCTTGCGGTCAAGTGGTTCGGGCCGCTGAAGCCTTAAACCCCAAGCACGGTTCTTTGTTCCAGGTTTCTTTACTCAATGTCGTCAACTTTTTTGCTTTAGCTTGCATTCTGCAATTCAATGGTCCTGCTTTTACAGACAAATGGTACGTCCCAATGTTTTTGATATTTATGTACCTTCCAATTTTGGGGATGGATACATACTGGCCATCTGGAGACAGCAGGGTGCTTGTATTCGTCATCTTGAATCTGAGAGATTCAATCTTCAAGCTGGCAAGGACTTTTGCAATTCTTCAACCCGAAGGGTGCAAGCAAAATCCCAGTACTGTCGTTGGAGGCTCAATCAAACAGATCGCAAGCGGTGCTCCCTTTACGTGGTTGAAGGTTTGAGTTGTGGATGCGTGAAGTGAGCATCCACGTCCCTCTCGACTTCTCAGGGGAGCTCCGATGAACGTCATCGCCCCCCTCCGCCACAGAATTCAAGTGGAGGACTAGAATAGAAAAAATGTCAGAAAAGAAAACATCGGGCAGCTTGTGCGGCACTGGATAAGAGGGCAGAAAATATGCTTGAAGCTACAGTTCTGGAAGCCACAGAAATTCCAGATGTCGGGGCAGTGTGACGAGGTTGGATGGGCAGCGTCTGTGGTCTCAGCCACCACTACCGCACTTACATCCGCAAAGGGCGGCGCCACTACCGCACTTGCCGCAGCTGCGGCAGGCGGCATAGGACTAGGGCTACAGGAGCTGCAGCGACTTGAATCTACAGCGCTGGAAGCCACAGAGGATCCGGATGTCCCGCCTAGTCCTGCGGCAGCTACACGTCTTGCAGAGATGGCGACGAAGGTGCTTGAAGCTACAGCTCTCTGGATACCACAAAGAAATTAAATGTCCTGCCTACGCCTACAGCAGCTACAAAGGCTGCTACAGCTTTGGAAGCAGCAGCAGTCCGTATCGGAGTCTGCACGCGCTGCACGCGCTACCACTACCACACTTAAGAACGCAGAGGGCGGCGGTGCTAAGGCACTTACCCGAGCTGCGCCAGGCGGAATAGGACTACAGGGCCCCTTGGACGGTCGACGCCTACGGCAGCTAAAAAAGGCTGCAGAGATGGCGACGAAGCTACAGCAGCGTGGGGACAGAACTCCATCGGGGAATGGACGGGACGTACCAGAAAGGGTGGCAATAGGAGACGTGGATCATCCAAGCAGCGACGCCACCTGCAGTGGACAGCCCGTCACAACTTGCACTGGAAATACGTAGACTGCACGCAGGAGATAAAAACAAAAACTGTTTTGATGAGCTGCAAGATGGATCAGAAGAAAATTAGGATACTCGCTTCCGCCTGCAGGAGCTACAGAGTCTGCAGAAATGGCGACGAAGGTGCTTGAAGCTACAGCTCTGGAAGTCTGGAAAATAGATGTCCCACAGAAACTACAGACGCTGCAGAGATGGCTCTCGGAGACGCGATCCACGCGATCCACGCGACACCTTAAACCTGTCGGCACCAATTCGTTAGGTGTGGTAGTGGACGGACAGCATGAGCCGAAGCAACTGGAGGAGTTACTAGCAGCGGACGACGAGATGCAGCAGCCGGTGCAGAAGGGCGACGAGGCGGAAACGGATGATGAAAAGCGCCGACGGCGTGAACAACAGGCATGCATTTCAAGTGCCGGTGCTGCTTACTTTGCCGGTGCTTTGGACGACAGCCAGTAGATGTCCCGTCTATGTCAGCGGGAAAGCCACGCAGTGTTTGAAAAGCTACAGCTCTGGAAGCCACAGAGACAGATGTCCCGCCTGCCCCTACAGGATCTACAGTGGCTGCAGAGATGGCTACAGAAGCTGCAGAGATGGCGACGAAGCGAAGCGGAGAAAAGGCCAGAAAGTTAAAGTGTGAGAAGCGGATAGTGTTTAACATGTACACGGGCAACGTCCACGGGCATGTGGAGCCTTCAACCACCTGGACACGCAGGCGCCGTGAACTACATTCCAACTACATGCAGGTACTCCAGGCGGAGGAAGTGTTCGAAGCGGACGCCTACTCACATGGAGGGACGGGGCACAGGGGGGAGGTGCTCATCGGGAAAGTTCCCTTAGTGCCGCCTCAGGGTCCTCCACCCCCGCTACTTACAAAGCTCCCATTCCCTGCAATCTGCTAGGCGCCCGGAGGTTGCGTGAGGTGAACCGCAAGCAGCACCTCTGCGACTTCTACAGTACGAGGCTTTAGCTCTTGCGCGAGGAAAAACTAAACGGCGAGGGCTTGACATGTCCGACCCTCTGACAGTGACTCGCTTGCGGGCCTTTTGATGAGACCTCTGCTGCAGCTCTGGTGGATGCAGATTCTTCACATGACTCTACAAATCAAGAGGGCTGCCGGACGCGCCCGCATCCGCATTCCGCACACAGTCCGCGCAGCATTCACACCCTGTTACGGCCCGCTCAGCCCGCAACAGATCAACCGGTGCTCGATAAGAATAGCTGCAATGTGGCTCGCCGGGAAAGTAGTACTGCTGTCGCTGTCCGCATGTCCCTCGACTGTGTGCCATAAAGTTCGAGGCTTTGACAATGGTAAGTGGAGGCAGTGTCTCTTTACCTTTTCTTCCGCATTTGTCCAAGGCCGAGGCTTGAGAAACGGAAAACATGAAGACAGCGAAGAAAAGATACGAGTAGATGCCTTTTCCGAAATGTGTTCCCCTCCATGCCATCTATCCGCCATGATCAGCCATGCGTTTGCTGCTAGGTGGTTTCTCTCCATGTCGGACAACAGGCCAAAAAAACAAAAGCAAGTGTAACTTTTGAACAGCCCCTCGACATCCTTGCACCCCCCTGGAACCCTGGCCTCTTTGTCGCCTGACGGGCCCACGTACTTTAGCGCAGGCGCTGTGTATGGGTTCCAGCTTCCAAGCCTTGCAAGGGATGCAAAGGGCACTTGTGGTCTTAGTTTTCACTGCGGCAAAGTGTTAACCGGTTCACTCAGCCCTAACTAAAGTAACCCGAGAGCATAGATGCGGGGTTTACAGTTTTTGGGTCCAAATCGAAACCAAGCCCCTACTTGGAGTTCAGTTGCATCAGGCTCTAACAGCTGCACAGCTACAAACGCCGTACTCTTAAGCAAAAGTGTTGGCGTATCATGGCGTATCAATCCCATGAGTTTCCAAAGGCAAAGAGGCTAATCACAGGCTTGGTGCTGCTTCCCCTCGCCGCAGATGACCATTTGCCCCTTGAGCTCGTTGGGCACCTGGCACTCGGTGGTCATGTCTCACAACTACCACCGCGCGCACAACAAATTGGGGCAGGAATATCTTGCCGGTGTCGCCCCATGCGGTCCCCCGTGTCTAGAGTCTAGACTGGTGGAATCAACTGTTGAAACAAAAGGATGAACGCCCGAATACACAAGCACCTTCAGCAGCTGCAAGCAGTCTAAGGACGCGGGCCCTCTACCTGCACGCCGTCAAGCAAAAGCCGGGACGATGTAACCAATGTGTTTCAAGGGTTTGGAACCTTAGGCTTTCTGCTTCGGCCCTGAGGCTGGTTGCACCTTCAAATGGAATACCGTGTCAGAAGCTGGACATTCTGCAGCGCCCTAAGGCCCTAAACCCAGCAAGCTTGAACCCAAACTTGAAGCCCTTAACATCATGCTTACAGTACGGAAGCCGAGAAGTGTGCACAACTGGACTGACTCCGTGGTAGAATTGAAGGGCAGTTGCATGGATCCAAGTGGAAGCCGAGACCGAAGCACGCGCAACACGGGGCAGGATTGGGAAGTACAGAAATATCCTGAAGGAGGTCTGCATGTAAGAGCCCCGCATCTGGTTTTTTTTGGCAGCAGGGTCACAAGCCCCGGCACACTCAACTACAAAAGCCCCTGTAGCACAAGCTGGGGCAGCGTGAATATTCCACATGTTGGGATGCGGACGCATGCTGTCCTGCCGGTTTGGAGAAGGCTGGCCTTCTAAATTTCAAGCGTCCGCCGAGGATGGCAAGTTCCCACATGCACGAGGAATCTGTCCATGATACTCCCAGCTTCCGACCGTGGCCACGGACACCCACGCGGTGCCGCAGCTCCATGACAAAGCCTTCCACGCAAATTTTGGCTGCAAGAGCATCATTCATATTGAAGGTGTGGCTTCATGACGAGCACAGAAAAAACACGGCCATGCTGCATGTCGAAAAACCGCAACTAAGCTACTCCTTCTGAGGTCGGCGCCCAAATAAACTCACAGACAGCAGATACAGGCAACTCACCCGCACCCGACACCCGAGCAACAGGAAGCATGCAGAAGCAGGTGGGGGCCCTGCCAGCTTGCGTGGGGCTCGGTCCAACGGACACCAAGCCAATGGAAAAGGTGAGCACTCCAGGCCCGTTCAATGAGGTGCAGGAAGGCTTTGGCAATGCGGACACCTTCAATTGCTGATTCACAGGTATATTCTGGTAAATGTCAAGGTGCTGCGAGGGGCTCGTTTCTTTTTCTTGGTCAAGCAAGCAATGAAGGCGCTGATTCGCCTGGCCTCTGGCGACGCTCACTTGCACGCAACGTCTCCGGCGTCGCATCGCCTACATCTGGAAGGTGCATGCATCGGCAAAGTCTCCTGCTCATCCGGATTGAAGCCTCTCCTGTGGGTCATGATCCGCCCTGAATGCTCATGATCCGCATATCTCCGGGTGTACTTTCCGGCATCAGCAACATCTCATGTCATGACCACTCGGCATGCTTGCTGGCACCTAAGCTCTCACTTCCGACAGAAGGCATGTTGATAAAGTGCGTAGCCTGTGAAGCAAGTAAATTGGGTTGACCGGGACTGGCTTTCCAAGATCAAACCAAGCCACAGACATCCGAAAACTCAAGACAGCGCACTCGAATTAAAAGGACACCACTGACAGCCCCACGACACAGCAGAGCATAGCAGAGCCATCGCCCAGAACAGCAGCGAATGCCCGTTCAGCGCGTCCACCTGAAGTCCTTCAGCTGGACTTGCACTGCTGTCAGCCCCAAAACAAGAGCCATCGCCCAAGATACACATCTCGGGTCGCACAATGCAGGCCCTGCCCAGCATGTCACGTGGAGATCCCGGACCAGAACATCAAACTCCCGAGGCTGGGCGTCAACCTGTGGCGGCCAGCACAGGAACGCGGCAAGCGGAGGCCAGGTAAAAGCCGTCCCCACCATGCTACTGGTGCCATATGTGCCATCCGGCACTGAGGGATTAGCTGGGAAATCGGCAGGGCGGCATCGCACTTAAGCAGGTTGAGCTCCAGGCCGAGCTTCGCACAACGTGCACGCGCAAGATGCAGGACTGGAGCCCCCAACCCAACAAAAACAAACCTGCGCCCCCAAAGCCTCCTGTAAAACCGTCCCAGTCCCAGCAGTTCACAGAGCGAGCATGGCCAAGTTGCTCCGGTTCGTGTGCACTGGTGGCCGAAGGGAGTAGGTGTCGGGAGAATCGTCCTCCGGCTTGGTGCTGAACCCAGGAAACATGGTAACCCTAGATTTTCCCAGATGTCTTGAGCTCCAAGGTTTGTCAAGCTTCCTCCCATTCGGGCAAGGCCCTACAGGCCGCATCACCTTCGAGCAGGAGGGTCCCGCTTTGAGATGCTTTGTAAACTGTAAACTCGGCATCATAGTCTTGGGTTTAGGGTCTATGAATTATGGAGCATCCTCCCTCCTTAAATTCCGAACCCGAACCTTCACACTCTTCTGACACCCTCAGCCATCCTCTCCAAAGTCCATGTAGATTGGCGCACCTTAGGCCACGGTGGCCACTGCAAGGCTCCAGGATTTTCAGCAGCTCTGGATGTAAGGCTTATCCTTTCTGCAAGCGCGGCCCTAGCGGTACGTGTACGGCTCAACCGCTTAACCGTTAACCCTTCAGACTTCAGGCGCAATTTTGGGAAGCCAAGCCCTTGGAGCAAAACCCCTCAACCTTTTCGCCCAATTTGCAGCTTGAGACTGCAACTTGGCGCAACATTTGACGCCTAACCATGGAAAAAGGGACTAGCACTATGGCCCTGATGGCCCTGCTGCGAAATTGAGTGGACGCTTTGCAGGTCGCGGGCTCGGGGTTTGGGATCCCCAGAATGGGAGACATCCGAGTGCCACACTTGCCACGTCCTCCCGGAACTCCTGCAGGGCGCGTTGCAAACTTTCGGGTTATTAAGCGCCTTCGCCTCAACAGACACACAAGAACCTTGCAGCTTCGTGGTTCGGGCCTCAGACTAAAGCTTTGTCAATCGAAACCCCAAAGCCCAACGAACCCGGGAACGAACCCTTCTTAAGCTTAAAGACCCTAAAACGCACCACGGCTAGAACTCAGAGCCGAGCTCATTGGGGTTGGGACGGTGTTGTTCTTAGAGATTGGCGCAAAAACGATGTAGGGCTCATTGACTTCTGCTGCTTATGCTGGGCTTACAAAACCTTATGGGTTTCAGCGGCTCCGGGGGCTATGCGTGGTACGATGGATGATAGAAATCCTGCATGACTCCAGCCACGGACACACCAACCTGCCTACACACATCCCCTGCGCACCCCTTAGTTTCAATGTTGACTGGGCGCCTAGGGTGCGGGATTTCCATGATTCGCGCTGCCGGGTTTCTGGGACTGGACTCTGTGTCAATGTTAACATCAGGGGCGGCAAGGGGACTGGACTTTATTCGAGACTGGGCTGTATTCGAAACTGATGCAGAATTTCCATCATCAACAGTGGCAACTCGTTTGGCCGCTCAAACCTCTTCAAAATAGGCGTCTTCAGATCGGCTTTCCTTAGAGACCTGCGGCGCTCCTCGGCCGAACCGTCGTCCAAGCCGGAACCTTGGGTCTGAAGGATTCAACTCAATCAGTTTACCAGACTCACTGTGGGCTCATGGACCCACCGTCGAAACTTCGATGGCGGCATGTGTCTTGTATCTAGGGCTTCTCCTCGTGCCTGCTGATGGGACACAAAAGGAGCCCGAATAAACCAAGTTGACTTCAAAATCTTTAAGGGGAAATGAACAGAAACAGCTCATACAGAGACCCAGTAATGCGGGCATCAGATGAGCAAGCCACCTCAGAATTGTGGCACAGGATAGCAAACCATTTACTGCGATTATCCCCACTGTGCAGCTACGAGTACGGATACTTCGCGGCAACCTCAGAACTTTCTCTGAGGGTGGGCACTGGATTCTCCACACTCCAAGGATAATAGAGGTGGATTCTCTGAGAGGGGGGGGGGTTCTCCAAGGATACTCGACGGGACTCTGTGCGGACTCTCCGCGAGCTTCTGTGGGCACTCCAGGGATATTCGGTGTGACTCTCTTTGCGGGTGTGGGCACTCCAGATATACTCGGCAGGTGGCGAGGAGAATGACACATGTAGCGAAGCTGCGTTCAGGCCACCTAAGTCACGGGAGTTTATCTGCCGGACTGCTTTGGCCGCCGCTGCCATCCAGCGGCAAGGTGAGCGGGTCGGCGTTAACCATAACCTCCAGGAAGCAGGGAGCCAGAACCGGCTTTGGGGCTTAGTCTAGGGTTCAGGGCCGCTCAGGGCTTCGAGTTACCCACCGAGTTCCCCACACCACCTCTTTAGTGGTTTGGTATAGTTCATCAACCACAGCGAACTCCGAAAAGCAGCTAAACCTATCAACATGCGCTGACTCCACGAGAATGTGCAGGTATTTGGAAGTTCAGTTTCGATTGTTTTGCATAATTTGTTGATCGCGGTGCTGAACATTCTCCCACAACCCACATGTAGGCGGTTTAAACGCTTTGGGCTTTGCAGCTCCACCCCAAACCCCCAAGACCTTGAGCTCAAGGCAGATTCGAATGCGACCCGACGCAACTGCGGCCGCGAACCTTCTCGTGGGGGTCGCCCCAAATGGCCGTGACCTGAAGACAGGTTTCGGGTTTTGTGCATGCGGACAGGACAGCGGTGGCCCGAATGCAACGCTGCCTCGGGGCGACCTGGCCCATCCTGGAAACGAATCCCCATTATGAAAGCAGCGCCGAACGAGAAGTCCAATCTGCGTCGGGGCTCGTTTCATGAGGCCTTTTGGTTGAGTTGGGGCTTTAGGGCATTTTAGGGCTAGTCCGAACCTCCAGTTGGCCCGGCTCCACGAGGAGTTGGCGGTTGCCCTCGACGCCCTCCCATCGCACCTGAGAGTGCTTGCATGTTTTGTTGCGGGGGCTGGAGCCTCCCCTACCACCCCTTCTAAACCCTAAACCTGAAACCGTAGGCACTAAACTTAACCTCAAACCACCGGAACCCTTAAACCTTCCCCAAAACCGCAAACTATGAACCCATAGACACTGACATCCTGAACCCTGCCCAAAAACCCTAAACCCTACAATCCTAAACCCTTCCCCTGAGCCTGAACCCAGCCCTATTGAACGCTTGTGGTCGAGGGAGCGGATGGTGAGGTGAGGCGGGGGAGGGTGGTGAGAAGGGGGAGGGTGGTGAGAGGGGAGGGCGCTAGGGGGGGGGAGAGGGATGAGGGACAGGGTTCATGCTTTCGTCTTGGCGATAAGACTCACCACCCAGCCCAACATCCAAGGCGCAGGTGTTTTCTTGTCATCATGCTTCACCTTGTACCGTGGGGCATCTCGTGACCGAGCTAGGACCCTAGGTAAAGGAATGGGAATGTCTCATGATGCAGGCTTAACTTCTGTACGGGTTGGGCTTTGTAAGCTTTGTAGGACTGGCCTGACAGCCAAATTGACCAAATACAAGGAGGCTCAGGAATCATCAGGCATCGCTAGTACACTTTGTTTTGCTGCACCCTCTTGCTAGAATCAGCACCTGGCGTTTCGTTTAGGAGTGTACAGCAACTAAGGCCTTGGGGTATATGCCAGGAACTTATACTCTGCTACCGACATCGCCACGTTGGGACAGATGCAGGGTGCACTCAATCAGCACGGAAGACTGCAACCCGCAAAAAGCTCATGTAGCCGGCGGGCGATAAACTTGTACTCCACCTTCGACACCGGCAGCGCCAGTGGTGCTGTCGACCAGATGGGGAAGTCCTGCAGTGGGTTCCAAGCCAACTGGCGCTCGAGTTGAGAGGCCAAAGCCATTCGTGATTAGAGGTCTTTCAAGTCTTCGGCAGGCTTAGGGACCTGCTTGAGGCACTTCAGGGTCTGCTTCTTGCGCCACTCCGCAGAGAACTTGCAGGTCACGACGTCTTTTTTGGTTTAGGGCTTGGGGTTGCGAAAGGCACACACAGACACACATCACCTGTCATCCCATGTTCACAACATGCGCAAGCTGCAGCTCGGCCGGATGAATTGGTGTCTCTGTCACCTCTTTTTGCGCAAGCTTGAGGATGCTGCTGCACTCCGATTGGGGGATGTAGGGGCAATTCCAAGACCGTCCCATGGGAGAGGGCGTCCTAGACACGAAGACTTTACAGAAAGCCAGCTGCAATGGCAGCAGCCTGTGCATGCGCTTTCAGCATCATTGCTCATCTCAGGAGCACGCAAGACCACTGTCTAAGACTGTCTGTACAAGTGCTGCCTGCGCACACGCCGAGCAAGCAAAGGCAGGACCTTCCACAAGCTGACGGCCAAGATCTCCTCTCTGCTACAGCTCCTAAGCAAATCCGCCGACCCCGCGAAGGGGCGGCGTCAGTGAAGACTGATTTTCCCTGCCCCTGCTTCCCTGCCCCAGCCGGCTCCCAACCTGCTGCTTTATGTTTTGAGGGCTCCAATGCATCCCGGCACCTGCGCCCGCCGATCTCAAACCTATGCTCACAGCCTGTCACCTTTCTCTTTAGCTTGAATGAAGCTTGAGATGGGGCTCCAGCGCATCACCGCCCCCCCCCCCCCCCCCCCCCCCCCCCCCCCCCCCCCCCCCCCCCCCCCCCCCGACACGCCCCCCCTCGCCGCCCCCCCTGGCGCGGACCTGCTAATGGCACAGATAACCTTGTGCAAGGCACCATAAGGCCTTTTTTTTTGAAATGGGATAGTCCCGGGCACGCCCCAAAGGTCCCGCAAAGGGAGCGCATCATGAGCATCAGCGGGGTCCAGTCTCGGAGCCCCAAGCACGCATCAGGAGCATCAGCGGCCCCAGTCCGGGATTGCGGGCGCGCATCATGAGCATCAGCGGCTCCGGCCTTGGATCACACGGCGGCCCACGCGTGCACAATAAGCTTTCCCTCTGTCGCCAAACCCGTGCGTTCCGACTATGAAAGCCTACAGCTGACGGCATCGTGAAGAACGCACGCCGGGCGCGCGTGCCCCCCTTCCCGGTTTGCAGAACAACTCTCCTCGAGCTTCTACCTGCGCTGCCCGCCCATGGGCGCAGCCCCTTCAAAATTTCTCTTCACTCAATCGCATTGTTGACAATCGGAAATGCGGAAAGCCACCTAGGACTCAGAGCTCATTGTGGCGAATTCGTGGAAAGCCCAGGGTCGCACACAGAAACCAGAGCGGGAGAGTTGGACAAAGCCCGAAGGATGCAAACCTGAACATCCAGACCAAAACACCCCAAAACATTACGTGTGCGACCCGCGGGAACGTTTCGCGAGGCTGCTGGGCTTCGTTTAGGGTTCTTGGGCTTACAGTTTGCAGTTACGGGGCTGGGCGGGCAGCAAGGATTCCAAGGCCATTGTCGTTAGTGGGCAAGTTACATACAGCATTGTGGGAGCTACTGGAGAATTTCGGGTTGTGAGAACTGGGATACTCAGGCAGTTGATCCAGCCGTCAGTGGTACTATTGTAGAGCATGTTGAAAGCTGCAGACATAAAGCATAACCGGTGTCCTGATGGAAAGCAGGGCAGCATCGAGAAGCATCGGCCAAGGCCAGGGCCCAAAGACTTCACAGTCACTTCACATGTCTCCCACAAACCGGAAGGCCGCTCAGGGCTTGCTGCAGGGTTTCGGAGCAACCAAAAAAGGTTCGTAAAGGTTCGTAAAGCTTTGGGCGCTCTGGTCAGGGCAGCTGTGCAGGATCGCAAATTTGAAAGTCCCGCGTCGACCCCGAGACACGACGGACCCGAGGCTGGGGATTAGACAAGCACTCCATAGTGGAGAGCTTGAACGGTTTGGGGGCTATCGACCCCACCCCTTCGTGGAAAATGCGGTCTAGTTTTGGAACACTGATATGTCACGATGCGCGTGATAACGCTGGTGACTACTGACATCGCAACATCATGGATCAAGGATGGCTTATCTTGAAGATTGGAATTCCTAGCGGAAGTAGCTCCTGAACTCTGAACAAATACCATTTGCTTCACTCCAACCTAAACCGTTCACACCAGGCCTACATCATACACCTCCAAATTTTCAAACCCTACACGTCCACGAGCCTAAGCGATATACTCAACCCTAGATAAACCCTGCACTTTCTCGATCTGGAAGACCCCGAAGTTCCGTAACCCGAAATAACCGCTACACTTTCGTAGAGCTCTCAGACTCAAATGCCACCTTGTCCACCTGTGAGGCAAAGGCAAGCCAAGGGCTGTTGCGATTGCTTCAGGTTTGGGCTGTGGGTTGGGCCGTTTGTTGGGTCTGGATTCCAGGCTGTGCTGCTGCCTGCGCGCGGCATCTGTGCACTCCTTGGCGCCTGCTTGGTCGAGATTCCTGAAAGGCCTGGACTAAGTATGCTAGCTCGGATGTGTCATGATGTGTCATGGGCTACACGCCACCCGAAACTTCTTAATGCTCAAACACGAAGAGACATAAGTTCCATCCAGCATGGACACTGGATTCCCTTCTACCTGTGCTCGTACAAAGTCCGGGGTTTGAACAGGTTGGGGCCCTAAAGTCCTAGGGTGGACTTCTGTTGGGGCTCAAGGCTCAAGGTTCTCGAAAGCCGTGCACCCGAAGCCTTCACGGGTACTGTTACGGGACTTTGTGCTGAGGGCCCGCTTGCGTGGAAACGACTGGCGCCGTCATCATGGCCATGCTCATCCAAGGCCCCAAGGTGAAGTAGACCTCGGCATGCACACCGACAAGCCTTTTACTGGCCTTTTACACTGAACATCACTGAACTCATCCGGGGCGCTTCACAAAGCAAAGCTCCCAGCATCCACATTTCATTGTTCAATATGCATTTAAGGTATTTTTCAGCTCTACAGTGGTGAGCTTTGTGTACAAGTGCCTAAATGCCACCCGAACGCCGTCTTCCAGAGAAGAGAGGACCTGGGCTGACAGGGTTGATTTGCCGTTCTTGTGGTAAAGCCCTACAACCCAGCCAGCCCCAACCCTCACAATCCGGCTCACTTGTTTCTCCCATGTTTCTCCCCACTCACTTCCGCACACACGCGGAGTGCATGGCACCCTTTGTTTTCAGCTGCTTTCGGAAAAACCAACTGTGACGATGCCGGGACAACAGGAACATGCCGAGCCGGAGGGTACCCACCCCAAAGATGCATCAGGACTCAGTGGTATTTTGGGCCTCCCCTCCCACGTGCTCCCCCCCGCCCCTCCTCCGCCCACATACACTTTTCCTGTGCCAGCCCATCCCTTCTCCTTCCCCCTTCCCACATACTCACCCCACGCACACCCTGCAGAGCTGCAATCCAGAGGGGCCACCCCGTCCCTGCAAACCCTTTCCCAGCATGCGCAGCTCTCAGACCGCCACGTGCGGACATCTTGCCGGAAAGGAATTGCCGAAGGCCGATGTTCTCACATGCTACTCGGATTGGATTGCAGCGAATCTGCACCCAGCCAGGTTCGTTGTCAATGCTGCTGGCGATGGCCCCAGGCTGTGTGTGAGCAGCACTGATGACTGGCGGCGTGCGTTGCTGGAATCCGTTGACGTCACCCATCTTCAAAGCCCCCCTTCCGCCTGAACGGGTTAAGCTACTCCAGCATGTCTTGTCCAATATGTGCACTCTCACATTTTCGATTCTCTACCTAAGTCTTCCCAAGCACAATCCCACGTGCAAGCTTTAAGCAGTCCCACCCTGCAAGTGCGTACCAGCGCTCGAGACTTGCCATGAGTACCCTTCGCTCGAACGTCAAAGTTACCAGAGAAGAACATAACCAAATCCCACATTCAAGTGCCTGAAAAGAGGGCTTCATCTCCATAGAGCAAGGCAGTCTTTGTTACAGTCATTGACTAACAGGCCGCCCCGAACGGAAGAACATGCCGGTGTAAGTAAGTAGTCCGTCTCTTGATCGCGAAGGCATGCGGGCCACTCATGCAGAGAGCCTCATCCAGGAAAGAGTCATTCCTACAATCTGACAAGTGGCAGAAGGTTTGGCAAAGTTTGGTGTGCTGTCAGGCGCTTCGAGACTGGAGGCATTGTCTGCGGTATCTCCAAGCGAGTTGGAACTCATGCCAAGTCATGCATGCGGGCTTCGTGAAGGCGGTTCTGCAAGAGCTCAAGCCAGACTTGAAGCCCTTGCCAAGGAAAGTGGGGCATTAAACAACACCGTCGAGCTTCCAAACCCAAGGGCCCCAAACCCTCAACACACCTGCCCAGTGACTGCCAGAGGGAGAAGTCTCTGGTCTGGTGTCGGTAAACGAAGGCATTCCAGGCTCCTGCACATTCTGCTCCCCGTTCTCTGGGACTCGAGCACTGCGAATCACTGTAGACTTGACACAGCAGCGCCTTGAAAACACCTCAACGAAGGACATGTACTTTGCGCAAAGAACTTCCCGAAGCCTCTCGCCACTAAAGAGCCTTCCCATGTGCTGTTTGCTGTGCTTGCCTTCTGCGAAGCTGTTCGGTGCGAAGCCGTCGAGCTTCTGCGCATGGTAACCCTTCCAATAGGAAGGAACATCTACCTTAGTTAACTGATCCAATTTCATACTGAGGTTGCTCTTGGTCTTGCCTATGTTAAGCATCACTCGCACCTGCGTGACGGCAAGATGCTGCCGAGTGGGCTTATCCCGCCTTATCCCGCTGGCCCAGTATCCTCGAAACGGGCCCGGTAAAGGTGGGAGATGCCTTCGGGAAGTCAACTCACCTCGAGACCTTGCGGTTCCTGTGCTGCCATGCTCGGCCTGGGGATGGCGACGTTCAATCACCAATCCCTTTTGCAATGCTCAATAGCCTGTTCGCTGATGGTGTGCGCACCTGGGGGCAGACTGTGGCACTGCGCGCTCTGCTATGAGTCTGGGATGGGGTTTGTGCCCGTGCGAAGCCCCTTTGCCGTGTGGTTCAAGCAAAATCCGGGAGCTGAGCACGGCATCAGAATCCCAATTCGGGCCACCCTGCCTGCACTCGCATCTCTGCTTACCCACTCTAGGAGTGCTTTGCTTGCATAGCATCAATCCACATCCCAACGAACTCATCTGAAGCCATCTGAGCCTTAACCTAAACGTTTGCGAACCCGGAACGCCGAAGGCTGCCCGGTGGCCGCGGCCATGTACGGGACGTAGCCAAGACAGAACACAGTCATTGTCAAAGCAAAGTGCCAGGCGGTGAACGAGCCTCCCTGACAGAGGGCGGGGCCAAAAGATTCCCTCTGCCTCTAACCTTTGTTCGCACCAGGTTGAGGGCTTGAGCTTTGGGCTTTTCGTCCCAGCCCACCTCTTGTTTTTCGGCGCGGATCTGCTGCTTCCAACACGGGCGCCAAATTGCGCAGAGAAGGTGCACGTAGACCTGGGGTTCGGGTTTCGACGAAGGAGGTGAGGATTGAGGCCTTGGGATTCTAAGCAGCCCCCAAACCACGATCTTGTTCCAAAGCACACGTGTGCGGCCGTGGGGCGCAAGACACCCAATTTTGGATCTTGGGATGTCGCTTGTCGAAGGGCGGAGGGGCTGGCCCAAAACCCTGAAGTCCCTACCCACAATCTCAAGCTCCAAACACGTAAAGCCCAGAAGGTTTTGAGGGCTTGCAAAGGTTGCTGATGTGGGCCTCCTATGGTGGGACGAAGGAATTGGCATAGTTTTGGGGCGGAACAAGAGCTGGGCCTGCTTCACATTGAGGGCCCAAAATGTGCAAAAATGCCTCTGTGCTCCAAAGATTTCCAAAGCTAGGGACTGGCAGGCCAATGGCAAAGCTGATCGTCCAGCAAGTCTCCTCACGGTTTCTTCGGGCTTTCGGTTGTCAGGCATTTACCGCATCAGGCGTAATAAGTAAGGCGTGCTTTGGAACAAAGAAGAAATGGAATCAAGGGCTCGAGAAAGCTTGCAAAGCCGTCCTCCCATGCAAACCAGCACAAAGCCTGCGTAATCGTGCCAGCGAAGGAGAAGCATTCAGCAACCAGGATGACAAGAACCTTGTTTGCTGTCGACACCTGTGACACATCCTTGAGATGAATCATTTAAAACAATAACTTATGGAAATGCGAGTCCTCTGTATTATTAAGCTTTTGTTGGGGTACAAGGCTGCATTTCGAATGAGTATCGTGATCATTGCGTTGCTTCGCATGCTTATGAGCTACTGTGGTCTTCTGGTACTTCAGACCGCTGGTTCTGACCGTCAGCATGCATGCGAATAGTGTCGGCAATTAACGCTGGAAGGTGCGCCGTTATGCGCCGGAACCCTCCCCCTCCTCCTCCTTTTTTTCCGACGAGAAGAGCGCCGTGCGCGGAAAAAGCCGATACACCCCATACTCACCCGGTACACCCTGCAGGGGTCTGAAGAAGGGCTAACATGGGTGCCGCAAGGTGCCGCCAAACAGAGATCTGCGAAAAAGGAGAAACGCCGATGTGCTGATACGTTGCTCCAGGGCCTGCGAAATGGGAGAAACGCCGATACATTGATACGCCGGGGGTCAGGGCGTGGAACGTGTATGTGTGAGGCTGTTTGGCTGACGCTGTTCACAGCTACGCTGTGACATTTCTGGTCTTGACGGCCTCCTGAACTTCATGAACCATCATTGTCATTGCGGGTGGGTGGGCATCCCCCCACGCGCGAATCCACTTGCACACAACTTCGGACAGGTTCCTGCTCTGGGCACTGGGCTGTGTACAAGACACAAACAAATCGAAGCCTGAAGCCTCAACTCCACACCCTTGCATGATCGGCCACCATGCAGATCGACGTGCCCACCACTAGCAACAAGCTGGCGCGGCCTTGTCTCACCTGGTTTCAGGCATATTGAGGTTGTCCCGATATTCAAGAAGCCAACGTCCCCAAAGGTCCCCAAGCCTCCAAATCTCATGCAAGTAAAGACACTCGCACCCCAAAGCAAGACCTCTCCCAGCAAAAATCCAGCAAAGGCCTGGCCTGGGAGGCACAGAAGGCTTGGATGATGGCGATCTGGAGGACCCAGGCCAGCTCCTCGACAGTGGCACAGGCTCCTCGGACATAGGAACAGTGAGGGTACAGGTTTGAAAGCTTTGAGCGATAACAAGCTTAGGCGTGAAGAATGTCTAGGTTTGCTGTGTAGTGGAGAACACCCAAGGCGATAGAACATTTTAGGATGTTAGGTCATAGCTGAGAGCATTGCAATGCTTAATTCTTAAGCATGTTTAAGCAAGTTTGCGGTCAAGGAAGGCAAGGGAGAGCTAAAAATCCAAGGATGTCCCCGTGTCGTGAGACCTTCGGGCCTCGGACCTAGGATATGTAGGGGTAGAATTTCAGGCGTCGGTCCCTCACCTAAGTTTTGAACCCAGATTTGAACTTAGAGGTTGGAACCCAGGTTCACACCCAGGTTGAGAATCCAGTTCCAACCCAGGTGCCAACATTGCGAACCCAGGCTGGAACTTCGGTTCGAGCTTAGGTTCGGACCCAGGTTGAACCCAGGTTTCGGCAAGGTGTACAAGGTTTCCAGGCTCCTAAGTAGTTATGCGGCAGCTTTGGCTGTAGAGCTGGGTAGTGGCAACGTCTCAGTCCGGGGCCTCACAATTGAGGTGGCTTGAGGTTCAAGTACACAACGGCATGTGATGCCAGGCGTCTGTGGATGAGGATGCTGCTCATCATATTGTCCCAAAACACATACCGGTGCGGGTAATCTGCCGGGAAGAAACTTCGATATGCAACCTCAGGAAATGTCAAAACACCAAGCATGACGTGAACTGGAACAGGGCACTCAAGGGGGCCTTCTTTCTATTGTCTCATACATCCGGCGAAGTGCAGTAGGGGGCTGAACGACATCTGCTTCACACGAGCATTCATTTTGAGTGAGGGTTGTCACGGAAGTCGGGTTGGGCAGTTGCGAAAACCACAGGACGCCATCTAAGCGAACCTGTAACGGGAAATGGCATTGCATTACGGCAACCAGAAAGAATTGAAGCAGAACTACCAAGAACTGGGTACCTTAGGTTGGAACAGACACGGGTTGTTGCGCACTGGAGCTATTGTATCTAGGACCTATATGTTTTGTTTTCTATAATTCTATTAGTATACGAACTACTTGCTCATCTAGCAATGACTGTATGCGACATCCACAGTTGTAGCAGTAATTGCGATCTGTCTTGCCAGTGCTCCAAGATACCCCAAGTGTGTTAAAACATTTTGTCTGACACAATAAACCAGTAAGACGTTTTCTTCACGAAATTCGAAAAAATCACACATGAATCACATGAACTACATAGTAATTAACATACATCAACTCTTCAAATTCCGACATTTGACAAATACGGCCTGAAATTTCGAAGGCATTGCCACAACTTAACAGTTGAATAAACTGAAAAACATCATTTCAGATGTGAAAGGAGTGTTTGTCATCAAACAGGCAGCTGACAATTTCTTAAACACGGTAACAGAACCGCATTTTAAAGACGTTGCGAGTGCACGACGAGTTGAGCAAACGCGTGTCCTTGGAGCGAAGCGATTGCTCACACGTGCGGAACAGAGCCAACGAAACCTCTTTGCACGCTGCTGCTGTTAAACATGACACGCAACAAAGTCGCAAATTATGACGTATTGATCACAAGACAGTAAAACGTGCGTTTCTCGACTTGTAATAAGAGATACCAAGCAGTGTAAGTAAGCTTGCACTAAAGCGAGCAATGAAAAAAGAAAGGCAAGCAAAGTGGGTGACCACATGTACCTATGCCCGTAAGCGAAACAACTTCTGGGCTTCCAGTTCAAGAAGCCGGGCTGGCCTGGAAAGAAGCTGCTGGCCAGTTTGCCTATACCTTGGGGCACGATCCCTGAATCCGCGGCGGAGACTTGCTCGTTAATGTTGCAGCGTTGGGCGGCCGGGCTCAGAGGTCCCCGTCAAAGGCAAGAAGAAAGCCGGCAGCAAGCCACCTGAAAACATAACCATCCTGGTGGAGGTTGTCGAGAAACGCAGTGGTCTATCTCCGAACATGCATGGACGTCCCGGCCCCTGACAGGACAATTGACCCCGCAAGCGGAGAAGCACTGTGGTCAGATCCTGCTGGCTGCGCTGAAGATGCTAGGGGGTTCGGAAAATTTTTGTGTCGACGAATAAACACACAAATCATCCAAAACTTCGGAGCCCCCTGGCCGGGTCCGCCCCTAGCCAGGCCCCCGGCGTTGGTTGTCATATTCTCCATATCGTCCGTCCATGGCAACAGCTGCCATACACTAAGACGGCACTCTTGTCCTGCTTGTTTTCAACAAGGACCGCGAACACAACGAGTTAAACACCATCTCAGCATGTCACCAGCACTAGGTGTTTCAGAGGAGTTTCCACACCAAAGGCCGCAGGCATTCCCCACAATACATGTTTGAAGCTTCAAGTACAGCCTCGAGAAGCAAACCACCAGAAACACAGAATCTACACCCTAAATCCTAAGACTCCAAACCTTAGACCCTAACCTTAGACCCTGAACCCTAAACCCTGAACCCAAACCGTAAAACCTACCGGGTGTGACAACTTACAAACCCTAAGCCCTTAACCTTAAACCCTAAACCCTAACCCCAACCCTCCAACCACACCACCGGGGAGGGGGTCGGGGGACCACATGACAGGGATAAGGGGGGCCAACGTCGCTCCCCCCCCCATCCCCCCTTCCCCCTGTTTGTGAGTCAGGGTTTAGGGTTTTAGGGCTTAGGGCTTTTGAGGATGTAAGGGTTTAGGGGGTTCTGGGTTTGAGGTTTAGGGTTTTAGGGCTTAGGGTTGTCAAGGTTTTGTGGGTTTTGCCTAGGGCCTGGGTTTGGAGTGGGTCCTCAGGCCCAACTCGGCTGGTGCTTTCTGACTGTCGACTCTCGGCCTTTAGCTTCAGGAAGCTAGGTCTCTTCGCCTCTCAAGCAGCTAATTGAGTTCAGCAGCAACCAGGACGTAGACTGCACCAAGCCAACGCAAGCTACGCCGATACCAGGCCGGTCGACCACCATCCTCTTTTCTATTTTACAGGTTTTCTCCATCAAAGGTGGTCAAGGTTGAAGGTTTGGGGCCTTTGGGGCTTGGGGCTCTGGTTCCGAGCTGGAAGCCTGAAAAATTTCGATCATCTTGACACAACCTTGGTCTCAAACTCCACTTTAAAGTCTCTTCACTGGTAATCAACCTGCAACTTCAACAAGAGTGTCTTCAATGAGCCCTCCAACAGCCATACAATGAAAAGTCCCATAAGAATGTTGAGAAGGCCCGAAAACTTTCCAGTTCTGGACAGCAAAAACCAAGAGCCAAACCACAAAAAAACCAACAAGTCTGCTGTTTTGCGGCTGTGTCTCCGAGCGCCTGCAGCACAGCAAAGAGAGTACCAAACCAAGGTTCCTGAAACTCGGAAGCTTCAAGATCAGGGTTTCTTGGGGTTTCGGGTAGCGGCTGAAGGATTTGGAAAACCGATACTGGACATTTACTTGGCGGATCAACTGAATGCATGGTACTGCAACTACCTGAGGTTGTGAGGCATACCACTAGTGTTCCGCAAGCGTTCAGCATGCTCTTTTGCTTTTTGGTGCTTTCACGGCGTTGAACGATTGACATCTCTTGCCTTTGGGGATAAACACGGCTTGTCTGAGAGTTTGAGTCTTTACACTTCAAGGCGTCAGACTTCAGCAGATCAACATCCGAGTGGTAGAAGATTTCTTTTAACCAAATGGCCCCTGCTTCCTGTCATCCTGATCATCAGCCATAATCAGTCCAGCTACAGCAGCGAGATGGCGCAGAGGAACACGTACCAGGCCAGAGCCCACGTCGGCCAAGCATTCAGCGCCATGTCCGAAGGCTCTGAAGATCCCAAGACTTGTACTAAAAGTTAGAGCCAGATGCATAAGACGTGAGATCATGGGTGCATGCGATCGTGCAGGGTCGCCTTCTGGGATGCTTGACAAGTATCAACTATTGTCGGCCTCTGAAGTTCTGGTGCCTGTTGGGGGACCACTCTGATGCATACAAACACTGCGGCGCCTCAGTCGAACTCTTGGCAAAGCCCCAAAAAAGCAGGCCCAGCTCAATCAGCTCCCAGCCAAGCAAAATCAAGCAATCGCTCCGTTGCATTCGTGGTCAGCGGCACCGCGACCTCGGGAGACCAGCGGCCAAGAATCTGGGCAGAGCCCACCAGGAAGACCTTGCTGTTTCCGGTTAGGTCGGGTTATGGATTTTGCGCAGCTTGCCAACCTAGCTGGCCCTTCAGCAAGACACTGTCAATGATTCACGCGAACATACTGTTACTCAAGCAAATGCTTCGAAATGTTGCAAGGCATTCAGAGGACGCGGCAAACCCAAAGCCCTTACTTATCCTGAAATCTGGTCGCCGGCATTGCAAGTTCCATGCGTTGTTTTAACATGACGCTTTTGGGTTTGGGGGGCTTGAAGAACCAAGGCTTCAACAGCCAGGACTTCTTTGGCCCGGCAATGCATTGAGGGACTGTGGATTGGGGCACGAGGGCCTACGGATGTTGCGTCTGCAACACTCGGAACAAGATCGCTACAATGAAGCAGCCTATCCACTGTAGGGGTGCTGGTTTGGGGTACTTCTCCGCAGTGGTCGATGGGGCCTTCTCTCCTGGCTGCGTGTTCTGGCAGCGAACTCGAAAGATGACATGGGCAGACATGTTGTCACTGTCTGAGGAGAGGAACCAGTCACTCTTAAGTAGGAATTGGGGCTACAAGGTCGTCCTAGCGAAATGTCATGGTGTGAAAGAACGTGATACAATGCCTTCAACAACACGCAAATTTCTCAATACTGCAAACTGCAAGAAGCCATGGCAATGTGGTCATGGGTGGTTTTCATGAGGATGGGATCAAGTTGAGTACGTAAGGTTTTACATAGCCAGGATCAATGCTACTACCATTGGTTTTAGGTCCCCCAGATGGCTTCGGACTGCGAGCTCAGAGTGGGCGCGGTTGCCAAGCGATTTCAGTCTGGAAGGTATTGGATAGACAAAAAGCGCACAGCTTTCAAGATGCGTGACACATGAACCTCCGTCAGCAGTCTCGCGCCCGGAACGCTACAACGACATGTATCAACTTACAATTCGACAAGCCCTTAACGAACAAAAGTGCATCACAAAATGAGTTGTAAGCTCAGCTCTATAGCATACTGACGTCCTATGTTTTAAAAAGGTAGGTACATCGTGCAATCGCAACTACCTGCGGCACATCCTGCCTTGCCTGTCGCAATTGCGCTTCTGGCCAACGGTGTCTTCCTGAAGGGATACAGCGCCATTTCAAACAGCATTGACATGCATTAACTCAATACGGGAGAACTAAATGACTTCATCAAAACCCAACAGGGCATCGGCCTTGGATGAACCAACCCCCCCACACACATACACACACATGCTGCACGAAAGGTTCCATATGGCATTTGCATCGGTACTTGGCACCGATGCCACTTGGGCAAGCGCAAAACCCGCAAGGACGCCATGGCGGCCATGGCACACGATTCGAGCACACGGGGTACAAAACAAGTTGGCCCAGAAAGGTATGCTGTTGCATTAAAGGAAATAAACGCTAGCAATTCAAAAAAACGATTTCAAAATGTCTTGTCGCTATTTGACAACTTTCTCTCGAACTGTAGGAACCTGCACAAACACATCTGCAACATGGCAAAAACAAGAAA